GGTATTATACTTTACTTTAATAAGCTTTTAATATTCTTTATATTAAACTTTTAAGGACTTATATTAAGGAAGCTATTTTATAAATAGCTATTAAGGCAATAAATAATATAATTAATCTTAATAATATTATTTTAATACTCCTTATTTTTAATGCATATTTAAAACTTATAAAAGACTTTGCATTAACTTCCTTAACTTTTAAGAAAGCAATAATTATTTAAAAAGTTATAAAAAAGCTATATAAGGTTTATATTAAATAATAAGTTAATATAGCTTTAAATACTTATAATAGCTTAAATATTATAAAAATATTAAGTTTTTTATTATAAAATAATATATAAATATAGTAAGAAAAGCATAATTAGCAAAGATTATATAAATTACTTAGCATTAATAAATATAACTTTATATTAAATCTTTTAAATAGCCTAATAATCTTTTAATTAATATTAATTTAATTATATTATTAAGATAAAAATAATAAAGATAATATTTAGCTAGTTTTTAACTTAAATAATGCTTTTAATAAGCTTATTTAATTTAAATTAAATTTAATTTTAGTAATATTAAAACTATTATAACCTTAATAATGTAAATAGCTTAAGGGATTAAAAAATAAGCTAAAAAAAACATATCTTATTTAATAAAAAGTTAAGAATTATAATTTCTCTTTAAAGCTTTAATATAATAATATAATTAATACCTTAAATAACTCATTTAAGGAGTTTAATTATAAGGAAATTATAAAGTTAATTAATAATAATATCTTTTACTTTAAACGCTTTAATCTTAAGATATATAAAGGTATTTAGCTCTTTAAGTTATATATTATTTATAAAATTAAAAGCAAAACTAAAAAGCTATATAAGAAATTATAGCTTATTATTATTAAATATAGTAATAAGGATAAGTATAATATCCTTATATAATTTTTAATTATTTAAAAAGCTAGCCAAAGGCTTTTAATTACTTTAGCCCTATCCCTTTTAACATAAGGCTTTTAATTAAAGCTTTAAAATATTACTTAAGCATACTTTTAATTAAAGTTTAAGCTTAAGCAACTTATTTTATATTACTTATCTTTAAAAATTTAAAATAAATACCTTTTTAAAACCATTATATAAGTTATTAAATTATTATATAATATTATTAAATTTAATATATATTAATAAGCAACTTATTATAAATTTTATTATAATAATTTAAGTATAATTATTTTAATATATAACTTATGCCTTTTAATTATAAATTAAAGAAAGAATGTTTTTATTATTATTACTATATAAACTAATAATACTTTATCCCTTAATACTTTAATATTTTTAAAGCTAAAAAAATAAAAGATTAAAAAGATAAACATTTAATGCAAGCTAAAAGAAATACTTATCCTTAATAAATTACTTATCTTTAATAATATAATTATAAGCATCTTTAATAAAGGTACTTTATATCTTTATTAAAAGGGTTAAGGTAAGAAAATTATATTTATTAATAATAAGGCTAATAATTATATTTAATAATATATAAAGCAATATATATAAAAAGCATATCTTGCTTTTATTTATTAATTTAAAGCAGCATTTAACTTATTAATAGCAGCTTAAATTTAAAAGCCTTTTTATAAGAATTATAATAAGCTAAATTGCTAATTATAATAATAAGCTAATAACTTAAAATATAAACTTTAATATATACCTTTAAATTTATCTTAAGCTAAATTAATAATCTTTATTAATAACTTATTTATTAATAATAAAAACTTTAGCTTATAAATTAGCTTTATTATTATACTTATAAATAAAATATAAATTTTATAAGCTTTTAAGTAAAATATTAAAGATAATATTATTTATTAATTCTTAATAAAGTGCTAAAGAATAACTTAAAGCGTTTTAGCTTTAAAGATTTATAATATAATTAATAGCTTTAATATAGCTATAATGCTAGCAGCTACTTTACGCTAAATCATTATATATTTAAATATTGCAATAATTCCTTTTATAATATATATTAACTTATACTCCTTATATAAATGCCTAATTAAACTTAATATAATAAAGGAAAAGCACCTTATAATTAACATTATAGCTTTTTAATAATTATATAAAAAGCATAAAATCTTTAAAATTTACTAAATCGCTAAAAATTGTAACTTAGCTAATGCCTTTATAAAGAATGCCCTTAATAATACTTTTTAATGCTTTATAAATATAAATAATATTATAATTAAGATATAAGGCTATATAAATTATAATTAAGAAAATAAGGTAATTATTTAAATATAATAAAAAGTTAGGAAAATTATAATATATTAAAGCTTAAACTTAAATTATTAAAGCATAATTTAATAATTTATTAATAAATTATATTAATATAACCTTAAATATTATTATTATATTATATATTATAAAGTTATTATATTAATATTAATATAATTAATTTAAGTATATATATTATATAATTATAAAGATAAAAAGATTGTTAAAGGTTTTTAATAAGGAATAATAAGATAATTTTTTTAATTAAAGGCAATGCATAATAAAAATATAAAAGTTTAGTTTATATTTATTAATTACTTATAAATTACTTTATAATATAATATAATTAGCTAACTTTAAATTACATTTCTTTTAAGGGCAAACCTTATATTTAAGATTTTTATAATAATACTTATATATTAAGGGTTTAGGTAATAAGGGTTATTATTATTTTATAAATATTTAAGTTGCTAGCTTATATTTAATAAGCATTTTTAATTAAATTTCGCAATTTAATACCTATATATTAAAATTAAGAGTATTACTATTTACTAACTTAATTAATAATCTTTATCCTACATCCTACTTTTCCTTTATTTAAATACCTTATTTACTAATTCTTATAACTTATTAACTTTATTTACTTAACCCTTATTTTAATAACCCATTCTTTAATTATACTTCTTAATTTCTTTATTTAATAAGCGGCATTAAGCATAGCAAAGCTTAAGCTAAGCTAAAACGGGAAATTTTAATTATTTAAAGATTAAATAATTATATTAATAATTTAAGAGTTTAATTTAATCCTTATTTAATTTAAGCGCTATAAGTAATAAAAGCATAAGTTTATAAAATGCATTATAAATAAAATATTTATATAATAATTATAACCTTTTAAGCTTTTTAACTTTATATAATTAAAACGTTTTAATATATATATATACTTAATTAACTTCTTCCTATTAATTATATACTTTAATAAATTAATTAATCTCCAACCCCTTAATAATAACCTAGGCCTTCTTATATACCTACCTTTTATAATAATATAGTATAGCAAAATAATAGCATATTTATAATTCAACTTATATATGCAATTAATTAATTACCTTTTAATCTTAAGTTTAATTTAACTTAATACCTTTCTTTTTTTTATACTTTTTAAAAGTAATATGCACTTATAAAATAAAGATTGCTAATATAAGAATAATAAGTATTATTTATATAAAGGATTATTTAAGATTAAGCAGCTTTAGCCTATTAAGATACTTAGTAGGCAGCAGCCTTAGCGCTATATATAAAATAGCTAGCATAATTAAGCCTTTTGCCTTCCTTCCTTCCATAATTAACAATAATTAACTACTACACCAATTAAACATTATATTGCAATACGTAACCCAGCTAATAAGCTTTAATATTATTTTAATAAATTAATTTATTAAGTAATAATAACATTTAAGCATTATTATTTATAAGTAAATAATTTAAAAGCTAATTATTAATTTAAAAGCAAAATAAAAAAAATATTTTCCCCTTTTTTTTACCTTATAATTAATTATTATAAGATTTACCTTAATAATAATAATAATAATATAATAATAATAATAATAATAATAATAATAATAATAATAATAATAATAATAATAATAATAATAATAATAATAATAATAATAATAATAATAATAATAATAATAATAATAATAATAATAATAATAATAATAATAATAATAATCTTAATAATTTTAATAATAATAATAATAATAATAATAATAATCTTAATAATTTTAATAATCTTAATAATAATAATAATGCTTATTATTAAGTAAAAGTAACCTTATTATTAAAAATAATAATGCTTATTATTAATTATAAAAATAACATTTAACATTAATTATAAAAAAAAGTTATTAAAGTAATAAATAATTAATTAAAGCATAATATTTAAATATTTTAAAACTTTAAAATATTAATAATTAAATAATTTAAAATATTACTTTAATAACTTAATAACTTACTTTTATTAACTTAATAAATAATTTAAATAATTTAAAATAAATAATTTATAAAAAAATATAATTTTAAAATATATATTTATATATATAAAATTGTTAATATAAAAATAATATATATAAATATTATATATAACGTGTTTATATAATAAGTACGTTATAAATAATATATAAATTTAAAGGTGCAAGGTTTAAATTAATCTTATTAATAGCAGCTGCTAGCTAGCGCCAGCTGGCTACCAGCTGGTAGTTACGTGCCCCGCGCATGGACCATTATAACTAGCTTATAGCTAGATAAGGGAAGGTGTGGTATGGGAAGGAGCGTTTTGGGTTAGAAAGGGGTGTTTTTAAGGAGCCATTTTCTTAGCAACCAGAGTGGGGAGTTTCTCCTCCTCTGCACATTAATACAACCCATTCTTCCTCAAAGGCTATAGCTTTGCTGCAACCTACCCTTTACACCATAGCTAAATTAATTACACACTATATTTAGCCATTATTACAACCTTACCATATATATAATACCCATTGATACTTATTTAAATATAATTAAATTATTAATTATATTTTAAATTACCTAAAGATTTTAAACTACTTAAAGATTTAAACAATCCAACTTCCCCTCCTAAACGCCCGCGGTTTAAACCCCCTAAGCGGTGATTGCACCGCTTAACAACCGTTTAGAAGGACCCCACATCCCCGGTCCAGGGAGCCGCCTCAACAACAGCGTGAAGAGATGAGCATGGATATTGACGCCTCTACTCTTGTACGAGGGGAGCGTATCACTCTTCTGGCAGACGAGTTGAAGACGACCTTGGCTGGTATCCGCAGTACCGCACTCAGGGATATTCCTTGTCCGGACTTCAAGGATCCATCCTCAAGGAAGCAAGAGGATACGAAAAAGGAAATCTCTCACCCATACCTGTGGTATTTTCATGCCCGCAGAGAGATTGACCAGGCGATAGACGAGCTCCCACCGGCAAAACGACGATATGCCGACCCTTTCCGCGACTACATTCAGTACCGCATGTCACAGGATTGGACGACTGTGGATGCTTTAATTATGTAAGGGATGATATCCGCAAAATACCTCGATTATCTCTTCGTAAGCGTTTTGGATCTTCTGACCACCCGAGTAAGTAGCACAAACTAATCATTCAGGTTCCATGGCGAATGGTAATTTCGCAACAGAATTGGAATGGTCTTTCGCGGGTGGAGGCCTTCGTCATTTGAGATTGGCTTCAACAAGGACCATCGCACAAACCATTTGCATCAAGCATCAATGTTCATTCATGGAAGTTCGATGGACGCTTTCTGAAAACTCAAGAAAGCCTTCACATGAATGGTCTGCCGTCTCTCGGTGAGAAGTTCAAGATCATTGACCTCCCCATATACCCGTCGGAATTTGCCAACCGGGAAGTGATTAACGCGCTCCGCAGTCGGGGACGGATGTTCTGGGAATGCCGCACCAGAAAGTATGTGTCATATATGAACACCGATGCAGCTGATGGAACGCAGGATATCGCAGACTCCCGATACATGATCGACATCGCCACTTATAAGCAAATGCATCGTAACAAAGAGCCAGAACGATTCGTTGCTAGAGACGGCGCCGAGACTGAGGATGAACTCGCATCCGAGCACATGGCATGTGATAATCCAAAGCTAGGAGACGACTTTTTCATGTGCCTCCCTCCTGCAATACCGGGCTTCAACATGCAGAAGAAAGAATGGAGTAGGTCGACTGCTTCAGCTCGATCTTTTGGAACAGGTTCAGATCAGCTGAGAATTTCAGGCAACCTCGACGTCCACTTTATCAAAGATGTGGTCTGGAACACTGCAGCCTTTGACTTTCTGGTGATTGATCCAGAAACGAAGACTCTTGTGCAAGCTGTCGTCACCAATCACATTCGTGGCTAAGAGCACACGGAACTGATTTCTGGGAAAGGAAACGGTCTGTTTATACTTCTGCATGGATATGGCCACTCGGCGAATCACCACGTGAGCATCTGTGTATAACAATCGAGCAGGGGACCCGGCACGGGCAAGACTCTCACTGCAGAAAGGTAACTGCATTGTCCGATGAAGCCAGGAATCAGTGCTTTGACTAACTGCCACCGAGTGTTGCTGAGATTGCGAAGAGGCCTCTATACAGAGTGACCTGCGGAGATATTGGCACCAAAGCTGAAGAAGTGGAAAAGGTAGATGTTGCAACAGTATAGTACACCGACAGCAGTGCAGAGTCTAACACCAAGCAGTATCTTGAATTTGTTTTGTTCCTTGGAAGGACTTGGGACTGTGGTAAGCACACCTCACTGTCTTTCAACACCCGCCCTCTGTTCAAGCTTTACTGATCAGTTCTAGTGGTCCTCTTGGACGAAGCAGATGTATTCCTGGAGCAGCGCTCTCTCGTCAACCTTGAGCGTAATGCACTCGTGTCCGTCTTTCTTCGTGTATTGGAGTATTATGACGGTAAGGAAGAGCCCTTTACCATCCATCGGTGAAGGAGATGGAGATATTTAGACTGTGTGCCCTGATAATTTCACTAGGGGCTCTCATTTTGACGAGCAATCGTATGGGCACTTTTGATGACGCATTCAAGTCGCGAATTCAGCTCAACTTGAGGTACAAATCCCTCGATGAAAACCAACGGCTGCAAATTTGGAAGAACTTCCTGGAGCGACTCGAGGGGCTTGAAAAGAACCGTCTAGGAGGCGACGCTTATAGCTGTGGAATCGACATGAAAGAGATCAAGGGTGAGGTAGAAGTCCTGGCCAAAGCGGAACTCAACGGGCGTCAAATTCGAAACGCCATCTCGACCGCGCGCAAGTTGGCCACCTATAAGCGCGAACCTTTGGGGGCCAGCTGTTACGGCACAAGATAAGCCTATTGCGCTAAACACCCAAAAGAGGGACGTTGTAATGCCGAGAGCATTACCGTGGCTATCACCTATATGCGTACTGTAACACCAGCCACATTAACACGGTGATCAACGAAGCGGAGGAATTTGACAAGTACTTGTGCGAAATGAACAACGGCTTTACCTCGGAAGAAATTCAGAGGGACAAGATGGTGAGATAGGCATACTACTGGAGCAGGATCGAATAGCAAACCCCGTCTCCATAACCTAGATTGTCATCATACTGCAGCATTGCCTATATCTCTATCACATGCGGGACTCACAATGGGCACTATGTCTCTTGTGCTGGCCGACATGCTTCAATCAACAGAATTTATTTCAGTCCATCGCTTGCCACACAAGGTTTGTGCTCCGCACCGAAGACATCAACCATCTCAAGAGTTGACAAGCGAAGCTCGTGTCTTTCCCAAAGTCACGAGTGCTTTGAGCCAGGCAGGACTAGCTACCAATTACAATACCGCTGAGCCATTCGCTGGCGTCGAATAGGACAAGCCCCGCACGCATGTGACATAATTCTGGAGCCGGACAAGTACCTTTCCATGGTATTCAGCTATTGATTGGCTATGAGCTCATGATCCGAAAAGACACGCGGTCATAATAGGAGACCCTTGACTGCCCATTTGGCCTTGTATGGCCTGCTGCCGCTTCCGCTGCATAGCCAAAGCCTGTTGCTGTTGCTGCCTCAGCTGCATGGCCTTCTGCCTGGCCGAGCTTAAGCATTGTGCTTTAAACTTCTCCAGTAACTCTGGTGGGCACGTCTCTTGCCTCAGATGTTGCTGCTGTAACCAGCCGGCCAGGTTCTCCTGGAATAACTTGTTACTCAACATCGAGATCGGATCTTGCGTTTGTAGGGCAACTCTCTGCTGCAGTTGAGCCTGCTGTCCAAATTGATTTTGCGGTATCTTCTGGCTCAGATACTGCCCCTGAGCCACCTGCTGGCCTGTCGGCTGCTGCTGTCGTGCTTTTAAGAGCGCCTGTAAATGCTTGAGTCAGATTACCTGTAATATCAAGAAACCTATAGCTCAGTCGTATCGACTCGGGTGGAGGCACACCTGCTGTTCATGGTGGAGTCGCGTGTGCTGCTGACGGCTGCCAATTGCCTCTGCTGCACTGCCTGGAACTCTGCTATCTTCGCAGGATTTATCTGCATCTTGCCCGTCTTCTTCATGCCTCCTGGTATATCACCCTGCATTCTCTGCGCCATCATCTGTCTATGTTCGTCTTGCAGTCGTTGCATGTGTTGCATCATTTGTACCTGGGACATCTTCGCAGGATCTATCTGCGTAGTATTGCCCACCGTCTGTATACCACCGGGCATGTCACCATACATCTCCTGCGCCATCATTTGTCTCTGCTGCTGTTGCAGTGCCTGGAGGCGCTGTTGTTTCATTTGTTGTTGTCGCATGTGCTGTTGTGCCTCGCCGTCTGATTCATGGACTGTCGTCGAAGCCAGGGGATATTGATGGTGGGGCGCGAGCGATTCCTCCTGCCGTCTACCCAATATGGATATGCCCAATGCTCCTGGCCGCTCTTCCTCGCCTGATATCTTGCAAACTTTGCGCCCCATGTATTCCAAGAGGTTGGCTGTCCTCGCCTCGGCACCGCAAGTATTATCCTTCGATATTGTGTCCTTGTTTCCAACACCCGACAAGTCTCGCGCGCTCGGCGGACGGAGTGGAGCATCATCGTTCAGACGTAATAGATCGCCCTTGCGGTTGGCCGCGTTCGAGAAACTTGAACTCGTAGGTATCGCACTCCAGTCGGTCGGGAAAACTAGAATTGGAACGAAATGTTTTATGAGAGAGCGGAGTCTTCGTACTTGCGTCCCGATCCATGTGGTGCCCTTCGGATTTCCTTCTTGTTGTGATGCTGTTGCTCCTCTCGCAATTCTCTCGCGTCGAAGTGGGACAAGATTCCGAGACGCACGACGGGTATCCTTATGGGGCCAACTTGTCTGATAGGGTTGCCGTGCTGCTCGAACCGAATACTTTAACTAGGACTAGTCTCTTCGGAATGGTTTGTTCGTATATTATTTAGGAGCGGAGCTGGATGCGTGATGAGTGCTCTCCATTGGTTGAGTGGTGCCAACTTCGGAAATACAACCTGAAGCCTGGAGGAGGGAAACCCTCCCTTGTTGGGAAAAGTATTGCACTACGCCGAATCGATCCTATGCAGGCCATTTGCACAGCCACATTTTGGATGCAGTCAGCTGCAGCTGTGGCCCGGTACAGAGACCTGAGACCTCAGTGAGGGAAAAAGTACTGCGCTTCATTGAGGAGGATCTTCAATGTGCCTGGGTGAACAAATAATGACCACCGGGAGCTATTGGGCCGCAATAGGCCTTCATATCCACCCCCCCCCTCCCCCGTTTTTTCTTCTTCAGTTTAAAATGATAATCGCCTAGTACTCTGCACGAGTATTCAAGGGCTTGGAATCATCCTTTGATCCAGAGTGTGAATATAAATTCCCACAGCTTTTGAGACGCCTTCCTGGTAGTCTTCTCATATCTTGCTGAACTGAAAGTCAGCGCGGTCCCCATCAAAGCCGAATAGTGACCTCCAGTCCTGCGATGACTCATCGTGCATTTCAACTGCATACTAGTCTGCACCATCCAGCCACAAGATGAGGGTAAGGCTGAAGCCGTCGTATATCTTTAGCATATTGAAGTGCATCCAACTGGCAAGGTCACATTTGAAATACTATAATCTGTACTTCGTATACGAAATTTGATCAAATTCTCACACCGAAGAAATAAGGGCATCACATGATTACTCTATAGTATAGCGCCACAGGAAAGAGGAATACAACTGGTAATGACCGATCGGGGGACTGAAATTGCTTTAGTTGACAGCAGATTGCGGTGCAAGATTTCGCGAGAACAGAATGTGACAGTAGACAGAAAGTCAAACTTCAGACTGGGATAAATGTCGTAGAACGCATGGCAATGCATGTAACCTGTCAAGCGTGAGCATCGGTTGAAGAAGACGCTAACCAGGCAGCGTGTGGAGTTGGAAGGAAGGCTACCATGAGCACAAGGCAACAGATCCACTGCTGAGGGCCATCAGCAAGATTCCAAGTCCATGCTTCTTCTTGATTGATAAGATTTCCTCGGCCGCTCCTTGCGGTGTCACTCCCATCAACGATATGGATACGGAAGGTTCACAGTTGGCGCTACCTCTAGTGGACAGGTGAGACATCATGGGGTGAGGTGGTGGTAGGCTGCTTGCAAAAAAAGTAACAGACGATTTCTAATGAAGTCAAGTTTTTCAAGACGTCATGGCCCGTCTCGGTGGTTGCGGGTAGCCGGGTAGCTGGCCATATCATCTTCATCGAGTGAATCGGTCCAGGGGGGTGATGTGACTCTTGCAGGTCCCGTCTGAATCCTTCAATTGTAAGTCTCCCATCGTAAATGTCCCATTGTAAGTCCTCCATCGCAAGTAACCCGTCCCAAGTCTTGCCAATCAGCGGTTGTTTCGTCCTAAGTCGCGGTAATCATACCAAAGAACGCGTCAATTGATCGGGCACAAAAGGGGGTTGGTGCTTCTGTATTATGTGTATGGGATTCTCTAGTAGAGAGCATGACCAAATTGCCCCAAGCTTGCAGGCGATCTGGGAGATCGACGGTGTCAAAATAGGTAGTCCGTGGTGCTCTAAAGTTCGTCACAGGCGACAAGAGCGAATCGAGCAAGTGGTTATGTCGCCTAGGGATCATTGCCTTATAAAATTTAGAATAGAATGTAGTCTTTGAAAACTTGATGGGTTGTGGGTGGAGAAACGAGTTCAAAGACTCAATCATATTCAGGGCATGGATTTGGATCAATTTCTTTAGGTGCTTGCCGTGTCATAGAAGAAATCTTTTCGTGTTTTCTACTCCCGGAACAGTAAACATGATACAAAGTTGTCAAGAATGCCTCTCTCCGACCCGTCCACTGTCCAGAACCCTGCAGAAGGCGGGTCAACTTCAGACCGACACCAGTTGCTGCGCCGCGGAGGGATAACAACATTCTTGACCAACACTTCTTGTGTCTCCACACCACGCATCCTCACATCCTCCAAAATGACAAGTCAAGCTGGGGTTTTCCCATTTTGAGCGTGAGTGTGCCGTGGTTGTTTGGCCGTAACCGGCCAGGCATGCTGTCTTGAAGTCCTTCACGGCCACGCCTACGGACCGCAAGAGTACCAACACGTCTCTTGACGCACAATGAGCTTCCTTCCGCCTCGTTCTTACAGGCTAGCTGTGGTTTTCCGAAAATATATCCATGGTCGACGGCACGCCCTCGACCGCTAGAAGCCAGTTTCAGGCGTCATGTTAGACCTCATGACGGGGCAGAAGTCGACCGGTGTGCTTGGGTACAGCTTGGAAAGCTGGAAGGAGGATGAAAAGCCTGAACTTCTGAGGCTCTCGAGAATCTATATAAACCTGTTCACTCACCATCATCTCGAGTGGAATCTTTTGGAAGAACCAGACACAACAAACCAAAAGGCAATACTTTCACTACTCCTGCTCTCATTCACGTTCTGCCGGTCAGAACAACTTGATTTTCTCGTTTCTTTTTACTTTCAATTTCCCGGTCCATCGCTCCGGCAACCTTCGTCCTTTCACAGGCACAAAACTCACCCCGTCCCTACAAACAAGTAAGCAGCCCCGTCACCTCACGGTTGTTGACGGGCAGAGCTTGGGCTAAAGAGGCTCGAACAGGATATTTCAAGATGTGCACTTGGGAGAGACAATTGTACTCCTGTGGTCTCCACGAGAAGTCTGGCCACCAGCCTATGGAGTACTCATGCAACCAGCCCGGGAAGCGTTCACACAGGTACGGCGGTTGCCCACGGAGCGCAGGCAACTCACGGGACTTCACTACCGGCGACTCCTGCCCGACTTGCAACAGCTCTAATGACTGGATGAACGACTATTTCGACTTCGACAAGTACGGTGGTGGCGGCGGAAGCGGTTCCGGTGGCAGCCGCGGGGCTGGCTCCGGAGGCGCTGGCGCCCGTGGATCTGCCAGCCGCCCACAGGGACATTCATCGCGGCATGCAGCTCCTGGTGGCTCTGCATCTCGTCCGGCAGCTCCTGCTGGCCATACATCTCGTCCGGCAGCTCGTCCGGCAGCTCGCCCGGCAGCTCCTGCTGGCCGTGCAGCTCGCCCGGCAGCTCCCAGTGGCCATGCATCGCGTCCGGCAGCTCCCAGTGGACAACGCCGGAGGTGAAGTTCTGTGTTATACGAATGGCGGTGATGCCTTCCTCTTGACTGCGTTGTGCAGCTGGTTTGTGAACCTGTCTCGAGGGCTTGGGGTAATCTTGGTTCCTGATCACGACAATCTTCTGCCGCTGGAGGCGTCTCGCTGGACGGGTTCCCTGGCACGAAGGCGATGGATTGGCCATTCACTCATTTCTCATATCCTGTCATGTTATATGCCGAGTCCTTCTTTTGCGCATTAGCTAGCTACAGGTATCTAGCTACCATCTCCGGCAATTCCATCATAACATTACAGAGAAGAAAAGACAGTGGGGATACCCGCTTCCTCGCGAGCCTTGGAGACTGCGAAAGTGCGTTTGACAGTGTTGTTGATGCCTTCTCTCCCCCGCTCGGTGTATTCTCGCGTATGGAAAATAACCTTTCCGTCCGACAAGGCGGGTTCGGCTCGAAACTGGATTACTCGAGGGTTTTCGTCCCCTCCGGGAATAGATCCCTGGACCAAGAGATACTTGAATCCGAACATGAGTGAGATGTGACCGCCAGGCTCCTCGACGTACGCGTCGATGGGCCCATGCCCTTCTTCGCCGAACTGGTCCTTCCAGGTTCCGGCCTTGAGGTCGAGATCGGCCTTGTCTAGAATGACCTTGGTGTCCCACCACTCTCCAACCCGGTTGGACTGGCAAATGTTCCCATCCGGGTCAGACCCTAGGAGCGAGCAGACTGGATAGTCACTGCCCAAAAGCTCCCTCAGGAGCCCGGACATGATGGCTCTCATTGTTGGCCGGACAAGGTTTTGCATGCCATTATACGTAGCGTCGAGGCCGATGTATGGGGGAGCGGGGAGTGAGGTATCGATGAGCCGAGGAATCCCCAGAGGGATGATGACTTCAAAGACGCATTGGGTGGCCGGAGTGACCATGAAGTCGGGCCGGTCTGGTAGGAGCAACTTGACGGGAAAGGAGTCCATGGTGGATGTTTGTTTAATTGTTTGTTTGAGTCTTTGGATTCTACGCCCAACTTGAAGGGTTGGAGAGTTTTTTCTTCTGATGGATAAGAGGGGATAGGCGTGAGAGACGGAGCTGGAATCTATCGAATTCCCTTGACTGACACAAACTCGACGAGGCTTTTTATAGAAGTCATGGTCCTGCTTGCGTGCGAGGATCACTTGTTGGTTCTGCCGTGGATGGTGACCCCCAACCCTTAATGCCTTGCAGGGCGCACGGTCCACTTGGGAAGAAGCCAATGAGAGGAAGGCACTAGTCCTGATTAGGAAGCCAACCGGCTGGTGTATGCGGCCGCTTCCTTCTCAACGTCGACGGTGGTAAGGTCTCTGAGGTGGCTCAGATGAAAGAGATTGGGAACTGCACAGGCCACCTGCGGTAATAAAGCTGTCATGGTAAAGCCCAGAAATTAGCCCAGAAAAAACGGGGCGAGAACGGCACAGGCCACATGAAGCTGTTGTAGTAAGGCCCAAAAGGTGGTTCGTTCTCCATGTGGTCTACTCCGAGACGTCCAACAGCTCGGTCCCATCGACCAGTCCCATGAGGATATTCTCCTCATCCCGGGACTCGTCGTCTCCCGGGCGAATCACTTTTGAGGAGAAGGACCTGCCCCATACGAAGACCACCTCTTTGGCACGTACCACGGTACAATCAAGGGTGTGGAGATTGACCGCATCCTTGTGGGTGACGGATCGCTGGGCGAGCTGACTGACTGGCGCTCATGGACAAGTTGGGCTTGAAGCGATGTGAGTTGGACGTTGCTGTTGATGTCAGCCGCTGCCTACCCCCCCCCCCCCCCCCCCAAACTTTTCCGCCAATCCAAGGTTCCCATCCAAGTCGAAGCCGCCAACTTGCTATGGAAAACTCGCATGAGCCGCATCGATCTCCCCCAGGCCTTCGCTCGGCGACGCGCCACCCATCCCACATCCTGGATAAGATCTCACCAGTGGCCAAGATAGAAGAGGGTGAAATCCGCACAGACCACTTAAAGCGGTCTCTCGGACGAAATTACCCTCCCCCTCCCGTTCGATTTAAGCTGTGCCGCACACACCACATCAATTTGCAGCCCAACCTCCAGAATCAAGAGATAATTGAGGATAACAAAGAGTCGATTCTTGAGATAGGCTAATACGTATTCTCTGATTATGTCTGATGAGAGATGAAATGGACACAGAATGGCTGGATAAAGCGTTCGTGTAAGCTATCAAGTGACCTGGGTGTTACAGCATTCCGTGATCAATCTGAACTGCCCATCTAATCTGACCCGTCGAAGACAAATTTTCAAAGGAGTATGAAAGCTGTAAGTCATTGCTTTTGTCTGTGTTAGAAGTCGGGGGCTTAGACCATCGTTCTCAGTGGGCTTGTAATCATCGCCGCTGGAGCCGCTGCTCGCACCTCCAGGACTGCCACAGCTCTTCCCACTCTGGGCACTACTAGTAGCCACATGGGGATTAACCTTGCCCTGCTCAAATCGTTTTGCTGGTCAGATAGTTTTTTTTCGTCTTTTTTTTTTTTCAACAGAGATGGACTTGAGTTACGGCCAGTACCAACACGTTTGCCTGAGGTGCCGTCCTGCTTGAGACCGTCGTGTACTCTGATAAATGTCAGTGTACGTCCATGTTGAAGCTAAAGAATGTGCCTTGTTTGACTGTCCGTCACCTGTATCACTCGCTGAATTTTCGCTAATATTATAGAAGTCCTCGTCCAATGGTAACATTTAGTAGTAGTGCCGGAACCGGTTTCAATTAAAAGAAAATTGTATCTGATCTAAAGTCCCATCTAATCATCCCAGCCCCGAGCGCTCATCAATCTTCCCCATAAACAAGAGGAGGAAGCAGAGCGTCGTCGCCGCCTCTCTCAAGTTGCTCCAACAGCGCCATCTCCGCCACCGTCATCATGGAGCCCGGCTTCCCCTTGATCTTCTTCAGGTACGCCTTGTCCACGTCGCTCATCTCCGGCGGGGGCGAGATCTTGAGCGGGGGCAGGTCGTTCAGCTGGCCCGGCGACCCGTACAGGTCATTGTCCGGCGGTGCGAACTCGGGGTCGTTGTTGGCCTGGGTGCTGGCGAGGTTCCAGACCTTGCCCGGCCCGGACTCGACCTCGGTGTCCTTCTCGGCGTCCACTTCCTTCTTCCTGGACAGGTACTGCGCGAACTCGGCCTCGTCGAAATCCTTGAAGTTGGCGCCGTGGGGATCGCGGTCGAGCATCCATGGGAAGCGATGGGGATTGGTCTGGAGATATGAAGGTACGTCTGGGTTGGCCTCTATCCGGCTGAATTCGCTCCGGTCAAAGCTGGAGAACAACGGATGAGTTATTAGCAGCTTATATTCCTTTGGCTTAACTTTCACGAAGTCCTTTGAACTCACAGGTCAATGCCGCCCCTCATCCGATCTATTATTCTGCCTGCACCTTTCCAGCGGGGACCATCGTACCAGATCAGCCCTTGCTGGCCTGCTTTGACAAGTACGTTAGTGATCATGCCGTAGCAAAGTTGACAGGTCCAGCCTCCGTTTCCGAAGACGTAGTCATCCTCGGCACGGTCTTTGCGTAGGTCATTTGGCAGGACGGTCTCTGGTCCCTGATACAAGGTCGCCTGGGGGTGTGGCCACCATTCAGGGCTGGAGTCATCTGAGTCCTTTGTTGGCTCTTTGTCGCGAGAAGCATCTTTGTCTTTTTCATCCGGCTTGTCGATCGACCGCGGTTCTTCCTTCGAAGGAGTTTTCTCCTTCGTTGGGTACTTAGACTTGTCGATCTTGAACCACTGAAAGCTGTACCAGTAGGCCCTCGTCCGGATCGTTACCCTTTTGGGAATATGGCATTTCCTCAGGACCTCCATGGTGTCCGGGCGCACAAGTTCCTCGGCGTCTGACACCAACAGCACGTCTTCCAACGCGGCCTTCTGCGAACCTGTCAGGAGCGGTACGACCTGCGAATAAACGGCGTTGCGAGCTGCGGCCGGATGGTCCTTGCCCGGCGCGAAGTCGGAAGAGGACTGAGAGAGGTTACGACGAATGATCTTCTTGTGATAGGGAGCTAGGAGGGTATTCCATATCCCGTCCAGAATGGGCTGGGCGTCGGTGTCTGAGTCGTCCGAGGGAGGTAAGGAGCTGGGGCCAGTGACTCTGGAAAGGTCGCGCTCCCACCACTCACGCTCGGGGGGACGTTCCGGAGGTGGAGGCTTGATAGATGGAGACTCGAGCAGGACGAAGAAGTCTACGAATGGGGCCATCTGCGCCAGGTGAAGTTCGAGTGCATCGAGGGAGGTTTCGGGGTCGATGAGCATTAGGTCGTAGACTTTTCTTGGAGGACCCGGTATTATTTGACCATCTTCCTGTACGGTTGTGGAGTTGTGAGGTTCTAGGTGAAAGTGAGAGCAAAAGTCCTCGATTTCGTCTGCCTGGGTCACCAGATCTGGTAAAGCAGACCCATGGCTCTTCTCGGGGCGGAGTGGGTATGACGGCCCAAACTTCTTGGGTGTTGGCTTAGGGTTCAGGTACTCATCATCCGCTCGATAGGGCAAGTTGAGGCCGATGATCCAGCATAGGACGAGTGCCGCTGCTGCGGCGATAACCCTCCCATTGTGTGTGGACGGTATTTTGAGCGACATCATCGCGAGGATTCGCAGGAGAGACGGTAGTATTTGCTCCGAGAGGGTCGAGGGAGGACACCCTTCATCATGGCAAAGGATGGATGTCCAGAGCCTGGGCACGAAGGGAGGGCGCCAATGGCTCTCCCTTGGCTCGGACCGCCAGGTCTCAGAGACGGCATCTCACGCGTGTGGACAGGGTTTCGAGCCATGAGAACAGCTGAAGATATCCCGATGGCCCTCCAGCCATCACAGCCCAGGCCTCACGGTCGGACTCGAGTATCTCGTCGGTCCCAGCAAGGGCCGAGGTGGGCGTGTTTGGCAGGTCGCAGCAAGAGATTCCTGCGGGACTAATGGCGGCATCAGTTCTCCTTTGTGGGACGGGATGGGACAGGGTCACAACCCTGGTCACACACCCTTGCCGGCGATCTGCTGTAGATGATCGTCCCTAGGTCCAGAAATGCCCCCACGGGCGCCTCACAAAGCTTATTTTGACTGCAGGGAGGGAGGGACTGTGGTCCCTTAAGTAGCTTGCATTCTGTTGCATTTTGCACTTGCAAAGAATGCAGACTTGCCGGAGACGTCTTGCGCGGCGAGAAGACGTTGAGCATGTGACGAGCCGGTGGGGCAAATCTGCAAGTAGTGTGCTCGGTTGAGGTGGTACAACTGCATCTCCCTTCGCAGTAGACTACCAACAGGGTGGGACAGCTCCAGGAGCCGACAGTTCGCTTGAGTCCCGGTTTTGGTGTTGTCTGCCGTTGGTCAGGCAGAAAAAAAAAAGTTGGGTTAGTTAGACTCTGCCATTTGGCCGTTGGCTCTGCTGACCATCCGCTTTGGATCCTACCCACGTTCAACTTTTCCATTTCTATTTTCTCCTTTCAGTACTGTGTGTCTGCATGGGGCAGATTCGCTGGGTTTATAAGCAGGAAAGGGGGTGCCGTTCCCTCAGAGCCTGCCTCACCCACAGTCGTCTTGCAAATCAATATCTACCTACCTACGCATCTCTTGCCTACTTGATTCAGTCTGCCCTGGTGTACAGTTCAGTATTTAACGCAGTCAGTACTATTTCCACCGTCCCTTAGCAATGTGAGCCCAGGCGCCCAGGCATCCAAGGCAGCGGGGCACAGAGACCTGTCTCGGGCAGCCACTACTCATTTGTCAGGTACTAGCAACAACTTAGGTGTTGCTCCTTCCCCTTCGCATTCCAGTCACCACCGTGTCTCCCGTGGCAGCCACCGCCAAAACAACAGCAACGGCGCCCCTTGCGCCGATCCTCATCATAACCTTGGACCACTGCCCTTGAACTGAGTGTGCTCATAATCAATGGGTTCTGTTGATGCTCACGTCTCTCACCGGCCTCCTTGTGGCCTACTCGAGTGCCATCCTTTCCCACCTACCAACCTCACTCACCAGCACCACCAACACTATGCCGACTGGCGCCATCTTGAGATCCAGAATGTCCCTACCAATAACCGAGAAGCAACAGACAGCCGGAGGAATTGTTTATCCTGCCCACCCAGCCTTTTACATCGCGTAAGAACCCTCGCTACACTCCCTGTCGGTTCCTGTCCCGTCCTGCCTGGTCCTGGCCCAGAGCGAGGATAGTTACTGACCTTTGTGTCCCACTCCCGTTGCAGGACATATATATTCTTCTCGAACCTGACTATTCTCTTCAACAAATGGCTGATAGACACTGCAGGGTTTCGTGAGTGTCTTCCCACCCTGCTTGCCTAAGCGGCCTGCTTGCTAACACTCCAAATCTGCGCCAGCGTACCGTCAGTATCCTTTAGCCCAACCCAGAACCTCCTGCATACGCGCCCCCTGTTCCTAACCTCGATGGTGACTCAGCTATATTTCTGACATGCTGGCACATGGTCTTCTCTGCCATCGCTACGCAGATCCTGGCACGAACCACACGGCTGCTTGATGGGCGAAAACATGTTGAAATGACGGGTCGCATGTATTTGCGGATCATCATCCCAATTGGCCTTCTTTACAGCGGCAGTCTCGTCTGCAGCAATCTGACCTACCTGTACCTGAGCGTACCATTCATCCAGATGCTCAAGGTCGGTCTGACCGGTCCTGCTCTTGTCAAAGGCGTAATCAATGGGATCGCACTAACAGGGTCGTCCAACTCTAGTCCATATCCCCCGTCGCAGTCCTACTCACCAGCTGGGTCTGGGGCGTTGCCAGTCCATCTTGTTCGGTTCTCTTCAAAGTCCTCGTCATCGTCTCCGGCGTCGCGCTAGCTAGCGCCGGCGAGATTCAGTTCCAATGGATCGGCTTCTGGTGCCAGATGAGTGCGATTGGCTTTGAAGCAATCCGTCTGGTCATGACCCAGGTCCTGCTCTCTGGAGATGGCCAGAAGATGGACCCCATGGTCAGCCTGTACTACTACGCCCCCCGTGTGTGCCATCATGAACTTCGTCTTGGTCTGGTTCACCGAGATGGCGACCTTCAAAATGGAGGACTTCGTCAGAGTCGGACCACTTATCTTGATAATCAACGCTTCCGTGGCCTTCCTGCTGAATCTTGCCAGCCTGTTTCTGGTGAGTGTATGCTACCCTGAGGCAAGAGAATCATTCACTAACCTGTGCCCAGATCGGAAAGACAAGCAGCTTGGTGCTGACATTGACCGGGATTTTCAAATCCATCCTCCTTGTCGTGGCCGGGGTATTAGTCTGGGCCTCACCCATCAGCCCGCTCCAACTATTCGGCTACAGTTTGGCACTCGCGGGCCTTGTATCCTACTCTGTGCCGCTTGAGACCATACAAGAGTTTGTGGTAGAGATGAGAAAAGGGCTCGTGACAATTTCGCCATCGTCGCCATAGACCTTAGTGTTCAAGACCCTGCAGGCGATTTCTCGCGACATTCCAATCCGTTGACGCCCGGCGTCTTCAGATTTGGCACCCGGCTGCTCTTGTTCGGCAACATAGTCTCCCACCATTGTAATTTGGTATTGGACTGCCTATACGATGGCAGAATATTCAGAAAACGCCAATGGCCTGCACGGAGCGCCCGTCTTGTACCATACTCTCACAACATCCATCATCAGAAGCGTCCTGAAGCAGCAGTGAGGAATATTCACTACCAGCTACAATGAAATGGTCTACGCCATGACGGCACCGATGATGACTTTCTTGAAGGTTTAGAAGCTGCAGAGACTAAGAGACCACAGAATATATATAAATGGGCTATATAGGCACTTAATAATGCAGGTATAGTACGCTGTCCGTGCCATCTGATGTGTAGTCGCGACGCACGACATGGGTACACACAAGCTAAGCCCGACGGCAGATTTCAACGACTTTGAGAGCCTGCCACATGCTCTTTGCAGTCAACAGTAGTCGCGTATTTGTTCCTCACTCCATTCCCAAAATTTCCGGGCGTGACCATTACCACCCTCATCCTCTGTTTTCGTTGCATCTTGCAAGTCTTTGCGTATCTGATACAGCCGACCCCAAGGAACAACTGACGTATTCCGATTAGTTTCACGCATCGCACCCGAGAAAATACACAGGGTTTAGGACTAGCTCACCCCATTTCCCACTATCGCCCACAGTGATCGCCGGCGACAGCCCACAGAAGAGCTCCGTATAAGCCCCAAACACGGGCGGGTAGAGGACAGGGCTGATGGCCGTCTTGAACAGCCACCCGCTCTCGCGGTAGAGGTCTGAGCGCAGGTGGCCCGGGTTGCAGGGGACGCTGACGATGCCGTCGGCGGCGTGGCGCCGCGCGAACTCGGCGCCGTGCAGCCAGGCGCCGGCCTTGCTGACGCCGTAGCGCTCCAGCGGCATCAGCGACGGCCAGTACGAGAGGTAGTCCTCCGAGATGCCGCGGCCCTTCTCGCCGACGGCCTCGGTGCCCATCGAGGACACCCACACGACGCGGACGGACCCGGCCGGCTCCGCTGCCGCGGTCGCCGCGAGGACCGGGGTGAGGAGACGCGTCAGGAGGAATACGCCCAGCACGTTGACGCCCAGGTGGAGCTCGTGGCCCTGCGCCGTCTTGGTCTGGCCCTCGCTGTCGCCGAGGGCCTGGACCGCGGCGTTGTTGAAGAGGACGTGCAGCTTGGTCTCCTTGGCTGTGAACTGCTCTGCGGCCGACTTGATCTGGTTGAAGTCGGCCAGGTCCAGGCGCAGGAAGACCAGGTCGCCCGAGGAGTTTGGCCAGGCTTTTCTGAGGTCGGCGATGGCGCGGTTGGCCTTTTCTTCGGAGCGGGCTGCGATGTACACCTTTGCGTTTTTGGAGTACAGGATCTGTGCCAGCTCCTTGCCGACTCCTGTGTTGGAGCCGGTGACGATGTACACCTTTTTTGGTGTATTTCGATTAGTTCATCTATGCTATTTGATCTCTCTGAGGCTACCGCTGCGCACCTTGCCGTGCAAATCCGGCACGTCCTTCTCAGTGAACGGTGGCTTGGGCGGCCACATCTGCGTGAAGATGCTGGACCATGACAGCATGGGCGGTCGCGGGGGACGGGCCATGATCGTGTTCCTGGCGTGCGGGAGTGACGAGCTCTGCTGGCCCCAAGCGCTGGGGGGAGCACTCGACGGAGCGAGGCATCAGCGATTCTGAATTGAACACTGGCACTTACAATGGCCTGACTGGTGACCCGAGTTCACTACTCTTGGCCGCATGTCAGATGCGGAAGATGGTGCCGAATATTGTTCGCAGGGTTTGTCATTGACACTGCATATTCGGAAGGTCTGTTCGCTCCCAGCCTCAGTAAACCTTATTTGTGCGGTGTGCCGGAACCGACTCATGCAGCTGTAGGCATGGTCGGACCATCGCATGATTTCTACACCGCTATACAGATTACCTTGGTCTGTTTCATACACATGTTCTCAGTATGATAGTAACCTAAGCGTGAAAGTCAATGTGACCTGCCTGACATGCGGCTATTATACTTTTATTAAGTTTCCGGACAGTATCCACCGTCCCGGGAATGGGGCAGGGTCGGTCCGCCGACCCTTGAAGACTGAGTTTCCGTGGAACGTGATCTCATTTAATTATTGATTCAAAATCTGTCTAGCGTCCGGTTGGCTCCGAATGCAAGGTTTATGGAGAAAATCGACGAAGAATGACATTCCTTTTGGGGGGGGGGGGCAGTTACCCCTGGACTCTTAGCACAATTTGGCCGTGGTCGCTCAACTAGGCATCAGAAAGCGTCCCTGTGTATGAGCATGAGCAATGTTTTCGAGTTATTTTCGGACCTGTTCCAATAGTGGCTGATGACAGGGCAACCACTGTGAAGTAGCCCAGGGCTCAAGGATTCACTCATGTGGCGGCCAAACAGGAAGTGCAATGTAATCATTTCTCACGACAATTGCAACCATTCTCTGCAAGGACGGAGACGAACCAATTGAATTTGGCCGGTCGAACGCCCATTCATGTGGACATGTCCCAGATAATTCTCGTTCGTAATGACCTCTTTCGATATCAGATCGTGTGATACTTTGGCTTCAGCCTGACATACAGACCACCCTTCTCCCACATCAAATAAGATTTTTGTCGATGCAACCAATCTCTACTTTCTTCAGTCAGCTCAATGTCGAAATTCCACAACAGGCGAGCAATGATGTAATGCATTTCGGCCCTTGCGAGACTATGATTCTTGATTAGCAAAAAAGCAGAAGACATCCATGGACAGGCAGGCTCTCACTTCATGCCTAAACAGTTCCTTGGACCGTAAGAGAACGGCTGAAAGGCATCTCTGCGATCATTCGCAAATTCTGAGCCCTTCCCATCGCTCAACCATCGCTCCGGGATGAACTCGTCGGCACGCTTGAAGTTGCACTCGCTGCGATATATGACCCGGCTCGGGATGCCCACGATGGTCTGTTGACACGGTACGCGTCAGTGTTGGTGAGTCGAAGAAAATGTGATTTTGGCGTGCTCACCTTGCCCGGGATCCAATCCCCCAATACCCAGTTTCCTTCAGGGGGCGTTTGGCGCCACAAGGCGTTTGGCCCGGGTGGATGGTACCGAAATGCCTCATCTATAACAGCGCCCAGGTACCGAAGTTTCATCGAGCTCTGCATGTCGATCTCTGACTCCCTGGAGAAGGCATCTCGCAGTTCCTGGTCGGCCTTGGCTTTCACGTCCGGGTGTATACCCAGCATGTACGTCACGGCCGACAAAGCGCTTGCTGTGGTCTCTGCACCAGCCAAAGTCAAGGTGAGAGCGTTACTGTAAAGTTCCTCGCGGGACATGGACTGTACAATTGTTGATGTGGTTAGCTGCGGATCTTCAATACATAAAGTCAGCGTGTGGTGACTTACCAAGCCCTGTCTTTCTGCCAGCATTGTCTGCACCAAGTCTGGTCTCGGATTCTCGAGAGCTAGCCTTCTATCTACTTTTTCCCGGAGGGTCTTCTTCGAGCCTATGTATTCTTTCACCATCTTCACGGTGGCTATTACCGGTGAATAGAAGAGAAAGAAGGGGATCCGCATGCAAAGAAGTAGGATGTAGGTGAGCTTAATGTTGCTGATAACGAAGTCAACCCACGGGTGCATCATGGACTGCTCTAAACATCCAAAAGGCTCCCCGTCTGCGAGAAACTGAGTTAGTAACTCAGTCAGGGACATAACGATTTCGACATAAGATCGACGTTATTGAGGGGAACGCTCTCCATTGCTTCGCCCAGAAGCCACAACTAAATGCACTGGCTCATGCGGCCTCATTCACCAAAGGCGGGAAATAATTAAAAAAAAAAAATGTGCTGGTGGGCTTGAAAATACTTACAAGCGAGGTTTCCCGTTATATCGAACAAAGTATAGAGATACCATCTCCACACATCAACGGAAGTATCCCCCGCCCTGGCCCTGAGGCGTTCGAAAAGCAAGTCAACAAATCCCACGATGGCAGGCTCCTGGTCGAGCATCGCGCTGGCGGTGAAGCCGAAATTCAGGATCTTCCGGATTCTCCCGTGGTCGCCGAGCTCTGCCCCGAGAATGTCATTGCTGTCCCTGCTGGCGTACCAGCCCGGCTTCATGTTCTCTTTCCGCTTCCCGGCCTTGTAGCGGCCGTAGACCTCCTCCCACGCATCCGGGGAAGAGAAAGACAGCTCGTCGGGGGCCACGCGGACTACTGTGCCGTATCTGTTGTGGAGGTCCATCAGGCTCTCATGCATCCTTCCGGCCATGAAGGAGAATCCCCATGGTAGTGATGAGGCCGCCCAGAGCTTTGGTCCGGGGTACTTGCGCAGTGGGTGGAAAAAGACATTGTAAACTGGCCGCACCACGACAACGCAGAAGGTGAGCTAGGCATCAGTCGTTAGTTGTTTCGGATTCACTGGCTAACTTGGAACCAGTGACCGACTTACAAGACTAAACGCGTATAATAGCACAGACTGCCAGGAGACAGAAGTTGTAACCTGGAACAGCATCTTCACAAGCGTAAATTGCAATAAGTGCGGTTTCGCAGAATTGACTAGCACCTCTCGTTCACCCAGAACTGGGGCATCAAGAAAGCAAGTAGATACCCAGGTGTGAGAAATGCTCTCTGATCAGCCAAGACTCAGGACTCATTTGATGTTACATTGCTGAAAAGCGCAACTGTTCATGACTCTGCAGGTTGTGTGCTCCGAATGCATGTACTCGTAAGGTTCCACTTATGTGTCAGGCCAAAAGCTGCAGCTTGCCGAGTCGCGGTCGGTTTCCTCTTACGGCTGTCGAGAAAATAAGGTTCAGCATTCAGAACTTGGCCGCTACGAGCATCCATCGCAGAACAGGGCAACCGTAAAGCGACACGTGCATTGGTCGGTGGGCGAAAACACAGGAGCGAGTGCCTGCCAAACTTGGTGTTTTGAATAACGTCACAAGCGAAGTGGTGGCGTTAATTTGGCAGTTGCCTTTGGAACCTCAGCATCTGCTTGGCCCTGGCCACAACATTTGAACGCAAGGGGCTTTCAATTTGTCACTGCTTCAACACACACACACACACACACTGGAGAAGAAATGGCGACACCGAGAACTCAAACTGCTGTGATACAGTCCAAAGCGTCTCCGAGACCGTCTGGACTGCCGCTAGCTATCACTTCGTCGAAAGCAGTGCCTGAGTTATCGTCCCCGTACCATGTTGTCGTCCGAGTCCTCGCTGTGGGGCTGAACCCCACAGACTACAAAATGATAACGCACTTCTTTATGGATGGCAACACAGTTGGATGCGACTTCTGTGGCATCGTGGAGTCGGCTGGGGAATCTGCCTTGGTATCGCCTGGCGACAGAGTCTGCGGTGCGGATTTTCCATATCGACCCGACAATAAGCTGAACGGCGCTTTCGCCCAGTACGCCGTCACCGATTTTCGCCACGTGCTCCGGGTCCCGAAGGACTGGAGCGATACCCAGGCTGCTGCGCTGGGTGCTATCGGCTGGTGCACTGCTTGTCTTGCAATTTCAGACCCAGCGGCCTTGAACCTGAAAGGAATGCCCTCTCGGCCAACGGAGAAGTCAAGTCCTGTTTTGGTCTATGGTGGAGCAACGGCAACTGGTCTTATGGCCATTCAAATGTTGAAGTTGTTAGTGAAACCCTATCCGGATGACACGAAAACTTGTGTAACAGGCACTGATTGAGGAAATTGGCTTCAGGTCTGGCTATGATCCTATAGCGGTCTGTTCTACGAAGTCTGCGCCACTGGTCAAGGAATATGGCGCTGTAGGGACGGCTGCCTATACGTCCGCGGACTGCCTCCAAGCAGTCCAGGCCCTCGCAAATGGGCTTCCAATCAAGTACGCGCTCGACTGTATCACGGATGCAGAGTCTACCGCGTTCTGCTACTCTGCTTTGGCGCGGGTGGGTGGCCGCTATGCCTGCCTCGAAGACTGCCCCGAATCCTGGCGCACCAGGCGTGCGGTGAAGTACAAGGCGGTCATGGGGTTTGAAGCCTTGGGATTTGACGTTGACCTCAATCACCCCGTGTATGCCCGCAAGGCCAATCTTGAGCTCCACGGTATTGCCTTGCAGTGGGCTCAAGAAATACAGTCGCTGCTAGATCAAAAGCAGATCAAGACGCAGCCGATCCGCGAGATAGATGGCCAGTTCGAGGGGATAATCAGAGCGTTGGAAATGCTACAGAAGGGGGAGGTGAAAGGCGAGAAACTCGTTATACGCGTATCAAATTGATTCCAATAGGAGCCACTTTCGCTCAGCTCGTGCCACTCCACAAGTACTCATATCAATACAATTGAGCTTGAAGTGCTGTTTGATGGCATACTGGAAACACACGGAGCATTCCCTGGACAATATCCCTGAAATGGCCAGCTCAAGCATTACGTAGGTTGTTGTTCAGTACTGTACCACAGCCAAAACTAGCCCTACGCCAGCTTAAGATGCACGTTATTGTATTCGGTATTTCCTCGGGAAGTCTCAGAGCATGTAATAGCACAATATCACTCATCATAGAAGTTTTCTGCTGTAGTGAAAACTTGGCCTCTCAAAATCCTCACGTGTGCTGCTCACGCTGGCACCACTGTTCGGCGGGACTTGCCCATAGGAGTAAGAGTGCACGTCCTCGGGAAGCTGCAGTTCAATGACAACAATCCTTGCCGTCTACACTATAGGGTGGATCTCAGCAACTATTATCGGTGAGATACCCTGCTCAATGCATGACTTGTGGGGTCGTTGGGAACTCGGACGGTAGGGCTTGGCAACTCCATGCCCTATCATCGCGGGACCAAGGTGATGAGGTTCCATCTTGACGAGGCTGGGCTCTGAATCAGGGATTAGTAGACTTATAGAGACGAATCAAATGCAAATCGCCTTGTGTCATGTCAAGTGGTGAGTGAGAATCTCCCAACTTGTTTGGTATGTAATTTCCAGCCAAATCCGATTACACGCTGAGCAAGTTTCCTTGCTGCGGAACACATGATCACCCGTCGCGTCAAATTCAACAAAAGATCCCCAGGTGAGTTCTATGAAACCAGGGACGTGAAATTGGGCTAAGTGATGCTAAGAGGTGTTCCAGGAAACTGTTAGGCTTCTCACCAAATCACAAACAATGCCGGGGAAAGTCTCACCAAAGGAGCCCATCGCAATAGTGGGCAGCGCCTGCCGTTTTTCTGGAGACGCAAACTCGCCTTCAAAATTATGGGAGCTTCTGAAAGAGCCGCGAGATGTCCGCCGCGAGATCCCGGACTCGCGCTTCAGCGCTCAGGGATTCCACCACCCTGACCATTCTCACCATGGACGTTCTAATGTTACGCATTCGTATCTGCTAAATGAGGATCCGAAGGCCTTTGATGCCGAATTCTTTGGCATCAACCCCATAGAGGCACGGGCTATGGATCCGCAGCAGCGATTGCTAATGGAGACGGTCTACGAAGCCTTAGAATCGGGCGGCATGACGATCGAGAGTTTGCGAGGAAGCGATACATCTGTCTTCGCTGGAGTGATGTGTGGTGACTATGAAGCTATGCTTCTACGAGACCTGGATGAAGTCCCGACCTATTTTGCAGTAGGAACCTCACGTGCTGTCCTGTCGAATCGCATCTCGTATTTCTTTGACTGGCATGGAGCGTCGGTTACAACGGACACAGCCTGTTCATCAAGCCTAGTCGCCGTCCATTCAGCTATACAGACGCTGAGAGAAGGGGATTCTCGTATGGCAGTAGCTTGCGGGTCCAACATTATCCTTGGGCCTGAGATGTACATCATTGAGAGCAAGGTATGCAACCACTGCATCATTCAAAACGTCATGGCGACTATGCTCACAACTTCCAGCTCAAGATGTTATCCCCAGATGGTCTAGGACGGATGTGGGACAAGGATGCCAATGGATATGCCCGAGGAGAGTACGTCTTGTCCCTGCCAAGCACTCCTTACCACGCATCAGCTTCGGCCTGGCGGCCAAATGATCCCCATACCCCCTCCTGAGACGCCGAGATTGCCAGGTATGCTGACGAAAAATCAAACAGTGGTGTAGCCGCAATCACTCTCAAGACCCTCAGCGCCGCTCTGGAAGACAATGACCACATCGAGTGCATCATACGAGAAACGGGGCTCAATCAAGATGGCGCAACTGCAGGACTAACCATGCCTAGTGCTACGGCACAGAGGTCCTTGATCAGAGCCACATATGCCAAGGCCGGGCTGGACATTAATTCTCCTGCAGGTCGTCCGCAATATTTCGAGGCTCATGGCACTGGTACACCAGCAGGAGGTAGGTTTGACTCATAGTATCCCACTTCTGTACATTACACTAATGCTGATTTTGTCTCAGACCCAGTAGAAGCTGAAGCTGTCAGCAGTGCCTTCTTCGATGGGGAGCGGCTGGGTAGCAAATCAGAGACAAGCAGCAACCCTCTATATGTTGGCTCCATCAAGACAGTGCTGGGCCACACAGAAGGGTAAGTTCTATCCAACGATTGTATCCCATCCTTTGAACAAATCTTGGGAACGTTAGTGACACCACGAGTGATATAGGACCGCTGGCGTAGCCGCAATCCTGAAGGCGTCCTTAGCCCTCCAGAATTCCTGTATTCCGCCCAACCTCTTGTTCAACAACATCAACCCGTCTGTCGCGCCGTTCTATGGGGATCTCCAAATCATCAAAGATGCTAGGCCCTGGCCCGTTGTCTTGGGTGGCCAACCGAGGAGGGCCAGCGTCAACAGTTTCGGGTTTGGTGGTGCCAATGCCCACGCCATTTTGGAAAGTTACGACAGCTCAACGAATGACTCACGGGGTAGTTGTGGTGCCGACAGAACCCTCTTCACCCCGTTCGTCTTCTCCGCTGGCTCGTTAGATTCCCTACGAGCCAACCTCAACGCATATGCAGCGTATCTCGACGCACATTCTGAAGTGGACATCGGTGATCTTGCCTACACTTTGCGCGAACGGCGCTCCGCCCTTCCACATCGTGTGTCGCTCCCAGCGACAGCTTCACTGACGGAACTCGTAACTGCGATCAGAACCAAGTTGGACGAGGGAGAAAAGACAATCGGCGTGAGGACGCTGCCTGGAAAGGCCGCTGGTGCCCCTAAAATTCTTGGGGTATTCACCGGACAAGGTGCACAGTACGTACGCCAGGGAGCTGAACTTCTAGAGCAATCCCCTTTTGCTCGACGCATTATCCAGACACTAGAGGCGGATTTGGCCCGGCTGCCAGCAGAGGATCGGCCAACCTGGTCGCTTGAGGCTGAGATTCTTGCCGGGGCTTCAACTCCCTCGAGAATTAACGAAGCAGCCATCTCGCAGCCATTATGCACTGCAATGCAGATCGTCATGGTTGAGCTCCTCAGAGAGGCAAATATCCATTTGGCTGCCGTGGTGGGCCACTCCTCCGGCGAGATCGCTGCCGCCTACAGTGCAGGCTTCCTGACCGCCCGCGACGCGATATATATCGCTTATTACCGAGGTCTGCACTGCAGACACGCGGCAAGCCCCAATGGACAAATTAAGGGCGCCATGCTGGCTGTCGGCACCTCTATGGAAGATGCCCTCCAACTTTGTGAGGATGAGGAGTTCGCAGGCCGCATCAACCTGGCTGCTAGCAACTCAAGCTCGAGCGTGACGATATCCGGAGACGAGGATGCGATTGAGGAGCTGGAATTTATTCTTGAGGACGAGAAGAAATTCCACAGGCGCTTGAGGGTGGACATGGCGTACCATTCCCAACACATGGAGCCTTGTTCGGGTCCCTACATCGACTCGCTGCGGCGTGCAGGCGTCAAGGCACGGTCCCCTCCATCTTCTTCGTCACCATGCACCTGGTATTCCAGCGTCAATGATGGAAAGCCTGTTGAGCTATCTTCAGCGTTAAGCGACATCTACTGGGCAGAAAACATGACGAAGCCGGTACTTTTCTCTCAGGCACTCAAGTCTGCCCTCATGGCGACCGCGGCCTCGACTTTTGACGCTGTGCTCGAAATCGGCCCACACCCGGCACTCAAGGGTCCTGCATCCCAGACAATCCAGGAGCTAATCCAAGATGGCCTCCCTTATCATGGGACTTTGTCTCGTGGTAATAACGCCATCACAGCATATTCGACCTGCCTTGGATTCTTGTGGGAGCGACTAGGCGGGGAGTCTTCCCGGATTGACCTAGGGCGTTGCCAAAGGACTTTGTCTGACTCCGGCAAAGACTCACGTTTCAACGTATTGAAAGGACTGCCCACGTATCAGTGGAAACACGATACTTCACACTGGCACGAGTCCAGGAGATCTCGGCGGATTCGCTCGAGAAAGGAGCCCTTCCATCCTCTTCTGGGAGACAAATCTCCTGACAGCGCTGGTCATGTTCTGCGATGGAAGAACATACTCAAGCCGAGCAAGATCCCGTGGCTTGAGGGCCATCAGGTCCAGGGGCAGATTGTGTTCCCGGCTTCTGCATACCTCAGCACGGCAGTGGAGGCGGCATTGTCTCTAGCTGGTGGCAAAACCATCAAGCTCATTGAGCTGAGCAACTTCACCATTCACCAAGGCCTCGGATTTGAGAACCGAGATGCTGGCATTGAGGTACAGATAGAGTTGACACGAATTTCACAGCTCAAGCCAGACCATCTCACCGCATATTTCACATATTCGGCCGCGACTGGAGGGGTTGAAGACTCAGAGCTCACGCTGATAGCCGACGGAGAGCTGACAATTCGTCTTGGTGACGCCTCACTCAGCGTACTTCCTGCCCGTCGGCCAACAGCACCACACCTTTTGACTGTCGACCCCGTACGTTTGTACAATTTTATGGAGGGCTTGGAATACAACTTCAGCGGACCCTTCCTGTCCCTGGTTGAACTCAGGAGGAAGCTAGGCATAGCTTCTTGCGTTGCCAAGAAGGCCAAGGCATCATCACAGCCCGATGCCGACTCCCTGCTCATCCATCCTGTCGAGTTGGATGCTGCTATTCAGTCGGTCAGCCTTGCGTATAGCTATCCTGGTGACGAGCAATTGAGACTCCTCCATATGCCAACGACAATTGCCAAGATCAGGGTTAATCCGGCAGTGCTGACCCTCCAACAGAAGCAACAGGCTGCAGCCGATGACAACACTGTTGGCATTGACTCAACATGCAACCGTGATCGCCGAGCACAACCTGGATCAGGATTCTCTGGAAACTTCAACATCTACACCAACGGCTGTGCCAACGCCGCCATACAAGTTGACCAGGTCAAGTTCCAACCAGTCAGGTCGTCAGCCAGCGACGATCGCAACGTCTTCTACAAGATGCAATACGTGCCGTGCGAGCCAGACGGCACACTCGCTGCTGCCGACATCCCCATCACGAAGTCCGACACCGACCTGCTGTGGGCATTTAGTAGAATTGTCTGCTACTATCTGCGGGAGTTTGACAGGGTCCCAGAAAATTCCCCGATAAGGTCGGATGGCACCCTCAAGCACTATCTCAGATACGCCAGGCACATGACCGACCTCCTCAAAAAGGGCGGGCATAGATACGGAAAGGTGGAGTGGCTCAATGACAAGCTTGAGGACATCATGGCGGAGGTTGAGTCAAAGGGGTGAGTGGGCCTTCTTTGCAACGTGCACCACTTTCCTTGGTATACCATGACTAACAAATTGGCCCTCTGAGTTATTCAGACTCGCCGAGAATCCGGTCGTCAAGATTATGCTGCTTGTAGGCAACACCATGCCCAAGGTCTTCAGAGGAGAGACTACTATGCTAGAGCACTTCCGCACATCTGGTCTTCTGGACGAGTACTACGCGAAAGGCTTTGGCACTGCTCAGTCGACCATGTGGCTTAGTAACATCGTGAAACAAATCACTGATCGTCGCCCCCACCTGAATCTTCTCGAAATTGGTGAGCTACTCACTCTAGTTTATGTCTCTACGGTCCATGTCGCTAACAATTCTCCAAAGGTGCTGGAACCGGAGGTGCCACGAAGCAGATTCTTCGCACAATTGATCGCAGCTTCAACTCATACACCTTCACAGACATATCATCGAGCTTCTTCGAGAATGCTGCTGAGAATCTCGCGCAGTGGAGAGACCGTATGTTATTCAAAGTCTGCGACGCCGAACAGAATCCTGTCGACCAAGGCTTTGTCGAAGGGCAGTACGATGTGGTGATAGCCTTCCTAGTTGTGCATGCCACGGCGAAACTAGACGAGACCATGCGTAACCTCCGCAAGCTGCTCAAGCCTGGCGGTTTCTTGCTCATCGGTGAGGGCAATAGCGAAGGCCCGATGCAAGCTGGCGCCAGTTACATATTTGGCCCGCTGCCCGGATGGTGGCGCGGAGTTGATGAAGGCCGGTCCCTCACGCCCTTCATAAATGTTGACGAGTAAGTCAAGTCTGAAAGACATTTGATGACAGTCATACTCGACCATTCTTCGTTTTCACGGTCAAAGTTTTGGCCGAAAGCGTCATCTTCCTGCCTCTATTGATTTGTGAGCGGAAACACTAACTATTCATCTCAAGGTGGCACGCGATCTTGAAGCGCACCGGCTTCTCCGGAATCGACACAATTTCGCCTCAGAAACTGCTAGACACCTTTGGCACAATCCTATTCGTTTCTCAGGCGACAGATGAGCGCATAGAATCCATCCGAGCGCCACTCAAGTCTCCTCCAATCAGCTCTTTGGCGGAAAATCACCTGGCCATCGTGGGTGGGAAGACACCTGAGATTTCTGCTGTCGCTGAGCAAATCGGCAAAATTCTCGAGCCTCTTTTCAGTCAGACACAGATTTACGCCACTCTCGAGGAGCTAGAGCACGTTGTTCTTGATGATCGACTGTCCGTCATCAGCTTGACAGAGCTCGAGCATCCTGTGTTCAAGAACATCACGCCTGAAAGATGGTCAGGATTTAAAAGGCTGTTCGTGGGTGAGAAGACTGTGCTCTGGCTCACGAGTGGCCGTCTCGAGGAGGAACCCTATGCCAACATGACCGTTGGCTTTGGCCGCTCCGCTGTGCATGAAGAGGAAGATCTGGTCCTCCAACTGTTGGACATTCCTCATCGGAAGCACGTCGACGCCTTTAACATAGCAGAGACCTTCGCGCGCCTCGCAGCAAAGCATCCATCTGACAAGGAGATCCTCTACACGATGGAGCCAGAAGTCGTCGCAGATGCGGAAGGTCGCCAACTGGTTCCTCGACTGTGCTCCATCCAGGGCGCAAACGATCGGTTGAATTCCGTCCAGCGCACGATAGTCCACCATCTTGACGCGAAGAATACAGAGGTTGAGCTTCAATGGGACCATGATAGCTACAGCATCCGGCAACTGTCTAGGTTCGAGGCCTTGAAGTTGGCTGAACAGTATGTGCAGTCCCTACTTACAACTCAATCTCCTATTCCTAAGCGAGCTTCTCTGCCCATGGAGGAGACAGCCGCTGCATATTCAATTCTCCTCATTTCCAAAGTCTTGGTGCTTGTAGATCCGCATCTAACCTCGATAGGTCTCGAATCATCGAGCTCCGTGCCACGAAAACCATGTTGTCAGCTATAAGGACACCAGCTGGTCAGATGTTCCTCGCCATGGGCATTGATACCAGTGGGTTGCGGTACATCACATTCGCATCATCTCTCACATCGGTTATCAAGGTTCCACAAGAGCTGGCTATCCCTATTTCCGCAACTACCCTAACGGACGACGATATCCTCATGCTCACAGCAGCCCAACTTGTTGGGACTGCTGTTGTGGACTCCTTGCTCCCCGGCCAGAAGATGATCCTTCACGATGCTCCCAGAGTACTGGCCCAGGCTATTGAGTCGAAGGCTCTGTCTAAGGGCGTACATGTTGTCTTTACGACGGATGAGACTGACGAGGAACAGTTGCCGGATTATTGGATCCAGCTTGCTCCCAATTTGGGGTCTTCGGATCTCGTTCAATTAATTCCCACAGATGCTGCTTCATTTGTTAGCTTCTCGAGGGAAGATTCCGACCAGCACACTATATCATCTGTGTTGTCGCCTTATTGCCGGAAGGAAAACACGCACACCTTGTTCTCTCACACCGGAACGGAGTATGACCGACAGTCTCGCTCAATCCTCGTAGGGTTGCTCAAATCAACAGTCAACAATATCCAAAACCAGTCCCATGAGCATGTTGCACAGACTGTCAGCCTGGAGTCTTTTGCCCGCGGCAAGTGCCCTGAGGGGCCATTGTCTGTAGTAGACTGGACATCCTCGTCAGCTCATCTCCCTGCACGAGTCACCAGATTCGACACGAGACCGCTGTTCAGAGGTGACAGAACCTACTGGATATGTGGTCTCTCTGGGGCCTTAGGTATTTCGCTCTGCGACTGGATGATCGGTCGGGGAGTGAGGCACCTGGTCTTGACCAGCAGGAACCCAAGAATCGACCCGGCTTGGGTCGAAGACCACAAACGTCACGGTGCAAATGTTGAAATATTTTGCTGGTATGTAATGACACCCTGGATCCGTGCGTGGAGCCCTTTTACTGACAGTTTTTATTCTTGAAGCGACGTGACAGACGAAGCAGCTCTCCAGGCCGTTCACCGCAAGATCACCGCCTCACTCCCTCCTATTGCCGGCGTCCTAAACGGTGCCATGGTTCTGAGGGATGTTTCAGTCCGCAACATGGCGTTTGACCAAGTCACAGACGTTGTTGGGCCCAAGGTGCTCGGAAGTATTCACCTTGATCGCATTTTCCACGAGACGAAACTCGACTTCTTCATCCTTCTCTCCTCCATCAACTGCATCATTGGAAACGTTGGCCAGGCAAATTACGCCGCAGCCAATATGGGCATGTGTGGGCTGGCTGCTCACCGCCGTAAACGGTAAGCAGATTCTAGACATGCCCTGAAATTCTACGAGAATATAGCTTGGCAGACTTTTCCCTACACCTCGTCTCAATGGTCTGATTGCTGACTCCAACAAATGTAGTGGTCTCGCCGCAACGGCCATCAATGTTGGTGCTGTTATTGGGGCCGGCTATATTACCGAGTCTGATCGCCAACTCGATGCGGTGGTTGCAAAGATGGCCATGATCCACCTATCAGAGGATGACTTCCATCAGATCTTTGCTGAAGCTATAGAGGCCGGTCACGTCGATTCACCCGACGGACCAGAGATATCGACCGGGCTTCTAGATATCTCGGCTGATTCGATCAATATCCCTAAGTGGTACTCGGATCCGAAATTCTCTCGATTCATTGTCCACAAGTCAACCAGCAGCGGAGACCAGAAGAGGCAGACCAAGGCTGCGTCTATTCAAGAACGTCTTTTGGCGTGCCACTCAGAGGAAGACGTCCTCCATGTCGTCAAAGGTATATTGATCTCCGTGCGTTTCAAATCAGCTCAAATACAGGAATGCTGACAGTATAAATCAGTGAGCCTGGCTGCTCAGCTGCGCACAATTCTACAACTATCGACAGCTGATGACGATCTCATGTCGATGCGCAGTGTCGACCTCGGACTGGATTCACTAGTCTCAGTCGACATCCGGTCATGGTTCTTGAAGAACTTCGAAGTCAGCATTCCAGTGCTAAAGATCATGGCGAACGACGTATCCATGGCGACTCTTGCCGAGCTCGCTGCTGAAGGAGTTCCTGCTGAGATGACCCCCCATGTCGGGAGGCAAGGACAATCTCAAAACGCAGACGACAATGGCTCGACGAGCGACGACGGCCCCAGCACTCCGGAAAACGAAACAATTTCAACAGCTTCTTCATCCGACACCGGCGTGACTACGCCGACCAGTTCCACGGAAGTTAAAGACCTGTCAGCCGTTACTTCTGTCAGAAACGGCATCGACTGGGACGCCGAGGTACAATTGCCCGAGCCTGATCGCTTCTCGGGCTTGGGTGTTGGCAGCACTCCCAGTGCTAAGCCAGCTATAGTCCTCCTCACTGGATCGAGCGGACTTCTTGGCCATCACCTGCTCGACAGGTTGGCATCAGAGCCCTCAATACTCAAGATCATTTGTGTGGCTGTCCGCCGTCTCTCGGAAAGACTTGAAAGCGGCCAACTCCCACAGCCTGATGGCCGAATCGTCTATTATGAGGGCGACTTGCGCCTGCCTCGCCTGGGTCTCACAGAAGAGAGAGCTTCAGAAATCTTTGCGGAAGTCGACGCAGTGATCCACAACGGGTCGGACACCTCGCATCTCAAGTACTACTCGGCCGTGCGAGATTGCAACGTCGAATCGACCCGCGAGCTGGTTCGTCTGTGCCTACCTCGAAAGGTCCCCTTGCACTACGTGTCCTCGGTGGGCGTTTGCTTGCTAGCCGGCAGACAGACCTTCCCCGAAGTCTCGGCCACCGCGAGCGGCATCAAACCCCCGGCCGATGGTGCACACGGCTACATGTGCAGCAAATGGGTCTGCGAACACCTCCTCGAGGGGGTCAGCGCGGCTCACGGCTTGCGGATCTCTATCAACCGACCCTCGACGATCGTGCGGCAGGGCAGCGATGCCACGACGGCGGAGGCGGAGTTTGATTGGGTGAATGCGTTGCTGCACTATTCCCACCGGATCAGGGCTGTGCCCAGGGCCGAGCACAACCAGGGCGCCTTCGACCTCGTTTACATCCGGAGTGTTTGCGACGACATCATACAGGGGCTTTTCCGCAGCGATCATGGCAACAAGCTCACATATGTGAACAACGTTGGAGATGTTGTCATTCCCATGAGCAAGTTGGCTGAGATCGGGAAGACGGTAGCCAATGGAGAACTGTACCGGACGCTTCGTTTTGACCAATGGGCGGACGAGGCCATCAAGGCAGGTTTGCAGCCGGCAGTTGCCGCTCTGATTGAGACTTTTGACGAGCCAAATACAGTGTGGCCGGCCCTTGCAAGGGGAAAGGGATCCTAGGGTGTTTGCGTGTAGTTTGATGGACGCTTCTCATTGGCTTGAATATGCCTTGAAATTAGTGCACACACTCGTCGTCCTTCCTTGCTTATGGAACAGAGACCGCCAGCCAGCTGTAACTATACAAAGACACAGAATAAACAATATGGTTTCACAACCCGATACTATTAACATTGACTATAGGTAGTCCACAGAGTCACGTAACCACGATCTTTAATACGAGTAGACTTTGTTGGAATATTCTAGATATCTAGGCTATTATTAATACGGGATATCCTTTTCCCCATACGTTTGCCACTGTATGGAGGATAATAACTATAAATAGGGGCCTTCCCTCCCGTAGAATAGACGTTAGCTAGCCTAATAGACTAAGCATCCAACGCTATTATTTCAGAGACTTTCCACAGAAAATGATGCGCAGTACTATATTCCATGGCTTGAATACATATTAAAATATCTTATTAGACCTACCTAGGTAGGGAAAGGCGATGAAGTGTCTCTTTGAACAATTCGCAGAGCTCATCGTCTTCATTAACTTTCCGATATCATGAACGGCAACTTACCACACTGTGTATCAACTCGTTCGGCTGAACTTTTGGCTCAGCGTTGAACATATTGCAACTCATGAACATTTCATCTCATTGATTTTCTGACCATCCTCTAATCGTGTAGGTATGGCTGTGGCTATCCTGATGCTATGTGGCAAGCAGTCGTCTCACTTTCATCATGTTCTCACGTAAAGACGCTAAAGATCCCGACATGGGACAGAGACGGGTGGTGACTGCTTCAAGCAAGCCCTCGTCCAATCCACTTTGTAATAAGCCACCTTCGTAAGGCTCCCGGCAATCCGATGACACGCGCAGTTCAACTGGCAAACCGAGGCTTCTCTCAATCATTTCAAATTGATGCTCAATGATCTGGATCAATATCTTAGTCTGCAAATTGCTCTGCTGAACTTGAAAACTGGCCAAGCGTAGGCCAGGAAGTGTCTGAGGGCCAGCTGAGTGTGACGCTTTCGACGAATCCGAGGATGGAGTGTCGTTGTCCTTGCAGATCATCTGTTCGTATAGCCGAAGGACCAGCCTTTCGAATACTGCAACAATGAGGAGGTAGCATGAAATTAGGTTCAGAACACAACTGAGATTTATCAAAGGCCAATGAGCCTCGTGCTTTTTTGCGGGGTCATCGAGCCCTAAATCGTCGAGTTTGGACTGTACAATGCCCATGAATTCAGAAGTGCTGCAAAGGGCGTCTCCAAATTCCTTGCTTTGACTAGAGCAATCAGGGCACCCGCTCAGGTGTTGGGGTCCCGTCTCAATTTCCGTCAAGCCCCGGCCTGTTCCACTCTGAGCTCTATCACTCTGCTGGTCGGCCGCCATGTTTCGTTGGGCTTGTCGGCATAAATCCACATTGAGCTGCGAGAGGCGTAGGTCGCAGTCGACTCTGGATAGTGTCCTGCTGAAGGCGTTGGGGAGAGAACGTTGAGGGAGTGTTATCCCCGGGCGTGGATTCCGAACTGCAGGTTGCTTCACTCCTCTCGATATACTGAGGAGAAAGTGACGGAAATGCCAGATTATTGTCGATATTTGTTGCATCATAGTTGGGGTTGACTGCCAACAGCGGTCCACCATGGAGGCTGTCCAGCACGTCGGGGTAGTGAAAGGAGGCACCCTCTTTTTCAACTTCTGTGAAGAACCAAGTTGGAGAATCCTCAAATTCCCATTAAAGAGTCCGGCACTGTCTGCTTCGACCGTGTATCTGGGTGTTTCTTGGCAAATGGAGAAGCCGGCGCGTCCTGCAATGCCGTGCTCAAATTCAATTGCTCGGGACTAGCTACCGGGAACACATGCGACTGGCCCAAGTTGTTGCTGTTTGCTGAACCATGAGAGATGCGATGTGACCGTCCCAGTGGTCGTGTGTAACCGGTGATGCATTCCACACCGGCGCGGATGCACCTCGAACAAGGTTGTGCGTCGCTTGCCCTGCTGGGACAGCGCAACTTTTGTCTTCGGCAGCGATCGCAGGCTGATCGTTTCAATGTAGGGAAGTTAAATGTTGACGAAGCTCGAGAAGCCATGAAATGTTGTTTTATTGACCTGATGTAGACATGCAGCACGAGGTGAAGGTGAAGATGTATTTGAACTTTGGAATTTGTCGATAGGGCGGTGGGAATGCCCTAGAACACTCTGTCAAATATTGTGTGCACGTGCAACTAGACGCTCCTTAGACGTGCTCAATCCTGATGCCATATTATAGACAGCCCATTGTTATGGCCACGAATAGGTCATCCTCTCTAGTCAGTACTCCTGAACCTCACGATGAGCACGACATAACCTCGGAACTGGAGGGTTGTCTGCCCACCTTGCCGGCATGCTATGCATTGCAACGTGCTGAGTGTTTGACGACGCTGTACAAAGTTTCGTTTGGAGACTGCACATGTAGCCAAGCATCATTAAAGTTTTGTAATTCCCTGCTTTTTTTTTTTTTTTTTGCCTCGAAACCTCCGTCGCATACCGTATGTGTGTATACTTGCAGTAGGTTTTCTACCCAGCCCACTCCGTAACCAGGTACATGATTCAAACATGCATTCAGGGTCTTGCCAAGACATGACCCCTCAAGTCCCATTGCACTAATGACTGTGGTTCAATTTCTGCGTCGGAGTTGACATAGGGTGAGAGTGGCTCGCAAGTCGAAGATCGAAAGAGCGGTATACGTTGTTCAGGTAGGGCTTGTCCCGGACTCCATAATGAATGGATACTTGTAGTCTGCGACGTCTCTGGTAGAGGTTTGCTGAAACTCAAAATACTAGCGTCTCCCTGCCTAGTCTCTTTCTGTCGTAAGGTCATACGATAGAATACCTTTGGATTGCTTTCTTACGTATGTCTGGTCTCAGAGCTTTGTCTGTCGCCGTAATAGGATTTGTAAGGGTACCGGTATCCAATGTTTATCACCGAAACGGTCATGTAGAAATTCCTGCACCTGGTCACCATACCGGCGGCAGAGCATCGACTGATGCTTAAAAAGCCGGAGACACACTATTTCCTCGGCTTGGGTATGAGGGTGCAACTATTCGATGAAGGAGACGCCGGTTCGGGCCCGCACTTGGACGGAGCGGTCAAGACTCCGTATGTATCACGAGACCGTCGTGATTTCGGAATAGTGAACTTTATCCATTGCCGACAGCTTCTGTGCGGCATTTTACTAACAATCGTCAGAGCAGATAAGGTGCTGAAGTATTATGTACGATGACAAACGTTGCGCGTGTCAGGAAACTCTCGCTTGGGAGTACAAAAAAGTGGAGAAAACGTCAACTTCTTTGTATTCTTTACACAATACTACCTGGCATAATTTTGGATATGGACGAGAGCCAAGTTCATGGCAAATCAAATTCAGTAGTGCATTCCCTCATTGCCCGCCACCGTAAGCCCGCTCGTCATTTGAAACCGCAAGACGATCTGGCCACCTGTGATGGCTGGTCTCAAGGTTATACTCGGCGGCGGGATCTTTTGGTCTAAAGATCAATGGAATGCTGACAAGCTGCAAAAGTTTCTTGGATTTCTTGCCGCCGCAGATGTCAAGGGCATTGATACTGCACAGACTTACGGGGAGAGTGAAGCAGTTCTCGGCGAAGCTGGCTCAAGAAGGAAATTTGAGATTGGTACCAAGCTGCCGGGAATCACGGTTCCGGGGTCGTTTCAAACAGAGCAGGTGGTTGAGCGCACTCAAGAATCTCTGCGGAAGCTCAAAGTCGACCAAATCGACATCCTTTATCTTCACACCCCAGACCCTTCCATACCTATCGAACAGACTCTACAAGGCATCCAGCAGCTGTACACCTCGGGCGCTTTTCGGCACTTCGGCCTATCGAACTACACGGCTCAAGATGTGCGCCATATCTACGAGCACCAGAAATCCAAGGGCTGGGTCCTGCCTAGCGTGTACCAAGGAAGCTACAATCCAATCTCACGCCACTACGAGACAGACCTTCTCCCGCTTCTGCGCAAGCTAGGAATAGCGTTCTATGCGTATAGCCCAACGGCTGGAGGTTTCCTGGCCAAAAGCAAACAGCAGGTCCTTGATGGAGTCGGCCGCTTTGGCAAAGATGGTGGAACCGAGGGCTTGTTTTACAACGAGCTCTACAACAAGCCGGCTTTGCTTGGTGTTCTGACTACGTGGTCTGAGATCGCTCGAGACGCTGGCACCTCGCCTTACCACCTCGCCACCCGCTGGGTCTCTTACAACTCTGCCCTCAAACCAGAGAATGGCGACGCCCTCATAATAGGTGTGCATGGCTCGGAGCAGCTGAAGGAGAACCTCGCCGGCCTGAAGCAGGGTCCTCTTCCACCTAGCATCGCTGAACGAGTCGACGCCGTTTGGGAAAGCGCACGTCATGAGTCGACAGTCGTTGATGCGAATTTCGTCATGAACGTGATGAAGAAGATCAGCCCAAATTGATATGGGGAACAAGACTATGCAAGCAAGCCACCGTGTTGGAACTCAACATTTGTCGTCTCTTCTTTGTGTGAGGGCTCCGGAGGAATGAGTGAGGGGCGTCAAATCATGAGTTCGGAAATGGATCACTGGCCGAGGTGCATCTCGGAATGAGTACCCTGAATTGCTTCTCATGACTGATTGGTTGATGGTCAAGACCACCATACTGCCGTGGGGTGAAATATACTTGCACACATTAACTTTCTCGATTGCGTGACTCCATGTTTTTGAAGAATACGGAATTTCGCACCTGCAAAAACGGAGGGTACACGGGTACTTCGCCACCTCTACTAAGCCACGTAAGAGTTCACACACCTAACACCCATACCCAACACCTACACCTAACACCCATACCCACACCCAATACCTACACACCCAATTTACACGCCTAATTGGCATGCCTAATTCGACTTGGGCGTGTGGGTGTCGGGTGTGGGTGGGCGGATTAGGCCTGGGTGATGTGCTGGTGTACCCTCCGTCTTTGCAGATGCGAATCTTCGATTTCTGTTTGAAAGCTGAGACAATCATTCAAGTGACATTGTAAAATAAACCCTCCACCTGGGCATGTTGAATTGTAAAGAGGCTCATCATACCAAGGAGAGGTCACAGCCCAGCAACTTCCCTAGGCAAGTTAGTCACCGGTGTAGTTTGACTATTCCACATAGCCACATCGAGCTAGCAGTTGTGACATGGGAGACTTGCTAGTCTTCTTTGGGTACTTGTGCGTAAAATCAAACAGGGGAGTTGCTCATATCTTTACGTTTTTATTCTATATGTTGGTACAGGCTGTGTGTGGCTTGCCCAATGCAATCGGTACGCTGCATGCACTGCCCAGATCCAGAGGTATACATACCTAGGTACAGGCTAGTCTTGTCAGTAGCACTACCGGGCCGGCTGCCAGCTAGCAGCCCCAGGGCCCCAGCCAGCATATAGCCAAACGGGTATAGGCCACGGCCTTTGGCTGCACCCCTATACACCATAGTCACGTCCAACAACCATACCTACTATCGCCACCAATCCTCGTGTGCACACGAATAAGCCCAGCCAACAACAGGTGCTCATACATGATTAGGATCAACATAGCGAGAAAGCATCAAAATTGTCGACAAGACTGCTTCAATTTGGGCGGCTCTGACAGAATGCCCGCCAATGCAAGGGTACGGTGCGAAAACATCCCCTTGGCAGAGAACGCACTGATGATCTGCGGCTCAACATCATCTCTTGTCTCTGAATTTGGAAAAGCTATTATGACTTCCCTGCTCTGATTGAGATCGATTTTCCGCGCATTTCCCTGACGCTGCATTCCGGGGGGCCGCGTCTCTACTACCATGATTTGTGCATAACTGTTGGGAAAAGAGGACGAAATTTTCATTGTCTAATTTTCCGTGAAGACGCCACAGAGCCTTGCCGAAGACCCTGGAAAGTGTAGAGAAGGCAACCACTCCTTTCAACGGGCTTGGCTGTCCCCCAACGACCGGGGTCGCCAAGCCACAATGTCGCTTCGTATCGTATCCGCAGGGAACAGCTCGGACCTGGGGTATTTATGAAGCCGTTAAGAATTCAAGAATGTATGAGTTGTGCAAGTATACCTAGGTAGATAGATTTTCGCCATAGCACGGCTACTACACATAAAATCTACATAGTGAAAGCTGACGATTCCTGGACATGAAAAGATGTCAGGCTGGTTGGGAAAGGTCACCCTTGCAGAGGCTTACCGGTAGGAATCCACATGTACTTCTGTAGGGTAGCCTGGCGGCGAACGGCCCATGCCTGCCTAGACTGTGCGGGACATCCGGGGGACACATCTTAGTTTCTGAAAGCCAAGGTCAAGGTAGAGCATATATTTTCTGGTAACTTGTCTCCTCTCGAGATGTTAGGGAGACCCGGGGGGGTAGAAGGGAGGAGGGGAGGAGGTTGTTAATAGGAGCAAGTACAACAAGCATGACTAGACAGTATGAACGCCACCTCAAACGCCGATGGCCAGCTCGAAAGAATTAACTCCTGTAGACCAATCCAAGCCCCACATGTTGTGATCGAGTTTGCAGTAGCTTGCGAGAGCAGGCGTCGCTAGAGCAAAACGCATTGACCCAGGCAGCAGCAGGCACGGCCCGGGTGACACAGCGAGCTATGGGCAACCGGGCATGGGTAGGCGGACACTGGTTCAACCCGCCCCAGCCATCTTTTGTTTGGTTTCTCAGACGTCTCTCGCCGAGTCTAGTCGTAACTCTGACTTCTCCACTCCACCCTGTTGTCACTGACTATGCCCTTGGTTCGTCTTCCCGTTACGAAGTCATCTCGTTTGCCATCCGAAACACAAATCCTAGTATCGTTTATTCATCATGATGCATAGTACATCATTCAAACATCTTGAATACAGCGAAACATGCATGATGGGGCCCCAGGTTGCCTACGACAGCAGCGCGCTTATCGTCGCAAGGTATGCAAACACAAGCAGCCATTGACGCCCCTCATCTTTCTCCGTCACCTGCGCCAGAATACTGACCAAAAAGCACATTGTCAGAACTATAGAATACTTGACAGTGGAATTCAAGTCGAAACATGCCAGAAATCCCAGAGGAACGACGAGAACCACACATATACATAGCAGCGAAACTACCCCGCCGATCCGGTTCAAGACCCTTTCACTATAACCATGGAACTTGAAATCCTCGGTCTCCGAGCTTCGATCTCGGAACGGACGCTTCAAAATACCTTGTCAGCTCGGATTATCTTCAACGGCATACTTTCATTGACTTCTCACCAGAAGAAATCCTGTAGGGCCGGCGGCTGGTAAGGTCTCATGGACGAACCTCTCTATGGGACCTCGTTTGGGACCGAGCATACGAAAGGCATCGGCATCTTGGTCGTTATACAAGTGGCGCAGTGCGTTGTCTTGCTTGTTCAGCCATTCCTGCAGGTTCTTTAGAGCTTCTTCTCGCGGGCGCTCATATTCGTTCACCGTTTTCGCGTTGACGAAGGCGAGGTCTGCAACCGGGGTCAGGTGTCAACTGTCGTCAGCCTCATCATGGTGAGTGAAGCCCTACTGTATTCTTTCATCTTCCGCCGAAGCTTCATCGTCATCTTGTTCCATTTCTTACGGTCTTGCCTTCCTCGCCTCAGGCCGCAGGGCTCGACATGGTGCTTGGCCTTGATCTTCTTCCTTTGGGCCTCCATATCCATCATGATACGATGGATATCCCAAGCGAGGGAGTCCACAACCAATGAGCTACCTGTCGGAAAGGCAGGATAGAAGTTGAAGCGGCTGTCGAAGCTTTTCAGCCGGGCAAGGCCAATTTGCCCAGTATCGCGTTCTTGACCCAGGAACAATCAGTCTTCTCCAGGCCTTTCGAAACTATACAATATCACTGACCTGGATCTAGATCATCTTCGTCAGTCGAAGACGGTATCGTAGTCGAGCCCGGTTCATGGGAATTACTGCCGTTGCCAATTTCGTCTACCTCAGGTGCCATTGCCTCAACAACAATTGGTGGTGCCTGACTGGTGTTGGTTCCCCTCTCCAACGCGCCAGCCTCAGCGAATGCGCTCGACATGATTGGTGGAACGAATGGGGCGGAGAGGTTATGGACGACTCGCTTCCAAGGTTGCGATATCACTTTCGGAATAGCAGACCTGACCGGAAGGAGCTTGCTTTATAATGGCATTCCCTTGCCATCGAAGCTACTCTTCCATCAGGCACAGTCTGCCTGGTTTGCGACTGGCGTGACTGCCTCGGGCACTCACCGATGTTCAAAGAGGTGTTCGCGAGGATGATCAAGACCAGCGGCCCGATCTATTGAACACAGCCAACTGCCGTACAACACATGCGATCCTCGCCCGCCAACGCCCAGTCTCTGGACGATGTGGATCGAGCAAGTCAGAGCATCACGTTTGACTCCTGGTGGGTGGAGGCTTCATACAAGTCGGGCGTCGGCGGTCGAATATCGTCGGCCGGTTGGCAGGTCTGTCAGCCCCCAAATCTGCAACGAAGATGGTAGACCTTACGCCCCATTGGGCCCGCCTCTCGAGATGCAGCGGTGAGGGTGTCAAACAGCTCGTTAGCGCATTTGCAGGGCGATCTGGACTACCACGGCAGCTACAAGTCACGGCACACACATAGCGAGAAGCAAATGCTTGCCATCTTCCAGATGGCTCAATATCACGTCTGCAAGTCAAGAGGGTGTCTCTGCACAATTGTTCTATTTGTGTCACAACAGTGCTATTTCTCCATAATTCCTGCCTAACCGCTGGGACTGAAGTCAGCCAATACTCACACAATTCGAAGGTGGTTTCACCGGGAACTGACCGCCAAGATGCTCAAGGATAAGCGGCCTCTCACTGGTTGAATTCAACCTCAACTGTGAAAAAACACGAACGAATGTAAAACTTTTATCTGTGCAGAGCCCTGTCTATTCTGTTAGCGACACTTGCCTCCCGGAGAAACCCCGATGTGTTAGATTGGATAGAGCGAGTTTGCTCATATCCAGACCTTTATTTTGACTTACACCAGCCAAAGACACTCACCAGCACACAACAATACCCCAGCTTAAGTCCACACTGCCTTGTTACCTGCCCGGTAGCATTTTGCAATCTGGGGCAGGGAGCTGTGACCAGGCTACGTGGAGGCCGGCTTCGGCTTGGTCGGTTTGGTCGGTTTTTTCGGCTCGATAACCACAGTGCCAGTCTTGGAATCTGTGAGCGCGTCGTTGGAGGATTTGGGTGGGTGGGCCATTTTGGGTGACAAGAAAGGTAGGGATTTCGAGATTGGGTGTTCAATAAGTGACGAGAAAAGACGGTTGTCCTCCAGACTCGAGAGCCAGTATGCCAGTGGCTTCCTACGGCTTTTATGTCCACAGCCAGCACTGAGCGGTCCTTCACCACGCACCGACGGCAGTCTCCATCGACCCCCTGAGACCCGTACTCAGAGACTACAGACTGCAAATGTGCCAAGGCGAGTGATCTTGGTAGTATCATAATTAGAGAGACCATGGGCTGTGTTGCAGTATTCTGCAGCGAAATCCACTCCATTGTGCGCACGGTACGGCTTGATGCATGTCGACCCTGCCTTAGTGTCTATCGCGATGTCAGAGAAATCGTCGAAGGATCAGGGCACGGTCTCTAAGAGATTAGCAACAACAGACGCCGCTGCCGTTCCCGCGTGTTTGGCCGGGGGACGATGAGACTCTGCATGCACATAACCAAGAAGACACATAGCGCCGGTTGCGCTCTCTCTGCCCGCCCAGACATCTCGTTCGGTCTTCGAAGTGATGATACCTTGACGCAGGAGAGAGCGAATGCTCTCCTTCTCCCTCGCCGTTGACGAGGTTGGCAGTCACTGAATCGTAGGAGCTCTGGAGCCTGCTCTTAGCTGCAGGATAGTAGGACGTGCCTGTTTAGACAATCTACTCGTGGATGACATGTCAGTCTGTAACATCCGACGTTGCCGCTGCATGATTTCAAAGCAAGGAGGTTTGGTAGAATATTGTTTTTCCATGTGCTATACCCACGTTGGAATGACGCGAATTTCTCACGTCCGATTCTGGAAGCGCGTATGTGCTGGCGGTGATCGCAACACAGTATGGGTACTTTCCACGGGCGATCCCCTGACCCCTGACTCAAGGCAGAGCCTCAAAATTCATGACCGGTTCGGATCGATAGGATCAGCACATTTTAGAAGGAACTGGACCAGAGATGTATATTTGACTACTGCAGGTGCGACCGGGTGCAATGCCCGTTGCAGGAAGAGCGTTTCAGTAAAGAGCGTGAGGCGTAATCCACTGGAAGAGGAGAGCGGTCCCGGTGCTGTCAGTTACTCATTGGGTACCACAGATCTCCGTGCGTGTCTGGGTTGCTGGCATGTACTTGTCTTGTCCCTACCAAGTACCTACTCGACTCAGAATACGTTTATGTCACGCCTATTTTCTCACGCTCTGGGCACTCCTGACTATCTGCTACTGACACGCGGATTTCACTGTGCTTGAATTATACTGGTCATTCTCGTGACACTAAGGCGGGCGTATCAAACGAAGCTTTCGCCCTTCCTGGAGCGATCACACCCAGCCTGGCTCCAACATGTTGCCTTGATGTTCAACTTCGATGTATGTGGCAACGATTCCACTCCAGTTCTCGGTCGGTCCTGGGATCAACGCTCGGGATCGGCCCCTGTTGGCCATGTACACTTGGTGTCTCCTTAGGTTGTATCATAATTAATGTATGAATCGCAGTGGGAATTTGAAGACGGGAATCTGTGTCCGAACGGGTAGGCATCGGGACACATCCCGGTGTCTCTATACATCAAGTTACCTTTCCAGTGTCTGTCACTCCTACGTACCTTTGTGTGCACTGCATGCATCAAGCCCGTGTCTCACATCCAACCCGCGGAAGACATCCTCGCAATCCAAAATTGACATTACGAGGATGTGATAAAACGTTCACTGTGCATCTCGACCACAAAATGCAGATTTTAGCTTGAGGCGGCCAGAACGGTGGCGACCCGCCTGACATCCGCCCCCGGGGGGGGGGGATTATCTGGAGGCTGGTGCGGCACAGCTCAAGGCCACCGGCGCGCGCACCGTCAACAAAGTAACGATGGCGATCGCCGTTGAAGGTATTGTTTGGGCCTTGGACTGATTCGGACTGGCATTTTGTAAATGATGGGGCGCGGGTGGGTCAGTGTTTCCCCATCGAGGGCACCCAGTGCCGTGACGTTCCCATCGTGCTGCACAACGGGTGACACCTTGGTCCGGATGGCATTCGCAAATTGCCGATGCAAGGATGATATGCAGAAGCAGAAAGCTTCATTAAATTATTTCGCTGGACCTCTATGTGTGTTGGTGGAGTGGAGGGCGTGTGTCTGTGCTGGTCAAGCCTCAGTGTTACTCAACCAACAGGCATCCGCGAGGCCAAGCACCCAGAAAAGGTTAAGGCACACCAGAGAATCTACGTCGCTGGCCTGAGAGTAATTTCATGATTTATTACCTTCTAGGCTATCGTTTTGCTAATTATGCAGGTAACTCGAGGCAAGTCGGCAGCGTCACTGCCCCTGCTTTGACCCAGGTGTCAAATTTCACGGCCCATCCCTACCACCACTCAGCCAACCCACTGGAACTTACTCTGGCGGAGCATGTCCAACAAACCCATCGGGAGAAGCCCCTTCTCGACCACATTCAGACCACCGAAGCGAGCGATCATGTCCTTGCTGAACAGCTGGAGGACCCACTGGTCGTAGCTGGACAATTCACTCCACTGGTATGGCTCGAGCACCGCCTTGACCGCACCCTTCAGCGCTAGGCTCTTCGACGTGGGCTCCTGCATCAACACCCGAAAAGTGCAGCCCAGTGACTCACCGATCCAATCACGGTATGACTGGAACTCCTCAAGACTCATGAAAGGCTCGTCCTCGAGGTCTTGGAAATTGTATCTCCTAGACTTGCTCGAACGCATCGTGCCGTTCTCGAACCTGGCCTTGAACTTGCGGTAGTCCCTGGCCTCCTGTTCGAAAAAGGATTCGACCAGCTCTTCCGGATCTTCCTTCGCTGCGTCCCGGACGAGGCAGAGGTCGATGAAGGGGTTCTTGAGGCCGAGGCCGCCAAACTCAGCGGGAAAGTAAATGTAGCCGTCCGGAATGTCTGACAACGGGATGTCGAAGCGCTCTGCGATCATCTGCTTCAAGTATGCACCGACGCCGCCAGGGGTATCTGGGAACAGTTGCTGCTGGATGCGCTGAAAGGTTCCCAGCATGCTGTCGATGTGTTGCCGGCCAGAACAGTTCGCGGGCTTGCCGAAGAAGTTGGAGAAGAACCGTGCACCGTACGTATTCCAAGCCTGGATCCAGTTGAAAACAGTCTTGCAAGCATCCAGCTGGACTCGGAGTTCCTCGATATGCTTGTCGACTTCGCCTTGGTCGATGACGAAACGCCCGGTATGTCGATCGAGCTTCAAAAATCCCCAAGTGACATCGCCCTTTGGCAGACCTGTGCCGAGATCAGAGTCTAAATCACTTTCCATGGCCACAATCAGAGCTGATCCTGTCTTTTCGAAGTTGAAGTCAAGGCCGAGAACACTCGCACACTCCCCCAAGACCTCCCAGCCCTTCACGCAAGCCTTGGTATTTCCCCAGAGCCACATGTCGTCATGCAATCTGTACAGACGAGTCCCATTGGCCTTCTGATTGACCGCGAAATCGACGCAGAACAGCAGCGACTCGCCGAACACATCCGCGAGTGGAGTGCTCAGAGGGGTTCCCCGTCTGCGAATCCGACTGGGAGCATCTTCTGGGTCTTGCTTGAACCTCAAGGGAGCCTCGAGAACCTTCATGAAGAACTCGATCCAGTCCGCACCAACGCCGAAGAACTCGAGAACAGCGGAGATAGAAGAATGGGGAATGCTGGGGCCGAACCATTTGAAGTCTGAACGAATGACTGTGACGTCCCTTTCGAATTGGTTCTGCAAAAGGATGTCTGCCTCGATCATACGGAGTAGGTGCTGGACAACGTCGATGTGGCTCTTCCTCGTATCTCCAGTCTCAGCGTCGTCCTTGGACCCATAGGCTCCCCGCTGCTCCTCAAAGGACTTTGGCAGCTGATCGAGGAATACTTCATCCTCGAAATGGGCTCGCTTTATTGCCCCCATGGTTCCCGGCATCGCCCCGCCATCAAGTTCGTCTGTTATGTCCAGGAAGAAGTGCAGGCGCCGCTTGACTTGGCTGCTGATGGGGTCAAGGCTCGGCTTCCACGCGTTGAGGAGTTCCCGGAATTTGCTGTGCAATTCAACAGCCCAGCGCATGCCGATGTAGTGGAGGAAAATGGATTGGAGGAGATCCTCGTCGGGATAGAACCGGTAGCGTCCGTTGAGCTGCCGCCGCTGATCGATCACCAAGTCGCTCTCCCACGACCAAGTCTTGCTGGTGGCCATGCGCATGTTCAAGACGTCGGCAATCTCTGACAGGACAGTATCATTCCCCACAAAGTCTTTCAGAGTTGCTCTCTTCACATCCGTCAAGATATCACTGCGAAGCATGCCGTTGATCGTGGCAGTGAGGCTGTCGACATCGAAATGGGGGTTGGCCGACCAGTTGTCCTGGAATCGCTTGAGTTCCTTCCTCAACTCGCCGATCTGATCCTTGACATCGTCTTCGGCCTCGAAGACAGTACTCAAATACGCCTTTATTGCATCCTTGTCGGTGGCCTTGGGGGCGAATACATATTCTTCCCATGTCGCCCGCTGAACTCGGGCTTCGTCGCGGCCGACGGACACGGAGGCAGCCTTGGGGTCCTGCTCCTGATCGTTGCCCGCCGATATCCACTCATTGACGAGCTTGCCGTACAGTGAAGCGAATTCGTACCGGTTGGATTGGACTTGCAGTTCGTTGCGGACCAGAGACTCGTACTCTTGGATGAAGGCGTCGGTGACAGCTGGGTCGTGTTCCGCCTGCTGGATGAAACGGTTGAGATTCTCCAGGGACATTGAGGGGTTTAGGGTCGAGGATGTCATGCTTGGTAGGTCTTTGAACCCCTCAACGAGCTCACGGGCACGCTTGTTGCTATCTGTGTGGGCATTGGCACTGTCGATGAGGACCCGCTTTCTGCTGTTGTAGGCATCTTTCTGCTTGTCAAGCTGAGCGAGCTTGGTGTTGGTGATGGACAGGAGAGTCTGGGAAAGGATTTCTGAAGAAGCCATGTTCGTGACTGATTTCTTGTGCAGTTTTCAGAGTCTGTGTATGAGATGCTGATGAGAGGTTGGGCTGAAGATGAGAGAGGGGAGAACACATCTGGGTCAGGTCAAGCGGTTCTTATACTCTCTTCCCTCTTGTGACGAATTCATGTAAGTCTTTCACGATTTTGAAATGATTCATCAAATAGTGGACCTTCGTTTTGGCCTCAAGCAGCAGTGTCTTACGGTGAGGTGAGTCTTGTTCCGGGCTTCGGCGTGAGGCCAATGTGAGGCCAAAGACGGCCATTTTGGCCGCAGGGTTCATTCAAACCTGGCGCAGCTGGGGGAAGAATGCTGCCACATCTCATGACAACGTGACCAACTCTTTGGACAGTTTAGAGACCGTGGTTCCGGGTTGGGTGAGTGCCTTGTGGAAGTGATGACCGTTCATGCCACTCTCACGGGCTGCCTCAATTCCCGAACGCCCTGGATCAAATGGCCTGAAGCTTCTCAACGGCCCCAACCGGACATCACAGAAAGCAGACAGTCAAGCACGGGTAGAACGTCACAAGACAAGACCAATCGCCGAGTTGGAGTCATCTTAGTGAGGAATGCAGCTCTGAGAGTAACAGATGGACTAAAGAAGAAAAAAAAGATAGGAGTAGGCAGTACCTCAAGGCGGAGGTGCCTGCTGTTAGACCTAGGTGCTACTGTACAATGCCGGACTGCAGGGCTTACAGTGAGTGGGCCAGGCTCGATTCAGCAGTGGGTAGGTGTGAACTAAGATAAGCGATAGTGGGTGGCCCGGGCAACAACCCCGGATTCAACAGTGTGAGATCATGGGAACCGCGCCAGTCAAAAGTCGTGTTGACATGGAGATGCCCCATTTCACATGTCGCTGAATCTTTTCTCTACGATTGCCACGTCCCCCGACCTCGGCAGCCGACGATCAAGGACCCACTGCAGCTTCTCTAGCTCTTGAGCTCGAAAATCGGCGCACAATTGCCCACCATGTCTTCAGACAGCGGCGACGAAGACAACACCAAAATGGAGGGGTTCCTGCGAAACTGGAGGCAGACTGCCTTCAACTCCGGCCAATTCCAGACAGCCATCTTCATTGGCGATAAGCTTCTGGCTCTCACAAGTAAGGACTAAGGTCTTTCGTGTTGGCCACGTTCGCGAACTGGAACTCTGCTGACCAACGGCGCGTAAAGACGACGACAATGACGCGTTCTGGATGGCCCAAGTCCACTTCTCGACGGGCAACTATACCCGTGCCCAACGTTTCCTCGAGAGCAGGGACCTAGTTCGAAGAAATCCCTCCTGCCAGTACCTTGCAGCGCACTGCCTCGTCAAGCAATTGCGCTTCGACGAGGCGCTGACCGTGCTGGGAGATCGCGACCCCACCTACCTGATCAAGTCGAAGGAGACAAGCAAACGCAAGACCCAGTCGGGCACGAGTGGCAGAGCAGGGAGCACCTTGAAATCGTCACGCGATACACAGAAAGAGACGGAGGCGATCAATCGGCGCTATGAAGCCGGCATGTGCTACCTGCGAGGCATCTGCCATGCCAAGCTGAATGCATTTGATCGCGCAAAGGAGTGCTATAAAAATGCAGTCCGGATCGACGTACAATGCTTCGAGGCCTTCAACCAGCTGACCAAGAACGCATTGTTGTCGTCGGAGGAGGAGTGGGAGTTCCTCCACTCGCTCGACTTCGATTCGATCAGCACTGCTGGCGATCCTGACGCCTCCCAGGAAATAGCCAGCTATGTCGAAATGCTCTATAGCACTCGGCTGTCCAAATACCAAAACCAGGATGCTTTCAACACGGCTTGTGAGAGCCTGGCCACACACTACAAGCTCAAGGACAACGCAGATCTCCTTCTGGCCAGAGCAGACCTGCTCTATACCCAATCTCGCTACAGAGATGCTCTTGAGATTACTAACGTCATACTTGCCGATGACAAGTACAACTTCAGCGTCTATCCAATCCATTTGGCGTGTCTCTATGAGCTGAAAGAGAAGAATCTTCTGTTCTTGGTCGCCCACGAACTTGCTGACAGCCACCCCGAGGAGCCATGCACGTGGCTTGCCGTTGCCATCTACTACTACCTGACTGGCAAAATTGCCGAATCACGCCGCTACTTCAGTAAAGCCAGCATGATGGATGCTCACTTTGGCCCTGCCTGGATTGGCTTCGCGCACACGTTCGCTGCAGAAGGCGAGCACGATCAAGCCATCTCGGCCTACTCGACGGCCGCGAGGCTGTTCATGGGAACACACCTCCCACAAGTATTTCTGGGCATGCAACACCACGCCATGAATAACATGACTGTGGCGGAGGAGTTTCTCAACACTGCTTATGGGCTGTGCAAGACTGACCCGTTGCTCCTGAACGAGATGGGAATTGTATACTATCACCAGAACCGCCTCAAGGAAGCCGTGGACTACTTCAAGGAGTCCCTTGCGATTGCTGAGGAGATTGACAGTGATCCGCAGGCGTGGATTGTCGCACGAACCAATCTAGGTCATGCTTATCGACGACAGCGGAAATCTCAGCAGGCCCTCGACGAATTCGACATGGTTTTGCGGGAAGGCGGCAAGGACGCGGCGATATTTTGTGCGAAAGGCCTGATCTACCTCGATACCGGGAAGGCGGAAGAGGCGGTCAGTGTCTTGCACGAAGCACTGGCGATTCATCCCCAGGATCCAATTGCAACCGAGCTTCTGGTCAAGGCCTTGGACGAGTGCTCCAACTCGGGCCATATCATAGGCGAAATCACCGATGACGCAGAAATGGCCGAGTTTGAGCAGGTCCTGGAACAGCGCAAGCATGCGGCAACATCGAAGCTGGCGGCCAAGCTGAATGGATCCCAGAACAGGAGCAAAGGTAAAGGCAAGGAGAAAGCCGTGGCCACAGGGGCGTCTCAGACTGGGGCAAGACCAAGCTTGATGGAAATGAGTGACGACAATTGATCTTCTTAATGAGGTTTCGGCGAACGGTTTTGGGCATTTCCAGGGCGTCTCGGCATGCATCTCGGTAGGCGTATATGGGCCGGTCTGCGATTCTCAACATTGTCAAAGGAGCAGATGGGCTCGAAAGGCGTGGCATCGTGTGGGATAGATACCAAATGATACCAGCAACTTGGTGGGTTAGCACCTTGCTCTTTGAAACATCCTGATCAACACTTGTCCCCAGCATAGGCCTCGACTCGCTGAATCAGCTCGTCGCTTGTACCCCAGTCGTCATCTCCTCATTGATGCCATTTTGGTGTTCCAGGCCCGTGTTGCAGCCCACTTTCATGGGAGCCTGGCCCAGAATTCGGGCAACGCGCGCTAAGATACAGCCACTCACATCGCTCGAGTTGACGCCGAAGCGCCACGAGCATATCTACCAGGTCCCACGATCTTGACCTGCATCACGTTGACAATATGCTTTGGAGATCTGAGACTTTGACTAATTGCTGAATTCACCGTCACCAATTTTCACGCCCTGTGGACGTAGATGAATTCTGAGCAAAACCACAGTCATCACCCTTGGTTGCTACCGCGCTGCGTGATGAAATCTGCTAGCCTTGCGACGCTGGGCTAGCCTATTGCCCACAACGGCAGTACCGTAGATCGCGACAGGCATGATGGGCGGCTCGCCGGTGGTGTGGATTAAGAATGCAACTGTTGGTGATGAGCAGTCTGGCAGTCTGGACTGATTGGAGGCTCGGCTGTGGTTCCTCAGGGCCCACCATGCAAACTGACATGCGCTGCAACGCTGCGCCGTAGGGCTGCAGAATGCCCCATCCGTGTCGTGCAGCGGCAGTTTATATGTAAGAGGAGCTTGGTGCCCTCCAAATAGGGTCGCAGGTGTTCTCTCATGCTTTTGTACATACTTATCCTACCTTTTTTGTTTCCGTTTTTCTTCTCTGGGTCGGGTCTCTTTTGCCTGGGATGGTAGCACTGGATTGCTGCCATGTATGAGAGGAGCCGTACCCCGGCCCCTAAAAATCCAGCGAAGTCGCCGGCGACTCTGGCAGTACGGGAATTGTTCACGCGAGGTCAGCCTACCACAGGAGCTGCACCGAAGCATGCAGGCAACAGGCTGGGCCGATGGTTCTCGGGCAGGCGATCAGGTATGTCCTGCTTCCTAAAACATCATCAAATTTCAGCTGATGGCGAGGCTAATGAATGTGACCCAGACTCGCATGCGGGGTGGAAGCCTTACACGATGAGGGCGCCGGTGCTCTGTGCCGTCGTCGTGATATCCCTCGGACTAGCAGCAGTGCTCGAGTTTCTCGCGCAGAAGAGCCAAAGACAGGGAGGCCTGGCGCTCTCATCTTCTGAGGACGAAATCTCGGGGTCCGTCAATATCGCGTACCTGTACATGCCGACGACCGTCGCCGTGCTGTATAGCCTTCTCTGGACGTGGATCGACCTCGATGTGCGCAGAATGCAGCCCTGGTTTGAGCTGTCCCGGTCTCACGGTGCCAACGCGGAGCAGTCGCTTCTGTTGAATTACCCGTTTGAGTTCTTGGCCTTTGTCCCGTTTAAGGCTTGGAAACAGAGGCACTGGCCTGTATTCATTACGGGCTCGGTCATGATGCTTATCTTCTGGGCTATCACACCTCTGCAAGGTGCAATATTTGGACAGCAGGCTGTTACAGTGTCGAGGAACCCTATCATGGTCCCCAACTCGGTCCTCGTTGGTGTTGAGGAGCAGGCAGCCTTGATTGATGTGTCAATCCTCAATTCCGCGTACGGGACGACGTGTAAGTTGCCACTCATTCGTTCCTTGCGTTTCGCGTTCTTACTCTGTTCCAATACCATTCAACCACACCCTTTACTACTTAGACAGGGTTCGCTCATGCCCATAGCAAAGTCTGGGTCTTAAATATGTGGACGTCGGAATCCTTGTTCGGAGCAATTTCTGCGAACCATTACTAAAATTTGAGTTGAAAGGGTACAACCGGGACCTTCCGGAGTATACTACGACCGAATATGCCGTACTTCCATTTTCTCCTCTGAGCCAATCCACCATGGGTGTCAATGAAACGTGGACCGCCAATACTACGAAATTCGCGACCGACTTGAACTGTTGGCCGGCAAATTTCACAGAAAATATCAAGGCTGTCCAAGGAGGTCAATACCTCTTCGACAATGGCCAGGGATGTTTGCAGAACATAACAATAAGCGGGGGCAAAGAAGGGTGGTACATTATGCAGTACATCGGCTACAAAGGCGACGCACATCTTGACTGGCATCTGGCGAACGATGAGTGTGGAACCGAATTTTCCCATCAATTCCTTGCGATTGGTGGTCGGGGCTCGGGAACCGGTGCCAACGCAACCATTGGAAACATGACAGCAATGTTCTGCGAGCCGTCTTACACGAAGCAGCCAGTATCCATTACGGTGGATGCTGTTACAAGACGACCACTGAATGACTCCCTAGTTGAGCTGGCCGCGCCCTCACCGCTGAACAATACTCTGTTCAACATTTCGGCTTTTGAGTTCCTATTGCATGCTGGCTTCTCTTCGCTGGCAATTTCTAGAGATTACCCGAACAACTTGATACTGGATCAGTATGCGAAATTATACGACTCAAACATTTCGTGGCCGACGACGAATATGGTCGGGTTTGCGGTCGGGCTACATGATGGCCCTCTGACTGACTTTTTGAACACCACCGTCATACAGGAATCTTACGCCGCAGCCCACAGGCTGGCCTTCTCGTTAGCCATCTCGCAGCTTGCCTCACCCGCTGTCAATCTCGAGACACACAGTGGTGTCATCAAGTACGCCGCTTTCGGTGTCGTCGTCAGCAGGCCGTTCTCCATCGCGGTGGAGGTCTTGCTGGTGGTGGTGGCCTTTTCGGCAGTGGTCCTACTCTACACCATCGTGCGATCTCCCAGCAATTTGACCAGCGATCCTGACAGCATTGCGTCTCTATTTGGATTTATCCAGAAGGAAGATGGCGTCCTGTCCCACCTTTCAACCAAAGACAACTTGACTGAGTCTTCCCTCAGCGCTAGTATACGCGCTGACCGATACCACCTCACGCCAACCAACGATGCAACCGGCCCTACTCTGCAACTCCTTTCTTCTGGAAACGGTTCTGGTACGAATCAAAACCCTAACAGTATTCCAACGCTGGTCTCACGTACACAAACTCAGTCGATTCGACCAAAAGAACTGCGGCCAGCTATTGGAGTCCCATTCGTTCTCATCCTCGCTTTTGCTATCGGTATCCTCGCGTATCTCAAGCATCAAGAAATATCGCTCCGTGGTACGCATGGATCTTTGAGCTGAGGGTAACCCGGCTGTAGTCGTGGGCCCCAGCTTGTTTTCGTGTCTCTTGGACTCTTCTGACTGTTTCTAGGTCTCACCCGTCCAAGTCAGAATTTCGAGGTCTTGCAGCTGTTGGAGAACTACATTCCCATGGTGTTTTCTACATTATTAGAACCATTTCTCGTCGTTCTCAACCGCTTGCTTTGCCTACTTCAACCGTATTATGACCTATTGGATGGGAAACGCTCGCCACGGACCACGATTGAGACCAAGTACGATTCTCTTCCTCCGCAGCTCGTCGCCTGGCGGGCCGTGAAGGCTGGCCATTATTTTCTGGCCCTTCTCAGCGTTGTGGTCCTGATGGCCAATGTTCTTGCCATTGGCCTGGGTGCAATCTTCAACGAGTCGTCAACATCAGTTTTCGCGACTAGAAACATGACCTTGTTGGCATCGCCATCTCTATCACGTGTGGACCTCCTGCCAGAGAGCTTTGCAACGGGTAAAGGAACTCAGTACTATGACCATTTTTATATCGTCCAAACCAACATGTCGGCCAATACGCGACTGCCTCCATGGATCGACGCGCACTTCACTTACTTACCATTCTCTGATCTCACCTCCAAAGATAACTCGTCAGCCCAGTACACCGCGGTAACTCGGGGTTTTGGTACTGAAGCCACGTGCTCTATGCTCCCCACAGACAACTCATCACTCAGCCGACTCGAATATTCGTACAACACTACCGCAGGCCCGGCGACACAGCAGGTGATCAAGGCCGTCTATGAAGACACGCCGTACGGAAATACCACTAAATGTCTATTGCCGGGGTTCATTGATTACACGGTCGGCGGTATCCTGCCCGAGGGCAAATCGGCTCACGAATTCTACTCGGCTCTTGAGCAGGAGGACGTCAACACGTTCAAGAATGCGTCTGAAGAAGCAGTGGCGTTCTGCGAGGAGAGGCTTGTGCTGGGATGGATGCGATACGACACGGCAAAAGCCGAATCCGGACCAGATATGACATTCCTTCAGTGCACGACGCAACTCGTCACGGCGCAGTTCAACATAACCGTGGATACGGATGGATACATACTGCGATCAGAAAGACTTGGGGACTACGACAATATCACCGAGATCTTGGGCCCAAGTGCAGCGAACATTTCGCACCAAGCTAATCTGCTCATTGGCGACAAGTGGCACGCCAGCAGCACAGGTGCCAAAGACATGTGGCACAATGATTCTGTGACAACGGACTGGATGAATTACTACCTGAAGATTGCCACCAACAGCACAGACCTGATTAACCCGAACAAGCCCATTCCGGACGCGGTACACCTCATCCCCATCGTCCAAGAGATGTATCAGCGCATCGGGGCTGCGTTGCTAGGAGCAAACCGAGACCTATTCGTGGACTCGCCGCAAAATCAAGGTTCTGTCCTCTTTGCGACAATTGAAACGCAAGACACGAAGATATTCATGGATAATACGGCTCTGGTCATCAGCTTGACTATCTTGGGGATATACTTGCTGGTGTCCATCCTCTTGTATGCTCGACAGCGAAGGATATTGCTCCCCAGGATGCCCTCCACGATCGGGTCTACAATTGCATATGCTGCCGGGAGTCGCGCTGTCAGGCTTTACAACGGGCCCGGGAAGGACGGCTCATCCAGCGAGACGTACAGCTTCGGGAGGTATCTTGGTATAGATGGGAAGGCGCATATCGGCATTGAGCTTGACCCTTATGTTTTCTCTTTGGATCAGACATCATCGTTGGGCGGCAGCAAGGAACCACTCAAAAATAAAGTGTAAGAGTAGCGGCATTGGCACGAGATTGCCCGTGGTGCATGTGATTTAATTGGATATCTGATCAAGTATCTATGTATGCATCAGGAATTCTCACGTAAACAATGATTGTTAATGGCGATTATTAGCGCTGATCGTTCCGTGTGAGCATGTCTGGGTAACCCCGTTGGCTGCACCAAGTTTGGTCTTTCGATATTGTTGCGTGCTGACTATTTACTTTGACAGGCTACAAATGCAAATAGAATCCCCACACTATTGGCTTGTGCAGTGTGTTTGACTCTCTTGTTTGGCCGGTTGTTTGCCTGTTGATCGGTTGCTTGGGTGCCTGCCGCCGATTGCGGCCGCCAGACGCCTTATCTACGACGTCAACCAGGCAGATAAAGGTCCATGTGCCACACGCAACTTCTACGAGCAGGGCAACAGAACGAGCCACCGGCCCCGCGTTTCTTTATCCTTGACTGAACATAACAAACAGCAAGTCACTGCAGAGACTCCATTACACTTTGCCTTCAGCGCCACCTCTGATATTCACACCAATCCTCCAAACCCCCGCTCAGCCGACAAACAACATCCCTGAAGATGGCAGGAAACCAGACGGAGCAGACCGAGACGCGCACAGCGTTCTTCTATGGTACTTGATCACACAAGCCCTAATTCGAAGGTCCCCAGACTGACATTTGCACAGGCACTCTGGTAAATAAGCCCCTGTCCGTAAACCTGGGCATCTTCCAGGTCCTGGGAAACTAACGTTTCTGATTGGGCTAGATGGAACCCCAAGTGTTCTTCTCGGTGTGCTACGACAACAAAGACCCACCAGAGGAAATCCGAAAGCGACATACCTTCCAGCCTGCCGTGCTGCATGGCTACTGCCGGCGCCGGGTCCGCGGTGCCGATTACCCGGGCATGGTAGAGGACCCCGAGCACACCGTCCGTGGTGCTGTGATTAGCGGCGTCACGAAAGCCAATCTGGAGCGGCTTGACTTCTTCGAGGGCGCTGCCTACGATCGGCGCGTTGTTCGCCCGAAGCTCCTGACGAAGGTGGGCAACGAGAAGGGAGATGGAAATGAGGAGGGCGAGCAAATCATCACCGAGTCTTACATCTTCCTGGACAAGGACTGGCTGGAGGACAAGGAGTGGGATTTCGCTGAGTTTCGCCGCGACAAGCTTAAGAAGTGGACGCGGGCAGGCTACGTCTTCGAAGGTGAGCTCACTTGTCCGATCAGAACCTGGCCTGTGGCAACAATGCTAACCATCGGGGACAGACTGTGATCCCGACCAGCCTGCCAGTGTTAACGCAGCTGTCTGAGCTGAGGGCAGCATGAGTTGACCAGCATGGTATCGCGTCCCAGAGGCGGCTTTGGCGGCTTTGGCGCCTCTTTCTGGGGTAGGTAGACAGAAACTGGACTAGACCTAGAGGTGGCAACGGAATAGATCATCATGCATCCAGGAGGCCAACTGGTTACCTAACTACCTCTCGCCGTCTCTAAAAGCCTCGCAAGTCCCGTGGCTCGTATAGGTGGGTCGGTGGCGTCTATTGCCGCGCTGTGGTCGTGGTCGTCCGAGGAATTTCATCTAAAATACAATGCCGACAGCAAAATTCAGGGGCGGATCAGCTGGGCAAGGATGGTGGGAGGCTTGGACCGGTTCATCGCCGCAAATGTCCCGGGGCGATCTGGCATGACCCTCAAGCAAGAGTAATAGCATTGACCAGCCGAGCCGGGTCCCACGCCCGCGCGGATCGCTTGCGCAAAGCCCCTTCACATCGGATGAGGAGGCTTTTGTCCCCTGGCGGAAGCGAGTCATTTCTAGACCCGGCCAGACGAGCTCGGAGGCAAGGGTGGCACGCAGGTTGGCAGGCCGCTGAGCTCGATTGAGCAACGGACAGGCCAGGTTCGCCCGCCCAGTCCATCGTTCGTTCATGCGCTCCCCGGTGCTCACCATGGGAATCGCTGCATGAACAGCCACAGGGTAAGGAAGACCGTTGGATGACACAGAGGCGCGCGCATATCGGCTATGCCAGCTAAGTGCCGTTGTCCGTGGTGTTTGCCACCTCCGAGCAGTGTCGTTGTCGCAGTATCAGGAGACAGCTTGCTAGCGAGAGGCCGGTGAATGGGCCAGTCGACGGGTGACCAAGGCGGCCACGATCTAAGCCAATGGGTCGATGGGTCAATGCTACGTGCCTGCTTTCGGGCGGCCAGCGCCGGCTGCAGAACTGGCCTGCACGAGCAAGTGGCAGCCCCGCCAGTGTGCTCTTTCCTCGGGACCCCAATTACTCATCAGTGGGAACGGCACAACCCACCTGGGCAGGCACAGGAGGGGATCAAACGGGGGTTGATGCATGCTCCAGAAGCAACGACTGGTGGATGTCGTCAACCCAGCTTGTTTCAAAACATTTGGAACAAGCATCCTCTTCCACGCAACCCACACGTCGCCTTTCACATCCTAAATCTCGGTGTCACACCTCAACCTCCCCTGCATTGCCTGACCTTGCTTGACTTGCTGTCCGTCCTGGCCCTCGGATTGGCCAGTGGCCAAAGAAACAATCGACGTCGGATGAACTAGAGTGAGGGCGAAGAAGCTGTTCGACGGTCGAGCACATCAAAGACGAAACAGACCCCAGTTTCACCACATACCACACACCGTCTACGTCTACCTCCGTACTTGGACAAGCCTCGGCTGCTAGGGCTGCGCAATCATGGACCCACCATTGAACCAGCGTCCCATTGCGATCCGTCTGCATGAGCCACACTCCAAATCTGGACATTTTGGCTCTTTACCGACCCATCCCATAGCCTGGTTTGGCAGCTGTCAGTCAAGTTCGCCAAGCAAACCCAACGCTGGTGTGCTTCTTTTGGCCGTGTTTGCTTCGGCTCGGCCGACAACTACCAGGCAACAAGAAGCGAGGAGAACGGGCAAACAGAAAGTGACTCGCACCATAGCGACAGCTTGACAGGTCGGCTCCGCGATGTTGCTTGCCTCTTGGGCAGCAGTTGTCAGCCCCCTGGCCTAGCGTGCGATGCCTTTTTCAGCACCGCTTATTCGGCATCTCAGGACATGCCAGGTCCCTTGCAGGTTCTGCAGAAGCCTGCGCGTCCATTCACAGCATGACGACGGCTGCTGGAGGAACATGTCACGGTGAACAAGCCGTGTCGACGTTTGATTCGGCTGCCTCCTGGGAGATGGGAAAGGCGCTGAATCCGGGTTCCTTTTGCGGGGTCCAATGGGCGAAGCTCGGCCAAAAAAAAAACTGCGCGCTGCGCTTCCGCCTCCCACCCTTCGTGTTGACCAGGGACGGCTGCAAGGACCTATCCTTGACACCCTCCAAAAAAGTACCCCTGGATCGCCCAGTCCCTCTCCTTTTCCTGGCTTACCCTGAATCAAGCTTGCTGCGTACCTGCATGCTTGCATACCTGACCGCCGTGGCGTTCCGGACCCAGAGGCTAGCTACCTACGCCAGGTTCAGCTGTTTGCGTGTACAGGCTGGCGTTTTCTGTCGACCGCACAGCGCGGCCACAGAGCCCCGCGCGATGTTGGCTTGTTTGACGGCTGCCCCTTCGTGGCACAGACCCGTACCCACGGGTCCGCTGTCCGCCTTGGAGGCCGCATCGGACAAAGCTTGGCGATCTTGAACAACCGGGGATACCCACGGAAACAACGTGGGCTGACGCGCTGCACCATGACTTTTGACGGCCAGTTTCTCGTCTTTGGAATTCGGCAAAGACGAGTACAGGCGTCTTGGACGGTACTACGCGCCGCCGACATTGATTTCAGCAGTTGTCTCAATCAGGCGTGTGGTGTCTGCTTATGGTCGACTTCCTCTTGGGCATTCGAGAACATGCAATGCTACCCCTCGCTTGCCCAAACGGGACAAAGTCAGGGGTGACGCGGCGAGCACTTGCAGATCGTGGGGCATTGGTTGCCGTTGAGCGATCAAGGAGGAGCCATGTTTAATCCCGGTCACCTGCAGAAAGATGTTCTGCCCTTTTTTGTGCACCTCCGAAACAAGCCAGGACCCTCGGGACAGCCTATCATGGCTTTTCATCCGCACTTTTCTGCGATCACTCTCTCATCCCTGATCCCTTGAGCAGATCCATCATGCCTCGCATGTCAGACTCATGGTCGTGGCTGTACGCCCTGACTGGCTACCGTTGCCCGCACTCTCTAGTCAAGGTATCCCGTCTTGTACACGATCTCGGTTATCCGAGTGGATACCTGGTCTGGGTCTCGGTCGATCTCATCCACTGGCAAGACTTCCAGTCTACTCTACCTCTACAGGAGGAGTGGTAGTCTCCTGAGTACGACTAAGCACATGTTTGCCTCCCATGCCGTACCCATCTTTATAAAGATGCTCAGCCAGCCCAGCAGAAGCTCTTCCTGATTCCCATCATCAACAGTCCTTCCATTATCACAAGACTTGAGCAGTCGCATTCTTTCTCCTGAAGGCTAGTCCTTCTACTCTGCCATTCTTGTCTCTTTCATCTCTACAGCCTGGTGCATACCATTCCTTAAACAAAAAAACCTGAGACTTTTCGAAACTTTCTGACTGTTCGAGTCCTCCTTTGCTACACAAATCTGTAACAAAGTATTGTTAGGTATGCAAAAAGCTTTTGTCTTCCTCTCAGGGCCAGTGGTTTCGAGACGGACTCGGCCTGCCTCGAGACTGGATAAATATGTCCGAGTAGTAGTCTAACCAGGTCATCACAGGACTTGTCTACTATCAGAATACCAACACACTCTCTAAGGCAATTCGTCCGGAACGAAGAGCATTACTCGACCAAGACACGATGTATTTCACCAAGTCTTACGCTGCCGCTGCCGTCTTCGGCTTGGCTACCATTACGGAAGCCCACATTTTGATGGCTAGCCCGGTCCGCGCCACTACGCCTGCTGTGACCAACGGCCCCTTGTTGGCCGATGGCAGCAACTACCCTTGCCAGCTGACCTCTGGGCAAACACTTGCTGGGGAATCAACATCCATGGAGCTGGGTTCAGATCAGCCCCTGAACTTCATTGGGGAGTCTGTTCACGGAGGTGGTTCTTGCCAAGTCTCCATCACCTATGACGAGAATCCGACTGCGGACAGCGTCTGGAAGACAGTCACGTCTATCGAAGGAGGGTGTCCCGCTCAGAACGCCGAAGGCAATCTCGGTGACGACACATCGGCTACCAAGCCAATTCCTTACGACTACAACTTCACCATACCCGACAACATCCCCACAGGCAAGGCTGTGGTTGCATGGACATGGTTCAACAAGGTTGGAAACCGCGAGATGTACATGAACTGCGCCTTGGTTGAGCTTACGGGCACTTCCGGCGACAAGAGCAACTTCGAAGCGCTTCCGGACATGTTCAAGGCCAACATTGACAGCGGTGGCTGCTCGACCCCAGCGGATACTGATCTTGTCTTCCCCGACCCTGGCGAGAACCTGCACAAGCTGAACGGCGCAACAACAGCGTGGGGCAGCCCAGTGGGATCTTGTGCTACTGGCAGCTCTAGCCAGCCAACTGGAGGCTCCGGCGCTGGGACTGGCGCCAGTGTTACCGGTGCTGCAGGAAGTGCCCCCACTTCTTCGGCTGCTGCCAGCGAGGCGTCTCCTCCTGCTGGCGGCATCTTTGCTACCGTTTCAACCGGTGCAGGCGCGACCAGCGCCCCCGCCGCTCCAGCCCCTACAGGCTCTGGCTCAACTGGATCAGGTTCCTCTGGCTCTTCAGGCTCATCCGGCCCTGGATCTTCCAGCAGCAGCGGCTCGGCATCTGCTGGATCTGCCTGCACGACTGAGGGAGACTACCAGTGTGTGAGCTCGACCTCTTACCAGGTCTGCGCTTCAGGCACTTGGTCGGCCGTCATGCCTGTCGCAGCTGGCACATCTTGCAGTGGCACGGGAGCCAACTTCGAGATTGTTGCCGCCGCCAGCAAGTTCAAGATGACCCGTGCGCTCCGTCGTGCTAAGCGTGGTCTTCCTTTCTTTGGTTGAGTTGCCCAGGTGGCAAGTTTTAAACTATTCTTGACTTCTTCTTAGCCTCAGTTGCAGGCTCATTTTAGGGTTTTATGTGGGGGAGAAAAAGATACCAACATTGGACATATGTGGCGCATGGTGTTTTTTTTTTCTATTTAGATGCTGTCATTTTGACTGCAAATTCTTGAATTGATCACTGTTTTGGTGTGTACAAAGAAGTCTACATGATCTTGTAAGGTGTTGAATACGCGTGTTGCGTGACGGACTGGAGATAGATAGGACAATGAGCATGATCACAAGCAATTTCAGAACCAATTCTTTCCCAACATATCTTGTTTCTGTCCGGTTTTGCAACTATCTACCCATAGGCTTTCAGCAGTAGGATGATGACATTGACATGTCAAGACAATTTGTGATGAAGTCGAGTGTGGAGTTGTAAACCAGAGTTTATGCATGTTGGTTGTAATCCCACATGGTACGCTGATCTTATAGATTAGATGGATTAGATTAGATAAGTTTGTCAGAAAGCTGTTGCCAGCGGCGGGCCCCAAGAACAGGCTCCAGCGGCTGGCAATGACACCTCTCCGCATGCCTCTTGACTGGATTTGGCTCTAGCGTGGCAGAATTGGGTCCGCTGGAGGCAGTCCCAATTATGTAAGCACCCGATGGATTTGGCGGCCGGTCCCCCCAGCTTCTCAATTCCCTGCCGTCTCAAGCTTTCCAAAGATTTCAGAGCGTGCCTCTGTCGCATACTCTGGTCAGCTATTCATCACCACCGCGCCGTACATAAACCCCAGTAACAACAACCCCACAGCATATCTCCCACCACGGCATTCACTCATACAGCATTTGCTATAGCATTCCATAATATCAAATCTCCAGAGTCTCGTTGTGAAATGAATGCCAGTTGCGCATTTGCAATTCCCAAGCTCCGTCGCGACTTCTGAGCTTGGTCGCAGTGGAGGGGCCAGGTGCCGCGCTGCCAACTCAACCTTTCTGCAGGCAACGGGCTTGAGCCGTCTGCCACCAGGCTCGAGGCACCTTTGGACAGCCATCAACAAAAGTCACTGTATCTATCATCCCATGGAATTCTGGTCGGGATTGATTTGATCATAAGCCACCGCGACAATGTCGCAACTCCTCGAAGATGTGGTCAAGCGCCTTGTCGCTCAGGATACTGGTCAGTAGTAGCACCAACCAACGCGCTCTTTCTTGTCGCGCCATTGACTGACTCTACGGAACTTGCAGAGTCCCGCGTCAAGGTCGAAGCCGCAACTACGCTACGCGATAATCTTGACGTCTTCACTTCTGGCCCGTCCTACCCAGTCTTTCTCAAGAGGGTTATGCCCGTCTTCATATCCATACTTAATGGCCCTTGCACATTCCAAAGCACTTCCAACGAACAGGTATGCGAGCCTCCGTGATACGGCTTGACCTGCTGCTCACCTTACATCCAGAGGCTCCGAAACACCATCCTCGAGATCCTTCATCGATTCCCTACAGTCCCTGCCGCCGCCGAGCCTTTCGAGCCATACGCATTGGAAACCGTCGAACTGTTAATGAAACTGGTCCGGACGGATAACGAGGAAAATGCCGTCATCTGCGTCAAAGTCATCTCCGACATCATGCGGTTCCAGTCCAAAGTTGTCGCGGGCAAGGTACAGGAGTTCCTGAGCCTGATACAAGAGCTCTTCGAGCAGATGGAGCGGGTTGTGAGGGAGCAGCTTGACAATGAGCCTACGACTGGAGCAGGTGGAATGCCATCTACACCCGGAAGCACACAGACGAACTTCCACCAGCACCAGTCACCCCGACCAGGCTCCCCCACGGCAACAACGACCGAATTCGGCATCGACCAACCGACCGCTCGGCCGCTGCTGAAGGGAATGCAATCATTCAAGGTCCTCTCGGAATGTCCGATCATAGTCGTCTCGATATTCCAGGTCTACCGGAACACCGTGCCACAGAATGTGAAGGCCTTCGTTCCGCTGATCAAGAGTGTGCTGTGTTTACAGGCGAAAGCTCAAGAGCAGGCACATACTGAGGCAGCGTCCAAGCACACTGTCTTCACGGGTGTCAGTCCCAGCATCAGGAACCGAGCAGCTTTCGGCGAGTTCATCACGGCACAGGTGAAGACGATGAGTTTCTTGGCATACCTGCTGAGACAGTACTCACAGCAACTGACGGATTTTCTTCCGACTTTACCAGATATTGTGGTACGACTACTGAAGGACTGCCCGCGAGAAAAGTCAAGCGCTAGGAAGGAGCTCCTTGTCGCTATCCGCCACATTATCAATTTCAACTTTAGGAAGATTTTCTTGCCCAAGATCGACGAACTCCTGGATGAGAGGACCCTGATTGGCGATGGACTCACTGTCTACGAGAATATGAGGCCTCTCGCGTACAGCATGCTCGCAGATCTCATCCACCACGTCAGAGATTCTCTCACGCCAGCACAGATCAGGAAGACCGTGGAGGTCTACACAAGAAACCTGCAAGACAACTTCCCGGGCACCAGTTTCCAAACGATGAGCGCGAAACTATTGCTTAATATGGCAGAATGCATCGCCAAGATGGACAACAAGGAGGATGCGCGGCATTTCCTGATCATGATCTTAAATGCTATTGGGGACAAGTTTGCCGCCATGAACCGCCAGTACGCGAACGCAGTGAAGCTGTCGAAAGCATACGCGAAGCAGACGAAAGATCAGACGCCAGACACGTACCTGGCTGACAAGGCAGATCCTCCAGACTGGGATGAGGTCGACATCTTCAATGCGATGCCTATTAAGACAGCGAACCCCCGGGAAAAGGGTGCAGATCCTGTCGTCGACAACAAGTTTCTGTTCAAGAACCTGATGAACGGTCTCAAGAACACCTTCTACCAGCTCAAGGTTTGCAATCCTCCGCACGTTGTGGAGCAGGTGAATGCCCCAGCGCATTGGCAGGACGTTGCATATGGGTTCAGTCCCGAAGAAGTGCAGGTCATTGTCAAACTCTTCAGGGAAGGCGCCTATGTGTTCCGCTACTATGAAATTGAGAAACCCATTGGCGAATCTCAGTACCAGTCGGCGGTTGAGTACATGGCTAATTTCTACATGAACTCCAGCAGCAAGGAAGAGAAGGAGCTTTTGGAGACGTTTGCGACTGTGTTCCATTGCATTGACCCAGCCACTTTTAACGAGGTCTTCCAGCAGGAGATCCCGCGTCTTTATGAGATGATATTTGACCACACGGGGCTTTTGCACATACCACAATTCTTCCTCGCCAGCGAAGCAACATCACCAAGCTTCTGCGGCATGCTGCTCAGATTCCTGATGGAACATATTGAGGATGTCGGCTCAGCAGATGTGAAGAAGGCATCGATACTTTTGCGGCTCTATAAGTTGGCGTTCATGGCCGTCACTCTGTTTGCGGCGCAAAATGAGCAGGTTCTTCTGCCTCACGTTGTGGACATCGTCACAAAGTCCATTGAGTACTCTACCAAGGCTGAGGAGCCCATGAACTACTTTCTTCTCCTCCGTTCGTTGTTTAGGAGCATTGGCGGCGGGAAGTTCGAGCATCTCTATAAGAAGATATTGCCGCTTCTAGAGATGCTCCTGGACGTCCTCAACAACCTTCTCAGAGCTGCGAGAAAGCCAGCCGAGCGGGATTTGTATGTCGAGCTGTGCTTGACAGTCCCTGCTAGGCTCAGCAATCTTCTGCCACATCTGAGTTTTCTCATGCGGCCGCTGGTAGTTGCATTACGTGCGGGGAGCGACTTGGTCGGGCAGGGTCTGCGGACGCTTGAGTTGTGCGTGGACAATCTCACAGCGGACTACCTCGACCCCATAATGGCCCCTGTTATGGATGAGCTGATGTCTGCGCTCTTTGATCATCTCAAACCAGCCCCGTACCAGCACTTCCATGCCCACACGACGATGAGGATCCTTGGAAAGCTCGGCGCCGAAATCGCAAGTACATGACAGATGCTATCTCGCTGAGCTTTCAGCAATTTGTCGATGATAGTCCAAGTTTTGATCTGCGGCTCTTAGGGTCGAAGAAGGAGAGGCCGTTCCCTGTCAATATGGGCATCCAGCTTGCCATTCAGAAGTTGACGGAAGCCCCGAAGCAAGTCAAAGTTGGCCCATCCAAGCAATCCGATGCTTTCTACAAGGAGAAGGCCTTCCATTTCCTCAAGGCACAGCTGAAATTGCGCATTGGGTATGATAATTTGCCCGAGGATCTTCCCAGGCTAGTCCGCCTCCAGGTGCAAGATTTGCTGGCTCGCAAGACTGACGCCGACTTTTCGATTTTCGAGACCTCTGATCGTGGGCGCTCAGTTCCTAACAAGGAGGATCAAGACAACGTGCTCAAGCGACTCATCAAGGCGATGATGTTTGCCAACTCTTTGCCTGACTTCAAGGAGGAATCCATGGCATTCCTATTGGGCCTTTGCCGCCACTTCGCGATCATCGAAGTAGGCAGAGCTCTCGTGGACTGCAAAAGGGGCGCGAGCCCATTCGATGTCAATGCGGGTGAAGGTCCAATGTGTCTTGACACTCGTGTTCTTTGCGATGCTATCCTTGAGTCACTGGCATCTGACCACCCAGATGTTCGCGAAGCCGCTAAACGAGCAATCAAAGAGGTATATGATTCTGCCGCCATCATACTTGGGTCGTCCAATAATGTTGGGCGTCTGACATTCTTCCATCACCTTGGCTCTGTCCTCTGTCATGGGTGCTATGAGGAAGAGTGGTTTACCAAAGCTGGTGGATGTTGTGGCATCCGTATACTTTTGACGGATGTTGATCTTGGAGATGCGTGGATTGCCATGAAACAGAGTGAGTGCATCAAGGCATTACTGTTTGTGGTGAAGGACATGCCACAGGACCTCCCTGAGAACACGAGACGATCAGCACAAGACACGCTGGACATCTTGCTACACAGGATCACAAAAATCAAGAAGGAGGACTGCTTGCCGCTGCCACAGGAGAAGGGCCAACAACCACCAAAACAGCCCCGAATGGCTCAGATTTGCAATGTGTTGAATCAAGAGCTCCCACACATGAACAAGCACGTTCGGGAGACCGCCAAACAATGCCTCGATATAATTGCAAAGGCAGCAGATGCACAAGTCTGGGAGTTGCTTGAGCCTCATAGGGATCGCCTTCTGTCACAGATCTACTCCAAACCTCTCCGAGCTCTCCCATTTTCGATCCAAATCGGCTACATCGATGCGGTGACTCACTACATGTCTTTGAAGCAGGACTTTGTTAAGATGGATGAGAATTTTGACCCGTCTGCTCATGGAATCACTGGCACTCGCTGAGGCCAGCGATGAGTCGCTCGCCAACAAGGCCGCCGAGTTCCGGACACACAACTACATTGTGAGCCTTCGTGTGTCCTGCATCAAGATCCTGAGTACCGCCATGGATTTTGAAGATTTCATGAAGCCGAGTCAGCCCAATCAGCCAAACAAAGAGAGAACTCGAATTGTTGCAACTTTCTTCAAGTGCCTTTATTTGCATCCTACGCCCATCATCGATGCTGCTTATGAAGCACTGAAGACTGTTCTGTCCATCAACAACAAGTTACCAAAGGATTTGCTTCAGTCAGGCCTTAGACCGGTTCTAGCCAGCCTCCAGGATGCAAAGAGGCTGAGTCTCCAGGGGCTCAACAATTTGGCGAGGCTTCTTAAACTACTTACCTCGTACTTCAAGGTTGAGATCGGAACGCGCCTTCTTGACCACGTCAAAAACCTGGCAGATGGTAATATGCTGCAGCAACTATCCTTCACTTTCTTTGAACAGAACGAAATGATGGAGGTCATTGCCGCTGTCTTCAACATTTTCCATCTGCTACCGGCTGCAGCAGAAGGTTACAAAGAACGTATCATCGAGACGGCATTGGATCTCGAGTCAAAGCTTCGTCGGACTCATCACAGTCCCTTCCGCAAGCCGATCTACAAGTTCTTGAATCGGTACCCCCAGGAGATATGGAACTTGCTGTTGAACAAGATCCGCGACATCAAGTACGGCCGATTCTTCGCCCAGGTTCTTCGTCATGCAGACAGCGGTCCGCTCCGGGACTTTGCAGCGGCGAATATTCAGGCCTTGGTCCAGGCTTGCAAAGACGTCCCCAGTGACGATCGTCCCGGCAGATCCACTTCCATAGTCAACGCCATCACCATGCTTGATGCACTCTGCCAGTACTCCGCCACAGCGTGGATGGCAAACAAGGAGACGCTTGCCTGGTTGAAGCAGGCAAGCAGCGATCTCGAACTACAGCTACGGGTCAACGAAGTGCCTGGTCCTTTGCGCCTTGCTGCACACCAAGCCGTCGAGCACGCCACTTGGATCATGACCAAATATCTCGAGCAGAACCCTAAAGATCTCGATGCTCTGTTTTCGCTGATCGAATCAGTTACAACCGAGGATGTCAGGCAAACGCAAAGCTTGTTCGCGTACCTGTACAATGGGGTCATTTGCAACGATTCAGTCGAGTTTTGGAAGTCGATTGTCCTACGATGTCTCGACACATATGCTGGAAAGACCGCATCCCAAAAGACAAAGCTGTTTCTGCTGCACAACATTGTCAACCCCATTTTGGCAATGGACCTGATGCGACATTGGGACCAACCCGAGCAACGGCCAAATCGTTTGATCGATCGGGCCGTGATCGAATCCATCAGCACAAAGATCTGGAAGGTCAGTCTGGCTGATCCCCAGGACGACCTTAGCCAACCGGGCATCGATCATACGAGGATGGAAGTCCTGCAGCTCTCAGCCTTCCTCATCAAGTACCACAACACCATCTTGCAGGAAGCGCGCAAAGACATAATCAAGTTTGGTTGGACATACATCAGACTCGACGATGTGATCAACAAGCATGCCGCCTACGTCGTTCTGTCATACTTCATCGCGCACTATGACACACCCGGAAAGATAGTTTCCCAGGTGTATTTCTCATTGCTCAAGAACAATCAGAACGAGGGACGTACGCTCGTTACGCAGGCTTTGGAGTTGATGGCGCCAGTTCTGCCCAAGAGATGCGGCTCCATCCAGGCCAACGAGCGGAATACTGTCTGGTCCGCTGCACCCCGACGTATCTTGTCAGAGGAGGGACAGAATGTTCAGCAAATGACCAGCATCTTCCACTTCCTCGTGCGGCACCCGGATCTTTTCTACGAGACTCGCGACAAGTTCTCCATTCTCATCATTCAATGTCTGCGAAAAGTTGCGAATTTCCCCAACCCGTCCTTTGAGAGCAGGCGCCTTGCCCTCAACATGATGTGGCTGATTTGGGAGTGGGAACAAAGGCGTGTCACTGGAAAGACCACAAGCTCCACACGAATGGCATCTCAATCCCTATCACCAGTTGCCAAGAAGCGCAAACTAGATGAAATGTCCGCGTCGCCTCCAGCAGTCCGACAAACTGCTGCTGTTGAGAAGGCCGAGTATCAAATTCCCGCCCCAGTGCGGCAGAAGATGGTGAAATATCTGGTCGAGTTTATCGCGCAGCTGAATGAGCGATACCCGTTGCCATCAAGCAAAGCAAAGGACACGCCGGTCACAGCCAGTCATTCCATATCCACAGAGCTCAACAAGAAGGCCATGACCCTCCTATTCAACCTTTTGCAACCAGAGTACTGGGCTGATCTCGACGTCGACCTCTTCCCCAACGTCACAGATGTGGTTCTTGCCAGCGAAAAGACGACTCAGATCCTCAGTATCGACCCAGAGAATAAGGAGAGGTACGACGAGAAGTTCATCACGAACATCATCAACACGCTTCAAGTGGTGCGCATCATCCTGGATTCAAAGTCGGATGAGTGGATCTTGAAGAACATGAGCCAAATCCAGAAGATTCTCGAGAAGTGTCTGAGGTCAGAAAATCCTGAGCTGCAGGACTGTCTGCACTTGGCAGACCCGAAGTATGATGATGGACGGGAGATCAGAGCCATTGTCAAAAGGATTCTCGATGCTGTTCCTACCGCTGCGGAGGATGTGCAAATGGAAGATGCCGACGCGGAGGGTGAGCCTGAGTCACAGACGTCTGAAGTCATCACTTTCCTCTCCAACATCGGGACCGAGACAATGGCAGCCGCGAACTACGTTGCGGGCATCAACATCCTATGGTCACTAGGCAACCGACGTCCATCGGCTATCGACCCTCACATCCCAGCCATCATGAAATCGCTGCAGTCCAAACTCGCCAGGGATCACGTGTCTCACTACACCGCCATCAGCCACGAAGGTAATGCACCTCGGGCCCCGGACCAGAATCCACCTGCCAAGATGGACGACTATGATCTCGAGATCCAGACGGGCTTGATGCTCAAGGCCATTGATGTCACTGCAAAGCGAATGGAAATCCTTGGGGATAACCGTAGGCCATTCCTCAGTGTCTTGGCCACTCTTGTGGAGAAGTCTTTGCATATACCACTGTGCGAGAAGATTCTAGATATGGTCGAGGGCTGGATCTTCCGTTCCGAGGGAACATGGCCTACGCTCAAGGAGAAGACAGCTGTCTTGCACAAGATGTTGACGTTTGAGCACCGCGCCGACACAACAATGCTGACAAAGTACTTGGACCTGGTACTCCGCATTTATGAGGACCCCAAGATCACCAGAACCGAGCTAACCGTGCGCATGGAGCATGCTTTCCTGATAGGAACACGGGCGCAAGACATCAACATGCGGAACCGCTTCATGGCGCTCTTGGACAAGAGTTTGTCCAAGACTGCCAGCGCTCGCTTGTTGTATGTCATCAACACGCAGAATTGGGACACATTGGGCGAGACTTTCTGGCTTGCTCAAGCTTCGCAACTACTTCTCGGTTCCGTGGAATCGAATAGCAGCGTACATTTACACCATGAGGACTTCCGGACTTTGCCCGCCTCTCGGCTCTTTGGCAACTACGCAAAGGACCCAAGGCAGCCGGCGGCAATGTCAGATGACAAGTACGAGGCTTTCATGGCGGGCCACCGTCGCTTCATGTCCGAGCTCGGTGATGTCAAGGTTCGAGACATTATCGAGCCGCTCACACAAATGCAGCACGTCGACTCGAACCTCGGCAAAGAGCTCTGGGAGACACTGTTCCCAATGTACTGGTCTGCGACGACAAGGGAGGAGCGAGAGGAAGTCAAACGTGGCCTGGTGTTGCTGTTGACCAAGGACTACCACCAGCGGCAGCTCGACAAGCGTCCTAACGTGATCCAGGCATTGCTCAAGGGCGCTGCAAAGGCGTCTCCTGAGTGCAGAATTCCTCCCCACGTCTTGAAGTACGCGGCTCAGACTTTCGATTCTTGGTATACGGCACTGGCTCAGCTCGAGGATGCCGCAATTGACCTGGAAGCATCGGATCCACCTACAGTGAAGGAGAGCAACTTGAATGCGCTCGTCGAGATATACGCCAACTTGAAGGAGGATGACTTCTTTTACGGCACGTGGCGCCGCCGATGCCAATTCTTGGAAACCAACAGCGCTCTCTCTTACGAGCAGAATGGTCTGTGGGACAAGGCTCAGAAGATGTATGAGATGGCACAGGTCAAGGCTCGCACTGGTGCCCTCCCCTTTTCTCAGGCTGAGTACACACTGTGGGAGGACCATTGGGTTCTGTGCGCTCAGAAACTGCAGCAATGGGATATTCTGCAGGACTTTGCCAAGCACGAACATCTCCAGGACCTCCTTTTGGAGTGTGCATGGCGCAACACGGAGATGTGGCAATCGCAAGAGAATAGGGATCACATCGATGCCATGATCAAGGGCCTTATGGACGCACCTACCCCGCGTCGATCTTTCTTCCAGGCATTCATGGCTTTGCGCAAGCTTCACAACAAACAGGAGACACAGCCGGACTTCCAGAGATACGTCGACGAGGCTATTCAGCTTGCGATACGTAAGTGGCATCAATTGCCGAAGCAGCCTACGCACGCACACGTTCCGTTGCTTCAGAACTTCCAGCAACTGGTGGAGTTGCACGATGCTAGTGTCATCTGTACTAGTCTTGCGGGTACGAATCAGCAGAACTTGGATGTCAAATCTAGTGAGCTGAAACTGCTTCTGGGCGGTTGGCGTGATCGACTGCCCAACGTTTGGGACGACATCACTGCCTGGCAAGACCTCGTTACCTGGCGACAGCACATCTTCGGTCTCATCAACCAGACTTATCTCGGACTTCTGCCTCAGGGGGGCCAGAATGCGGGAGGCTCTTCGTTTGCGTACCGGGGATACCACGAAACAGCATGGATCATCAACCGCTTCGCCCATGTTGCCAGGAAACATAACTTGGCGGATGTCTGCATCAGCCAGCTTGGTCGCATCTACACCTTGCCAAACATCGAGATACAAGAAGCATTCTTGAAGCTGCGAGAGCAGGCCAAATGCCACTACCAGAATCCCAAGGAACTCAACAGCGGGCTGGAGGTCATCAACAACACCAATCTTGGGTACTTCAGCCCAGGCCAGAAGGCAGAGTTCTACACTTTGAAGGGCATGTTCCTTGAGAAACTGAGTCAGAAGGACGAAGCCGACAATGCTTACGGCACAGCCCTGTACTTCGACATCGGGGCAGCAAAGGCATGGGCTGAATGGGGTTACTTCAATGACCGCAAGTTCAAGGAAGACCCTGCCGACCTCAATTCTGCCCGCCAAGCACTCACGTCGTACCTGCAGGCAGCAGGCAGCTACAAGAACGCCAAGTCGCGGAAGCTCATTGCCAGGATTCTTTGGCTTCTGAGCATGGACGATGCCAACGGGACTGTCTCTGCCGGATTCGATGATTTCAAGGGTGACACGCCGACTTGGTACTGGATCACCTTCATTCCGCAGCTGCTCACTGGGCTCAGCCACAAGGAAGCGACGCGGGTCCATTCCATACTCTTGAAGATTGCCAGATCTTATCCCCAGGCCCTTTACTTCCAGTTGCGGACCAACAGGGAGGACATGATGGTTATCAAGAAGAACCATGAGGCCAAGAAGCAAAGAGAACGGCAACAATCAGTCGGGGGAGCCAAGCCTGCAGGCTCACCAGCTCTGCAGAAACAAGAGGCTCCCGGTGCGCAGAAGCAGGAAGGGAACTCGGGATCACGACCCGCCACTGCCAACGGGGAAGCTAACGTCCAACCTAAGACGGAGGGCGGCGAGACGAATGGCACAGCGGCAACTCCTACCACGACAGGGCCTAACGGCTCGACACCAGCACCTGGAGAACAGCAAGCCGAGGCGGGCCAGAAGAAGTTCCCATGGGAACTGACGGAAGAGATCATGTCCCAGCTCAAGACGGCCTTCCCTCTCCTGGCGCTATCAATGGAGACCATGGTCGACCAGATCCAGAAGCACTTCAAGTGCCCGCCAGATGAAGATGCGTACCGGCTGATTGTGGCCCTGCTCAACGACGGACTGGCATATGTCAGCCGCATGCCAACGTCGTATGCCAAGGGCACAAAGCTACCACAGGCCACCGAGACGAACATCACTCGATTTGCTGAGACAATACTGCCGGCGCACATAAGGAAGACGTTTGAGGCAGACTTTGTCACATTCAAGCCTACGATGTTCGAGTACATCCACAAACTGAGGAAGTGGAGAGACAAGTTCGAGGAGAAGCTGGACAGGCGCAACCCCCACATGTCCTTGGAAGCGTACACGACACTCTTGAGCGAGTTTAAGTACCAGAAGTTCGATGAGGTCGAGGTCCCCGGCCAGTACCTGCAGCTCAAGGACAAGAACCAAGACTTCATCCGCATCGAGCGTTTCATTCCCACGGTCGATCTAGTTCGCATGATCGGCATGTCTCATCGACGACTGAAGATCCGAGGTCACGACGGCAGCATCCATCCATTCGCGGTTCAACATCCCGCAGCTCGGCACTGTCGAAGAGAGGAGAGGATTGTCCAGTTGTTCCGGCAGCTGAACCAGAGGCTGAGCAGGAAGAAGGAAAGCCGTCGTCGCGACTTGCAGTTTACCCTGCCGTTGATGGTCCCGCTGGCACCACACATTAGGATTGTGCAGGAGGACACGTCTTACATCACACTTCAGGGTATCTTCGAGGATCATTGCCGACGCAACAGTCTGTCCAAGGATGATCCTGTGCTGTTTATTATGGATAAACTGCGCGCACTTGGGGAATCCAAAGGGGTAAGTTCGACCTTGAATGCCATCTCCGGAGAACAGATGTCTAAGCCATTACAACAGAAGACTGGCGAGCACAGCGCCACGGCTCGACTGGAGATCCAGAACGCCATCCAGGACAAGTGGGTGCCACGCACCGTGGCTCTTGACTACTTCCAGAGGTCATACCTGGACTACGCCGATTTCTGGCTGTTCAAGCGCCGTTTCTCATACCAGCTGGCCGCGCTGACGTTCATGACGTATGTCCTGTTCATCGACAAGCGGTACCCACAAAAGATACACATCGCCCGAGGCACCGGCAACATCTGGAGCTCCGAGCTCCTGTCGTCCATGACCAACAGCCGGCCCTACTTTGGCACGGCAGAACCGGTGCCGTTCCGCCTCACGCCCAACATACAGACCCTCATGGGCCCGCTGGCGACGGAGGGCGTCTTTGGATGCTCCATCATGGCGATCGCAAGGTGCCTCACGGAGCCCGAGTTCGAGCTCGAGCACGCGCTCACCCTGTTTGTCCGCGACGAGGTCATGTTCTGGTTCACCAGCAGTCACAGGATGGCACATCTTAACGAGGGACATCTTAGGGAGACGGTGCAGACCAACTGTGACCTCATTGTCAAGAGGGCGGTCAGCCTCGCGACGGTCCCCGAGGGGACGCTGCCGGCCAACCAGACGGTCATCGACCTGATCAGCAAGGCTGTCAACCCCATCAACCTCGCCATGATGGACGCGTTGTGGCAGGCATATCTCTAGTCTTGGACGTGTTGGTTTGGAGGGTTGTGATTCTGGGTCTTGGTAATGCTAGCGTACTTGCGAGGTGTTTTTCGGTAATGGAAAAAGAAACCCGGTCTCTCGTCCTTTGCATTGGCGGTGCAGGTAGGGGGGGCTGGCTGGCTCCTCTGTTTTTGTGTGCGGGTGGCTTCGGGTCAAAAGGGGGTGCGGGGGGGGGGGCGCTCTGTGGATACGCTATGATGTGAAACATGGAATATAGTTGAGGTCGGGTTCTTGCGTTGGTGTTATGGGACGATATCCAGATTGACTTGTGCATGCGTTTGGCTGGTAAACTTGGCCATGAGAAGATACTCAAATGACATTATGCGCCGTCACGTTGGCGATGTTACAAGATCAGCAGCAGCCTCGGTATGTGACATGCGCCGTCTTACACAACGGACCCGGGCCGGACGCGACTGGTATTGGAGTTTCCTGTCAGAAAAAGGCAAGACTTGCCCTCCGTGTACCTTTGAACCGTACGCCCAGAGGACGTATGCGTACTAGGCGAATAAGTGGCACATGCGGGACAAGCGACCACCCCCCCCCCTCTCTCCAACTCTGCTCCTCCGCAGAGCGACCCCGGCTTCCGAAATATGTCCTCCCCGCGCTCTTCCCCGGACCGGAGGACCCCAAATCCACAAGTACCCGACAAGTTCCCGATGCCGACCTTTCCCTCCAGTCCTCCTCGCTCTCTTACTCATGATAGCCTTTTAGGCGTTGCCCTTTCTGCTGCAACGGAGAAGTAGACATTAGACACGCAATAAGCCACCGTGAGAACACGTGGGAATCTTTCGAAATGGAGAATCAGGTTGCCGTCCCCCGTAAGCTTTGGGAGCACCCCAACCCGAAGAGCACGTTGATGTACGAGTTCATGCAGGACATCAACCGGAAGAGCGGACAAAGTCTGGAGGTACGAGACATTGCTTTTGTTCACTGTCCTTGTCCAACACTCTGTCACTCTGAATGTTACGGCTGCAGAACAGAAGATCGTCATTGGATGACGATACTGAGTCTCACTGCTTGGCTCAGCTCAATGCTGGTGAGCTCAAGTGAGCCAGCTAATCTGTGATGGTTCCCATTCTTTCGTCGACGACTTGTGTATCTAGCTCCCTGGTTTACATTAAATGCCAGCCCAACTCTGCCCAGTGCTGACCCGGTCCCGCAAAAGACGTTCCGCCAGCTCTACGACTACTCCATCAACCAGCGCTCCGACTTCTGGCACCGCCTCTTCCAGTTCAGCAACTTCATCTACGGCGGCAGCTACAGCCGCGTGGTGGACGAGGCCGCCACGATCGACCAGGTGCCCCGGTGGTTCGAGGGCGTGACGCTCAGCTTCGCCGAGAACGTCCTGTACTCGCGGACCGCCGCGGACCCGCAGGGCCACCGCTCCAAGCTGCACAAGGAGGATGACCGCATCGCCATCACCGAGGTCCGCGAGGGCGGGTCCGCGGTGCGCGAGTGCTCGTGGGGGGAGCTCAGGTCCCGCGCCGCGGAGCTGGCGGCCGCAATGTACCACTCCAAGGGCGTCAGGCAGGGCGACCGCGTCGTCGCCGTCGCGGCCAACAGCGTCGAGACGTTTGTGGTGTGGCTGGCTACCAACTGGCTCGGGGCCATCTTCTCGAGCAGCTCGACGGATATGGGGACCAAGGGGATACTGCAGCGCAGTGTTCAGGTGAATCCAAAGGTGTGTTGGTCTTCTGCGGGTGTCCTGATCGACCAGTATCATCTTGCAGGCTGACCAAGACACTCAGCTCATTTTCGTGGACGACGCGGCTCTGTACAACGGCAAGATCGTCGACCTCCGCGAAAAAATGAAAGAAATTGTCGAGGGGATGAAGGACTGCGACGCCCTCACGTCGCTCATCTCCATTCCTCGCTTCAGCGAGCCGCGGGACATCAGCTCCGTGCCAAGGGCGGAGACCCTCGCGAGCCTTCTGGCCAGTACCAAGCTACCGGCCCCGGACCTTGTCCGCACGGCCTTCCACGAGCCGTCGCTGATCTGCTTCTCCTCGGGGACGACCGGGATGCCCAAGGCCATCACACACTCCCAGGGCGGGCTGTTGCTGTCGTACTTCAAGGAGGGCCGGCTGCACGAGGGCCAGGGCCCCGAGACGGTCGGGCTGCAGTACACTACCACGGGATGGATTATGTACGTTGCGAACGTGGCCCTTCTGCTGTGGGGCGCGCGGTCCGTGTTCTACGACGGCTCGCCGTTCCAGCCCGATATCACCGTTCTCATCAAGATCCTGGCCGAGCAGGGCGTGACCAAGTTCGGCACGAGCCCGCGGTGGCTCTTCGAGGTAGCGAAGGCCGGGCTCAGCCCAAGGGATATGGTCGACCTTTCCAGGTTGACGTCAGTGAGTTGCACGGGTATGGTCTTGTCGGACCAGCTGTTTGAGTGGTTCTATGACAAAGGGTTCCCCAGCCACACTCAGCTGGGAAATATGTGAGTAATTTCCAACCCTTTGCCCTCTCCATATTGGGATACCACGGTATGGGGGCATACATTCTCCTGAGCCACTATCCCAATGTAACCCCAGCTGGAAACTTTACTGATTGCGATCCTCACAGCTCGGGCGGCACTGATCTTGTAAGTTCTCATGGAGAGATTTCCTGCGCAACGTGACATCCAATCACTAAACATTTCGTGTCCACCCAGGCCGGATGTTTCGGTATCAGCAACCCTCTAGAGCCGGTATACGTCGGGGGGACTCAAGGACCCTCTCTGGGCACCGATGCGCGTATCTTCGACTCAACACTCCCGGACGGCCCCGGCAAGGAAGTGCCCCACGGCACGCCCGGGGAGCTCGTAGCAACGATCGCGTTCCCCAACGTGCCCTGCCGCTTCTGGAACGATAAGGAGCCGGTGGCGACTCCGGGGTCAAAGTTCCACTCTGCGTACTTTAATCGATTCGATCACGTCTGGGCGTAAGTGACTTCTCGCGAGTGTTGTCGTCATGAGAGGCTACCTTGTAAGAAGACAAACTCACTGACTCCCCCCATCACCACAGGCACGGCGATTTCTGCGTTATTCACCCGGTGACGGGCAAACATATCTTTTCTGGGGCGCGCCGACGGCGTGCTGAACCCCTCTGGAGTGCGTTTCGGCTCTGCGGAAATCTACTCCGTGATAGAGCGGCGCTTCGCCAACCGAGTGCACGACTCCCTCTGTGTGGGCCAGAGGCGACCAACGGACCAGGATGAGACGGTGATGCTGTTCCTGCTGATGAAGCCCGGGCACAGGTTCGACACGGCGCTGGTGAGCGAGGTCAGGGAGGCCATCGGGAGGGACCTGTCGAAGCGCCACGTGCCGAAGTATATATTTGAGACGCCCGAGATTCCAGTAAGTCTTCCATCTTTCTCTTTGGCGCGCACATACGCACACAGACCTATTCCCATCCAGTCCGATGTAGGACATGAAACTAACTTCTCGTGACTTTCTGCAGACAACTATCAATATGAAGAAGGTGGAGCTTCCAGTCAAACAGATCGTTTCTGGCCAAATAATCAAGCCCAGCGGCACCCTAGCCAACCCACAGAGCCTAGATTTCTACTATCAGTTTGCCAAGGTGGAGGAGCTGGTGGGACCTAAGGGCAAGTTGTGAAGGATCAAGAACTTGTCAGAGTTAGGAAGTCGAGATCTACACCTAGAGATAGATCGGTCTTTACCAAGGAATTCAGCGAGGCACATTGCAATTGAAATTTGAAGATATTTGATGAGCCGGCACAGAAGATACATCAACTAGAGATTTCGTGCGGTCAAGATGGCTTGGTTGTCGGAAAGATGAACTTGAAGGACACGGCTAGACCAAGGAATCCACCACGTTTGGGTCATCGAGTAGTTTGTTTGCGATTGTATGCGATATCGCTTAGAGGCAGCTGGCGGTCAATCCGACTTACCTCCTTGAAGCGATGTCGGTAATGTGATGGTGAGCTCTTGTGAGATGCATCTCTGGCCTGCCAATTCATGTTTGCGCTGATGCTCGTCATACGTGCGACCTGGCATCCTGCTGTACACCGGTCAAGGGTTGCGCCTTGTCATTCGGCCTGATTCTAATGCAAGCAACCGTTATGGAAAATACAGGCAGCTGGTTATCGTGTGTAATCACATCGTACTTTTGACGTTGGAAAGCTTATACACCACCTTCACTGTGATCTTTTGCCGGGGTCCGGCGCATCAGGTACATTTCGTACGATGGCATTTCGTTTACCAAGAAGTTAGAAGGAAATAACACGAAGTAAACAGTATAGAACAGAACTCAGAAGCTGATTAAATCTCAGTGACGACACAGTGAAGGACCGTGAGACGGTGATTGCACCGCCAGATTGCTGGGGCTAGGCATCAGAGGCAAAGTTTCGGCAGATACGCTGTGGGTTAAATCGGCGGTGGGGTGAGACCTGGGTTTGTGTTTGGGTCTCGGATTCCAGCCTCCGAATTTGGCGGGCTATCATCGGTCTGCGAGGTTAAAGTCGAAACACCGTCTGCAATGAGACCAGAATGCTGTCCGGATGTAATCATACCGGCTTGGCCAAGGTATGAGAATCCGCGTGAGAGCCGAAAGGGCCCACAGCTGGACCGGAGCCGGGTCGGGCAGAAGACGGGCGGGAGATGGCTGGTGAGGTACGACTGTCTGTGCTATTTTTGGATGCCGCCACCGAGGGAGGCTGCTAGCCAGAAGCCGAGAGGGTAGAGCCGCAGTGCGGTTCCCTGCCGCATTGCGTATCAACGTGCATGGCTCAGGGACGGGCGGGTGGCTGAGCAGCGACCACGAGGATCTCGTCACGCGCCAGCCGAATTGACTTTGTGACTGAAGACAAAGTGGACTCGACGGCGGGAGGGATGGGAATGGGCTCGTTGTTCTATCATCGGCTGTGCGCCTTGTGGGTCGTGGAGCCGGGCGAAGTGTGGCACATGGACGAGTCGCGGAGAGGCCAACCGATCTGAAATTCCGGATGGAATGACGACAGTTGAGATGGCGGCCGAGAGGGAGAAAATCAGGGTCTCCGATGATGTTCTGGGGGTGTGGGGGTCCCTCGGTCTGCCGCGTCAGGATACGAGTTTCTTGGGAGTCCCAATATCTTCGTCATTGTGAGGGGCAGGCGCACCACTGTCTTGTTGTCAGATTAATTGCTGGCCGTCTGCGGCCTGTTACGAAAGTCGCAGCCAAGGTGTGTCAAGAGTGAGAGCAGCCTGGAGTCAGTCCACCATGTCAGTCAGTCAGCCAGTCGATGGGAATGGCAGTGGCTGAGGCCAGGATACGTCAGCGTCAGGGGTGTCTGCACATCTGCATTTCGTCCGCAGGCACGCATACGTGGTAGTAGCGGAAGGAGGAGGAGGAGGAGGAGGAGGAGGAGGAGCATGAGCCCGGTAGCAAAGCTCTGAAACTTTGTTGAGGCTCTCGTCACCACGATGACCGTGTTGCTGGTGTTGTTGGTGATGTTGGCGTCTGTTGTTGTCGGTTGCCATAGGGACTCCTGATGCATCTCGTACTCATGCAGTTCTTGTCACCCCCTAGGCCCAGGTAGGAGTGCATTAGCTGCGAATGCAGACTCGGATCTGCCTGTGGCGGCACGTCCATTTGACATGAGCTGCAGTGCGACCCGGCGAACCGTGATGCGCCTGCAGGTAATGGTCATTGCCCCAGCCTGGTGTCAAGTTGATTGGGCCTGGGCCGGGCGTGGTCCGCTTATTTCCCTGCAAGTCCGTCCAGTAAGCAGCGCCTTGTGCCGGGAACCTTGGAAGAATGGGTCGCGCTTTGTGGCTGCGCGGTTTTCCCGCGGTCTCGTTCGCTCCAGTGTGGCTTGGCTGGCTGGGTCAATAGGAGGAGCAGCAGGAGGAGGAGACCCAAGTCGCGTTGCGTTGCGTTGCTACGTGCTGTGCTGTGCTGTGCTGTGCTGTGCTTGCAAGGTGCTTTCTCGGACGGGGTCATGGCTCGAGGGTAAAGGAGGAGGAGGAGGAGGGCGAGGGCGGTTGGGCTTGGCCTCAGCTGGCCTCTTTTTTTCCATGCCTTCCCTGCCCTTCCCTGCCCCTTCCTTTTCTGCCTCTTTGACCTTGGATGCCCCCTTCCCACCCATCGACCCCATCCGCCCACCGTTTTCTTCCTCAGCGTCAGCCTGGAACAAAACGACCCGACCCGACAGACGTGGACACTCGTTGACCAGATCGCCCGCCTGCTTGCGCTCAACAACTGCATCTACATCTGCATATCACATCGCCTGTTCGCCATTCTTTGCGTCTACTTTTACCACTGCTCCTTGGCCCCTGCCAAGTCGAGAGTCTTGCGAACCACTGCACTGCATTTTTTAAACTGTTGGCACCCCCTGGGTTCACAACTGCGCTAGGCTCGTCTAGACCGCCTGCAGTGGTTCTGGTTCCCCTGCCGACCGACACCAACCACCACCAAGCTACAGCTACACGACCCAGCTGCCATTGAGCACACGGTATCGAATACTTTCTCGCGGACACCGACGACGACCTACAAGAGTAGCAAGTAACAGGACTTGAACCGCCAACATGGGCTTCGAATTCGACCACGAAAGGATCCCCCTCTACAAACTGATCGTCCACATCATCCAGATTGTCATATCTGTCACGATCTGGGTCCTCGAGATCATTGTCTTCAAAGGGGGCGATATCAACGGCAACAATGGCTGGACCTTCGGAGTGGTGAGTTCTACCTCGATCTCGGCCCCATGTCAGTCAGCAAATGCTAATATCATCCTCCAATCCAGTGCTTCCTGTCCGTTCCAGTATGGATATATCTGATCATGGCCCCGCGATACTCTCGCGCCAGGAGAATAGCCGATCCCAAAGCCATGCTCGTTTTTGATTTTATGTATACCGTCATCTGGCTGTCTGCGTTTGCCACGCAGGCCGCCTACAACACAGCCAATGACTGTGGTAGCGCCTGCGGGCCTAGCAAGGCCATCGTCGGCCTGGGCGTCTTTAACACGTAAGTCGGAGTTCGCCTTGTCCCCCAAAATTCGCCAAGTCTAGCAGCAGCTGACGGTATTTCTGATAATCAGCCTCTTCTGGGCCGCCTCCACCCTGATCTCAGTGGCCACATACCGATACTACAACTTCAACGGCGTCCTGCCTGGTTACGAGACGTCTCGCGGCCCGCGCACAAACAGTATCGACCCAGACAAGGCCGCCTTCTCCACCGCCCCCGTGGACGAGGAGGCCTATGCCCCCGTTGGCATGAACGACCAGGACGACGAGCCCGAGTTCAACGCCTCCCCCTACGGAGGCGGCATGGGCACCAGCTCCACCCGACACGACGCGCATGACATCAACCCCTACACCGCCGACACCTCGTACGGTGGCGCAGCCGCCGTGCACAACCCGCCCTTTGAACACCACGGCGAGTACAACACCCACACCTCGCCCGCACCCCCTGGTGGTCACATGTACGCGCCGCCACCTGCCGCCGCCGACTTCGATGACAGGCCAGTTGCCTTCCCTTCTGCGGACTACAGCCGGGTACAGTAATGCATTCTGCCAGACCTCGTTTGCCAGCACAGCCCGATATCACCGGCCTATATTGATCGGCAGGCTGGCGTGCCGGTAAACGGGGGCTGTTTCAGCGTTTACGCACAGGACGGAGATGTAATGAGGGATCATGTAGTTCAGGGACTAGGAATGGGGACAACTGGATTTTTTTGGGTTTCCAGCCCTCCCCGCCGAATGAGTCGAATTGAAGGATAGACGATGATGGAATGGTCATGACTGGCGCAGGGAAAAGCTGTCTTTTGCTTGTACAACTGACAGGGAAACAGACACCCTGGACAACACATTGTGATGGTGTTGGAGGCGTTCTTGGCTTTTCTGATTGGTGTAACTAATGCTGGTTATGTCATGTCGATACACCGTGGAGAAGGCATTGCAGGACCCGGGCCTCGCCTCGGTCGTGCTGCCGGCACAGGCAAAATGCAGAACATCAGCAAGTTTGCCTACCTGAAAATGACCCTGTATGCGCAACTGTGAATTTGAACCAAGAATGTGTCTCCAGTATGAGACAGCGAGAGTTATCTCATGTACCCTCACGCTCTATGTTGCTGTGCCATATACGAAACCAATAGTAGAGATGATATGATTGCTATTCAAGCTCACCACTCCAATAGACAGCGGCAGTGTGCACTCTACTACTGTCGAAGACATTTTCAAGACAGACCGATTCTTATTCATGCTTCCATCTAAATGCTTTTCTCGCAAATCATCTCAACTCCCTCACATGCGCCAAACGCCATGACTGATTTTGTGACACGCAATTCGCTGCGGTCTCCGTGCAGTCTATAACATGCGACCCACCTGCCTGCTGCACAATTGGCTCTCTCGTGGCCACAGGCCTTTATATCATCCAGCCCGTAGGCAGGTCATCGTTATCCGCCGACTTCGTCGAAGCCTGTTTCCGGGAAACGCGCTTCGGCGTGACGAGAAGGCCTTAGGATCTATGACGGTGGTCGAGCGCATAACGACAGCCCAAGCCCCTCGACCTAGAAGGGCTCACAGTCTCCCAACGCCCATGCCTTGCAAGGTGGTAGGAAACCTCGACTCGTCGTGTAGTGTCCGATTCTCCCAGTTCCCTTCGGTCCACACACGGATTGACAATTCAACCCCGAAGCAAGACATGACTTCCCCTCTCCGATTAGGGAGAGGCGTCAGGAATGCCCATCCTCTCAATTCTGCTGATCCGCCTTGTAAACCCTCAACCTCTTCCGGATGTTGGCCGCGGTCTGCTGCATGGGGTTCAGCTTGAAGTCCCTCGCCATCGCCGCCGTGTCGTCGCCGTGCCGCGCCACCAGCCGCGCCAGCCACTCGCGCTCCTGCTGCGACTGGTGCCGCTTGTGCGCCTCGGTGGGCCGGCTGGCCTCGGCCTCGAGCAGGTCCACCACCTTTGTCGCTCTCGCCCCGCCGGCGGCGCTCTTCGTGGCCTCTGCGCTCTCCTCCGCCTCCTCGTCGTCGGCGTCTCCCTCGTCGTCGGACTCGATGTCGTTCAGCGGGTCGTTGAGCGGGTTGTCCTTGCGCAGGACCCGCACGATCTTGCCGTCCGCGTCGCGCTCCACCTTGACGCTCCGGAACGCGGCGCCGGCGCCGCTAGTCGGCGTCACGGCGAGGGGGTCCTGGGCGCCGCCGTTGGGCGCGGACACCTTTGTCGCCGGGTCGACGCCGCCGGTGGCCTTGCCGAGTTTTGCAGTGAGGCCGAGGCGGCGGTAGTTTTGGGAGAGGGTTTCTTTCTTGTTCCTGTGCGTCTCGCGGGTCAGAACCGGTCCTCGGGCCTGTTTGGAGGGCTCCTGCTCATGGAATCGCCCAGGGTTTTGTGTGGACCTACCAGTTCTTTGCGATGAGGCTGTTGCCGAGGGGGTTGAGTGGCTTCTTGAGCCTGTTTGGTTGCCTCACGGTTGGCCTCGACGACCTGTTCTTGCGTTTTTGAAGATCTCGGCCCATGGTGACGATTGTTTGCAGCTGTGGGGTTCGTCAAAGGATGGAGCACTATCGTAAAGACCGAATTGAATTGTTACTTGACCGTTGAAGATGTCGCTGCAACCTTGGGCGCCCCCGGAAATTTTGAGGGCGATAAGGCTGTCTTATCTTATCTTATCAGCGCACATGAAAGTAACTCTTGGTGGGCTCAGTGAGAGGCTTTACCTTAATAATTGTGTTCCCCTGCTTGAAATTTCCAGGCTGAACTCTTAGTCTCAAATTTACAGTGTGACGTCTAGGATTTGAATTTTCTCACAATTTGACACCGAACCAATTTCCTTATTCTGTTCGAGAGTTGTTGAACACCTCTTGTCATTCTGAGATTCCTCCTGCTATTCATCACACTCAACGCGCGCTTCTCGCAAGAGGTACAGTAGTTGTATCTTTCAAATAGCAGTGTGCCACTGAAGCCGGCAATCTTCGCAGTACATTTGGAACATGATTTTCAGCTCGGCGTCAGCCCTCAAGTCCGAGGGTGTCTCTTGCACTCGCTTTCCAGACTAACTCGACAGGGTGTCCAAACTTTCAATGCAAACCACCACGCCTTCCTCTTACGACAAAGGTGGGCATAGAAAGCTGTAATTCGGCATATAAATCCATCGATTTGAGAATATGTGGCATTTGGAAGTCATAATACCGTCGATACAGCACTTCACTGGACAATAAGAAAATGCTAGGGCCTGGGTTTGGGAGAGTGTGGTTTGACCGGGTAATCATGAACTAGGTGAGCAATTGCTCAAAATGTTTTTGAGAATGGTTATTCGCGTGGGAAACAACGGATGGTATACATATACATTACACGCCTAGTATACTTGTATCCAATGCACCCGCACCTGTGCAACACACCCACTCCCAATACACCCACAACCCACACACCCAAAATCAACACACCCATAACCAGCATGCCTACACCTAGTTCACATGTCCAAGCCTAACTAATACTATTATATAAATTAGGCGAAGGTATATAAATTAAGTGTGGGTTTGGGAATTAGGTATAGGTATTATGCTCTGATTAACTGGGGAATATTATTCAAGAGGCATCTGTCAACCATCCGTTTTTCTTCTGTGCGAATATCCGTTTTCTTAATTTTATAGTGGCATCCTTTGGCAACTTTTATGCCTGCGCTATCTCTTAGTCGATGAATGTGCCCCGTGATGTCAAAAGCAGTCACGAACGATGTTTTGCGTGAAGCCTTTGGAATGGGCTCATCTGAGTCCATAAAGGGTACTCCTGCCAGGCAGGTACTCAAACCATGAATGGAGATGCTACAGCTATTCCCTTACACTATTGGCATAGCTTTAGTGTACAGAAGAGGAGATTACATTGACTCCAAGCAGAGAAACAGGCCTAGGAATCCATAGCCCTCAGTAAATCCTGCAATACACTCCGCCGATACTTAACCTGCGTACTCCCGTGCGTCTCGCCCTCCTTCATATGAAGCTCCACCTTCGTATTGCCACCAGCCTTAAGCCGCTGCGCGGTCTCCTCACCCGCCTTGGGCGAGACATTAGTGTCGTCCGTCCCGCACCACAGTTGTATCGGCAGGTCAGCACGGATATCCTCTACGCGGAACCCCGGCTCCTTGGAAAGAACCCTGCTCTCGTCTAGGAAACCGTCCCAGCCCTGGGCCACAGCCTCCTGTGCGGAGCAGAGGAAGAGTCGCACCATATCAGGGTAGTCGTCGCGCCTCGCCGTCCAAACGTCCGCCGGGTGGGATTTCTTGAGGTCGAAACTCTGTCGCAGGGCTTCCATTTTCTCGTCGTCCGAAAGATGCGGCTGCCAGGCGGGAGACCGGGCGAAGATCCACCTCATCGCCCAGCGGAGATCCAGGTGCTTGTTCAAAAACACCACGGGTGCAGGCCAGGATTGGCTCATGTCCGGGAGGCCCAGCCCCGTCACGATCGCAACGGCGCGGAGGCTCGGCTTCGGGGCGGATGACGGCAGGGAGTGGGCACAGGCTAGGGCATAGGGGCCTCCCCCGGACGTTCCGAGGACGGCATACTCTTGAAGCTGGAGGTGCTTAGCGAGTGCTTCTACATCCTTGGCGTGATCAAGCACTTTCCTCTCCTTGAGTGGTCTCGGATCTGGAGAGCTCAAGCCTATACCTGGGCGCTCGATGGCGATGATCCTTGCTCCGAGTTCCTTGGCATCGGCATCGAGGAGGGCGCTCTCCAGTCTCGAGCCGAGGATGCCGTGCAGGGAGATGATCGGCTTGCCGTTCGGGTGCCCGTACTGTGCGTAACCGATCTTCCTGCCGTCAGGGAGGGTGAGCGCGGCCGAGCCTTCCTTGGCGACGAGGTGAAGGCGGTATTGGTAGTCTTTGGGGGCCGGAGGGAGCAGCTCTGGAGTATAGGTGAGCTTCTTCCAGGCGAATGGTGTGATGAGGAGGGCAGCGCAAGATGTGATGATGACTGGCGTCCGGTAGGATGATGGTAGGCGGTGCCAAGAGTTGCCCAGCACCCGAAATGCGCGCTCTGGGAAAGTGCCGGCCATACTCAGAAGTTTGATCCGCGATCTACAGCGGAGGACTTGAAGTTGGTGGTGGGGTCATATGCAGATTCGACTGCGTCGCCGCCATAGGATGGAATTGCTATTAAATACAAGATGAAGGTAAGCATGAGGCTGAGGGTGCTTTTGATCGGGCTGGCCTCATGTGTCTCTCAGTGCCGTTGATATTGTAAGCTGACGGGAGTCCTAATACGGCGTAATTCCTTCCGACTCATCTAGCGCGATCCTGCTTTGCTTTATTCATGCCTGAGCGGTTATAGCCCTTTTCATCTTCATGGACGTATATCAAGTTGCTGCTTTATTTGTCATCGATGAAAACTTCACGGGGCCGATTCAGGTCACAAAATCTCTTGCCACAAGGGTTTCTCACGTCATGCAACGCCGACCAATCGGCCGCTATTCTGAAATCTATTGTTTGCCGATGGTATAATTATGAGTGATTCTGATCCAAGTGTGAATCAGAAGACACTAGCAGGTGACGCTCCTGGCTTCGTCGGGTTGTTCGGAGTGGCGGTCCATGCTGAGAAGATCATACAGTACAGCACAGGCAACAAATCGACTACGCAGTCACATCATGATCTCTTGACTACATACAAAGCTGTGTCTTTCTTGCGCGCGTAATTACTAGCTGATCCGTCTGCATGAATTGAGATCCGTTGTAAAGTGACCTTGTCATACAATGGCCCTTTCTCGTGACTGATGCGCGCTTTGGGGTAAAACAACACTGCCTATCTTTCCCATAGTTGACTGCTCACAAACATGGACTAAGCGTAATTGATTTCCCCAATACTATTACGTGATGTATAGAGTATTCCTTTCCGATCGACTGATTTCCTTTAAGAAGAGCTGCTTGACGAAATGTTCCAAAATTAGCTAGTACTTACGGACCCGTGGCTGTCCCACTCCATCAATGCCACTTTTTTTTTCAAGAAAAAGTTATGGCTTCATCACGATCATAATTTCGAGGAACCTGATCTTTATTGGTGACCCCATTGGTATTACTCGTAAGCTCTTCGCCCTACCCATGCTATTAAGAACCGAAAGTTATGAAGCAGTCACCATAGGCTGCCTGACATCCTTGACCAGTGCCGCAGTTTGCAGCAGTTGTACCGCAAAATCCGGCTGCAGAACAACAATTTCCAAAGCCGACTGGCCCCTTACAGGTCTTTCCGTTCTTACCGCACACACCGTCAGTTGATATGCCTCCAGAACCAGTGTTGCAATTACCAAAAAACGGTCTGGCAACCTGCGCCGCAGTGGGTAGTAGTGGCACCGCAGAAACCGCTGGGTGAACAACACTCTCCAAAGCTGGAGCCTTTGCAGGTTCTCCCATCCTTCCCACAAGAACCATCAGTCGACACGATTCCTGCTCCAGCGTTGCAAGTACCAAAGCCTGCTTGGCATCCAGCTCCACAGTGCGTCGAGGATGCACCGCAGTAGCCGCTCGACGAACAGCAGTCCCCAAACCCGGATCCTTTGCAAGACTTGCCGTTCTTGCCGCAAGTGCCGTCCGTCGACACCCCCGCTGCTCCGGCGTCACAGGTGCCGAAGCCAGACTGGCAGCCCGCCACACAATGGCCGTCTGTGCCGCCACAATAACCACTTGATGAGCAGCAGTCGCCGAACCCTGAACCGACACAGGTCTTGCCGTTGGAGCCGCACGTTCCGTCTGGCGAGATGTTGCTCGGAGCGGAGCATGTACCGAAGGGGCTCTGACACCCGGCGTCCGCTGCGCAGTGAGCCGTTGTGTCGCCGCACCATCCACCAGATGAGCAACATGCGCCAAAGGTTGAACCAGTGCATTTGAACTGGTTCTTGCCGCCACAGGACCCGTCTACGGATGGAGAACCGGGACCTGGAGGAGCTGGCGCGGTGGCATTGCAGTTACCGAAGGCGGGTTGGCTATCAGAATGTGGTCCAATTAGCGACGAGTAGAGACAATGGTCAGGTTTTGAGAGTAATTCGAAAATGGAGTAAGAGATCCAGCCTAAGTTGCAGGACACAATCTTCAACACGTTCCGGCCTCTCAAGGATATAGATGACACGATCTCGTGCGAGTTCATGATGGGTGGCCCGTCTCCAACAGAGCTCAGGCCCACAATCTTCTTGGTCTGCTGCCACAAACTCTATCGGAAGCAGCTCAGGAAAATCTTGAAGAAGCAGAAACGGATGACAGCATACGAATATCAGTTTGTTGTACTCGTGGATCCCGTCGAGAATCTCTCTCCTAACGGTTTAGGAGACATACATGAGACCAGTCAGATTCTCGTCGAAGCCTTTGTGCCGAGCGGCAAGACATCCTGGTGTGGTTTGAAAGCACGAGCACAGTCTCTGGCACACCAGGAGCCCATCAATTTCACAATCGGGGGCATCCTGTTTATTGACGGGGACGCCTTCGGCCTCACAGTCAAGCTCGGAATTGAAACTCTCGTCCCTGTTGATGACGCCAGCAATGACGCCGACGACGACGACGATGATGATTCTGCGGTAGAAGATTCATGTTCACCGTTCATCACCTTCCAAGACTCGAGGAGTATTCAGACGCAAGATCATGTGGAGACTGAGAGACGTGCTCCTGTCTTTGGGTCGAGAACGACGGCCCCGCAGAGTTGCACAAGTCTAGTCCACAACATCGCACCAAAAAGGATACAGTGCGGGAGTGAATGGCGCCATTTTGGTCAACCTCATGCTCCCAACGTCGTGGGATCGAAGATCAGCTGTGGCAGACTTGATTGGAGTCTTGTGAAATTCGAGCCACGATGTGAGGTTTCGCACTCCTCACTCGTCAATACGCTAGTGACGCCGATTAATGACCATCTCGAGACAACATGCTTCTTGAATAGGTCTGCCATGACCGGCGGAGAAGTTTGGACCAACGCTGGATTGGCTGGCCCGGTCAAGGGCTGGCTTGTGGATTGTCCAGCTTTACTCCACCGACATGGGAAGTCTTTTGAGGTGTTACAAGTTGTTGGAAGGTGCGAGGGTCGTATGCCCATACGCTAGCGCTAGCCTACAAATAGGCTCCTTCTAAGCGTTTAATAGCGAGGAGATTTCTCTTCTTAACAACAACAATCAACTATTATTTGCTTAATTGCTTTATTAAGTTATAAGCCTAGCATTGCTTAAAATATCTTAAAACATTAAGAAATATTAATACCCTTATTTCTATAATTATTTTTATACTTAAATCATTAAAATTTTAATATTACTAGCCTTTACCTATATATTATCATTATACCTTATAATAACTATTATAATTAATAATAACTTATAATAATTTAATATTTTTACCCTATTTAATATTTTAATTATTTACTTCTTTTTTATTTATTTATTTATATTAATTAATATTAATTATTATAAATAAATAAATATATAAATATTATTTAAAATATACTTAAAGATATATAAACTTTATTTAAAAAATATTAAATATACTTAACTTTAAGCTTAATTTATTATTTTTCTTAAAGTTAAACTTAAAAGGGGAGAACTTTTTAAACTAAAAGGCAATATAAAGTCACGGCTTTTAATTTATTAACTTTAATAAATATATTATAAGCATTAAGAAATAATTAAAATAAGATACAGCCCTTATAAAATAAGAAAAGCTTAATAATTAAGCCTTTATTATGCTTTTAAACTTAATATATTTAAGCCTTATAATATTTATTATATTATATAGAAAATTTTTTAATGCTTAAAAAATATTAATTAATTAATTTAATTATAATATCGGTAATTTAATTATTTACCTTTTTTATTAATTAATAAACTTATAATATAAGAATAGCTTTAACTTATAAGGCTATTTAAATACCTTTTAAAACCTTTAAATAAAACTTTATATTAAAATCTTAATATTAAAATAATTAATTAAAAGGTTAATAAAGTTACTTTTTAAAAGCAATAAGATTAAAGGCTCCTTTTTTTTAATAATGCTGCTAAATATTATAAATAATATTATTAATAACTTAAGCAGCCAAAACCTTATAACGTTTTTTAAAATTAAATCTAAAATAATAAATATTATTTCCTATATAAAGGTTAAACAATTTAAAGCTTACTTTACCTTTACTTAAAAAAGGTTAGTACTAAAGGGTATAAAAAAGGCTGCAAAGTTTATATTAATAAATGCTAACTTTATATTAAGTAATAAAGAATGCACTTAATGCTATGCATAAAACTTTATATTTATTAGCTATTTATATACTAATTATATAAAGCTTATTAAATATAAAGCTAATTAAAAATAAAAAAAGGGCAAGAAATAAATTATTATAAATTAAGCTATAAATAAAGAAGTTATTAAAATTTCTAATAATAATAAAAAAGATATAATAATATTATATATTAATGTTTTAATATATATAGCAAAGCTGCTAATAATTATAAGTATTTTAATATTATAAATTTTTAATTTTAATGCTTTAAAGTATATAATAAAATATATAAAAAACTTTAGCTCTTTATAATTATATTTAAATATAATTATTATTATAAGCAATAATTAACTTATTATAAAAGGCATTAGCTTTATGGAAATCTTTTTGCAATTATTAAATAAATTAATTATTAAAAATATCTTTATTAATATTTTATATAATTATGCATTAAGAAATACTTATTTATTTAGCTAAATTATAGTTTAAAAAAGGTTTTAATTAAATGCATAAGGAAATAATATCTTCTTATTATTAAAAAATAATAAATTTTATAAAATATTATAAGCAAAGTTTTAATATAAAAATTTTAAAATTTAAATAATAAAAAATAACTTTATAATATTTATAATATATAGCGAATTTTATAAAGCTTTTAGCTATAGTAATTTATTAAAATTAATTGCTTAATGCTTATATAAAGATAAAGACGTTATATTAAATAAATTAATAGATTTTTATTGTAAATTATATTAATTTGCAAAGTTTATTAAGAAATACTTATATTTATTATTAAAATAATAATTTATATAGTTATTTAAGTATATTTAATTTAATTTATTAAGTAAATTCTTAATAAAATTATTAAAAGATTCTTAATACTTTATTTTATTTATTAATAATTATACTTAATTTTATTAAGTTTACTTTATTACTTAAAAGGATAATATCTTAAATATTATTAAGAAGTTCTTAAATTTAATTAAAACTTAATTTAATATAAAAGTTAAGATATTTAATTTAAATAATAAGGGTAAATATATAAATAAAATAATTATTATAATATTTTAAAGATATGGAATTATTTATAAGAAATTATTTTCTTATTATTATAAATTAAATAGCATATTTAAAAAGTTTATGCATATTATTATTATTAATGCTTATATAATAATTTATAATAAAAACTATTTATTTTTATAGCTTAAAGCAATTTCCTATATAATATACTTATGGAATTAAAAACTATACTTAGCCTTATTATATTAAATAATGCCATTTAAGGTACTTTATAAATAAAAGCTTAATATTAAATATTTCCAACTATACTTTCACCTTATATACCTTTATATCCTTATTAAGGCTTATAAATTAAAAATAAAATTATTAAATAAAGCTAAAAAGGTATACTTTATAGAATTTAAGGCTAAAAGCAAAACTATCTTTTATTTATTTATATTACTTTAAAAAGTTATTATAACTGCAATATTAAGCTATATTACTTAGTTTAATTTAGCAATAAAGATTATATAAATAATTAGCTAGCTAAATAAAAATATATTACTTAAGATAAAGGTATTACTAATATCTTAGTTAATAAAACTTATTAATAATATAAAACTTATAAATAAACTTATAAATAAATTGCTTAAACTTATAAAACTTATTAATAAACTACTTAAACTTATAAAATTTATATAATTATATAGTTCTTAAGAATAATAAATTTAATCTTTGCAAAAAGCAAAAAAAAATATAAATATTATTATAAAATATTTTAAAGATTTTAATAACTTAATATTAATTAATGCAAACCTTATATTAAATGCTGCTTAATTAGCATTAATTAATATTAATTACCTTAATTAAATCTTTACTTATATATTACTTATTAATATAGCAAATATTAATAATATCCTTAATATATATGTATAAGCTATAAAAAGCAATAAAAAGGATGCTTAGCAATAAGTTATTAAAAGAAAACTTAAATTACTTTTAAATATAAGTATATAAATTAAAATACTTATTATTATAAATTAATATATTATTAATTCTTATTAAATATATATAAAGAAGTTTAATGCTTTTAATAAGCTTATTTACTATAAAGCTTAACTTATTGCTTATAAATATATATAAATTTATGGTATGAATTATAATAATACTTATAGCCCTATAACGCGCTATAATAATCTAAGATTAATTATTATTATTGCTGCTATAATAAGCTAATAGCTTTAGCAATTTAACATTAAAATAATATATTTATATAGCCATTTAAAATACAATATTTATATATAATTACTATAAAAATATTAAATATTATTTAATAATTAGCAAGTTATTTTAAAACTTCTTAATGCCTTATATAAGCTTAAATAATTAAGCTATAAATAATTTAATACTTTTAAAAAGAAATTAATTAAATATTTAATAAAAATAATATTTAATTCTTATATTTTTATTAAAGATTAAATTATTATTACTATTTATATTAATAATATTCTTATTATTAAGAGTTTCTTTTAAGTTAATAAATTTCACATTAAGTTTATATAATATTTTAAGTATAAGAATCTTGGTTTTTATAAATACTTATTTAAATTAAAAATTATATAAATTAATAATAAGATTTATATTTCTTAAAAGAAATATGCTTAATAAATTTTAAAACGCTTTAATATATTTAATTATAATTAAAAATAAACTCTTATAAATTTAAATTTATTTTTATAATAAAAGGAACTTAATAATATTATAATAAACGTAATAATATATTAATTACTTATTAAATTTATTAATTTTTTTATTATTAAAATAAAACTTAATTTTGCATTTTTATATGCAATGCTCTTAATATTTAATGCAAAGCTTATAATTTATTATTTAAATATTGCAAAGGAAATGCTTTAATATATTTAGCATATATTAAATTATGCCTTATAATTTTTAAAATAAATATTATTATTTTAATTTGCTATACTTAATATATATATTAACGCTTCTTATAATATTAATTTAAATAATTTAAAAGCATTTAGTAAATATATGCAATTACTTAATAATGGCTTAATTACTTAGTTATTAAAGCATTAATTTATTATTATAAAATCCACTTGCAAGGCAAAATATATAGCATATTTATTAGCATTATTATATCTTTATTAAATAATTTAAGCATTATAAGATTTAAATATTAACTATATTAAATATTTACCTATTTTATATATTAATAATTAGCTAGCATTAAACCTTATTTAAAATTATAAAGTTAATGCTTAATTAAAATATATTACTATTTATTATTACTTTATTTATAAAAGAATTAGGGAAATATATAATATTTATTATATTGCATTTAAAGATAATCTTGCTAATATTTACATAAAAGCATTGCCTTGCCCTACCCTTAAAAAGGCTTATATAAGATTAAGACTAAGATAAGTACGGGGTTTATATTGCCAAAAGGGCATTTAAATAGTTAATTGGAAATGATGCAAGCAGAATATATAAACGTTAAACAATGTTTATACAGTGGTCTTGGTACAAATTACAGCGGAACATTTAGACTGTATTTTTAGCTATCGGAACGGAACATTTCTTATTATTTTTAGCTATCGGAACGGAATATCTCTTATTATCGTTAGAACGATGATACTCGCGATGGGGGGTGTGTTAGAAGGTGCAAGGGTCGTATGCCCATACGCTAGCGCTAGCCTATAAATAGGCTCCTTCTGAGCGTTCAATAGCGGGGAGATTTCTCTCCTCAACAACAACAATCAACTATCATTTGCTTAATTGCTTCATCACAAGTCATACCAGACCAGCCACTGGTTGCGTGGACCTCATGTGAACTGAGACATTATTCGAACTGTGCTGACTTCTTCTCTTCTTAAGCACCAGGAGACTCAGGGTCCTGGGTTTTGATAGCTAATGTCCTCTGCGGCCACATTCTGGCCGCTCGAAAATCAGTTCCTTGGCTCTATGTCCTACCAATCTCTGAAATCCTTGAGGAGGTCAAGGATATCATGAGCTGCCGAGACATAACACTTCCTCAGCATCATACCCACTTTGATCTATCTGCTTTGACCAACAGCAGCGTTGACTCTTGTTCTAACGATTCCAACGTCGCGTCTGTCAGTACAAGAGCAAGTACAAAATGTGGCGTCCATTCCCAGCCTGGAGCACCAGAGGTCATCGATCACGATCTAAGCCCCGCAAGGTCTGCAAAACCCATTGGGGGCCCCAAAGTGAAGGGCATAATCAGTGCCTGCTTGGGCAGCCTGCATCAGTACAGAGCTGGTTCTTCGCGTTTGGATTATACGGCTTTTGAAAAGTACTGCCTATCCAGTCTCACAAGTATCGAGAAAGCCACATACAGGTCTGCCCAAAATGCGAGTCATCTTAACGCAGACGTGTTCGACACCTTGCAGATGATCAAGACCGGCCTGCATCGAGACGAGCTGGTGGACACGTTAGAACAAAGGGCGGGTCCAGGATCAATAAATTGTCGATTAGTCCAAGAACGCGTCGATAGAGTAGCCAGCCTGCTTGTCATGACCGGGATTGGCAACTTCACCCAAAATGGCTGGAGTGCGCGGATATCATGGAGAAGTGGAACTTTGCAACAACTCATCAACAGCCATTTCTCACGTGAAAGAACCCTGACTGACACGAGCATCCGCCTAGAACAGATCTTCACGGCGAAGAGTCTTGTTCAGATTGCCGGACTACGCATCATTTGGACAGCCAATCTGTCCGACCATCTTGTGGTGGACAGGAAGCAGAACAGATTGTACATTTTTCACCATGCTACATATCTGGAATGCCAGCGAAAAAGGTGTGAACAAATCCCTTTCGTGCACGAAAAGCATTGAACCCACAAACTTTACGGGGCCGAAACTGACGTATCATAATCAAGTCTCGAGTCTCTACTTCCCGATGGCCTAGCAGACGAAACCCTTACTACGTTGGCTCTTCTATTCCCTTCCTCGCACAGCAGCAAAGGCTTATCCGGTAGCGCAGTACCATCCTGGCTTCGAAAACGCGTTGTTTTGGGTCCGGAACACGACAGATTTCTTTACGCAATCCGCACGAGCCCTCTCGAGCCACACGAGAGGGATATCCGCAACTTCCACTATTGGCACGATCGCATCGTCATTCTGAAACAGGCATTCGGCGAGGCACCATCCACGCACACCCCCGCCCAGCTCTGGTATGACCGCCGTGATTCAAGACAGTGGTACACCTTCTGGGCCGTCACTCTCTTCGGGATGCTTGCCCTGTGGGTCAGTGTTGCACAGCTTTTGTTCGCTGCCCCCCAATATCGGAATTCCGCTCGCATCTTATACATAATTGTTGACCATGACCCTTCCACCGATCCTCCTCTTGCGCGTTCAATGTCAGAAGAAGAAGAGGAAAGTGATCATAAACTTAGTCCAGGAGCAATTGCTGGAGTTACCCTAGGCGGACTTGCAGTCATCATGGTGCTTGCAACACTTTCAGCGTGGTTACTGTTGCGGCGCAGGTCACAGTCAACAAGAGCGATGGTGAAAACCAAAGAAGTCCAACAGCCTTCTTTAAGTCATAACCGGCTGTCTGTGGGATTTTCAACTATTTCGCTTGCGGATATAGTCAGGGTGTAATGTAATTTCTGATCTGTGCTGCCGTTGGACGGGTAACACGATCATGGGCCTGGCTGTCCTTTGTTCCAAACAAAACAGAGTTACCATCAACAAACGAGGGCCATCACTCTTATATCTGTTGATTATTAATTTCCCATGAAACCACTTATTTCCAAATTACTGGATCCCGGGTTGATATATTTACGAGACAGGAGAGCACAAAACGAACAAGGCTCCTCCCTCGAGGTTCAAATGTCAATCATTTTCTTTCACTAAAATGTTCTCTCAAGCGGAACAAGACCAGACCTGCTCTTTCCCTGTATTCAGTCAGTGCATAGCGATCCGGCTTAGTATGTACCACGGTCGGTGAGAAAAAAGTAACCAAACTATCCTCTGTACGGCAACTTGAATCTTTTTCTATCTAGCTGCTCTATCAAGTAGCTCGTGCATATTGATGATTTTCACTTGTTGATACTCAGAGCGTTATGTTTCATCACCTTAAATCGAAGATTGAATCACTTGCGCGACTTGGCCGTTGGCGTGTTTGCCCGACTCTGGGAGAACCTCCAGAAATTCTGGCGACGATACTCTCTCTCATCTGGACGTGCGGAATTTAACAGTACGTGGAAACATGTGCTCTGTCGGCACACTCCGCAGGATCCATGCGTAATTTTGAGTTTCGGGCTGGAAAAGGCGTAAATTTTGGAGCCGGAACCCGCCGCAATCCGCAGCGGAGCACGACAGGTGTATTATTGCCCACATTCTTACGTGCCTCGGTATTTTTGAACCCAGCGTACTTTACCTTGGCCAGACCACAGAAAAGGTCCAGCCTTGGACCAAATTGTCTCCGCTATTTTCTCAAAACTGCCATCTTGACCATCCTCTCAAACACTCGTTCTCAAGACGCAAAAGACTTGTTGTCATCATACCTTCTCCTCCAACGAATCCTTGAGGAATCCGCACGGGGATGCAAAAAAGCAAGGAAGACCCTCACCGAGAAAAGCCATGGTGCTAGTTCGTTAGCCCCGTGGGCTGCCGGGCATGGTGAGGCACAGAGAAGCGGAGGTGAAAGGGCCCCGCGGGTCGCCTTTCACGCCTTGGCGCGCCCCGGAGGTGATGCCCAAATCCGCCCTAGGGTGCGCGGGCCAACACCCCTGACCAACGCGGGCAGCCAGCCGAGCGCGCGGCGCTTGCAGCAGCGGAGGTCAAGCGAGGAACGAAAACGAGCAAACAAACGACAACGCCCTGTTCGTTCCCAACTCTGATTGCTTGCAGCGGGAACTGTTGGAACCAGATCCATGGTTCTTCTTCTTCTTCTTCTTCTTCTTCCTCTTCTTCCTCCTACTCCTTGCCCCCCTTCCTCTCCCGTTCCCTGGAGGGGGTTCGAAGCTGGGTACCTGGGAGTACATCGCCTGGACCATGTCGTCCTTGATCCCCCATACCCCCCGCCCATGTCGCCCATGGCCCCGTCATTAGACATTAGACCCAGGCTCTCTCGGTCGGCATGGTCCGCTGGGGGGTTGATCCATCTTGCCATGCCTGTCATCGCGGACTGGGCTATGACAAGCTCCGATCTGTTGACACCTGCCACCAGCCACCGTCACCCCGGCCAAACAGGCTAACTAATAAACTTGTTGTTAGCAAGACAGACTTGTGAAGCTTCTTGTTGTCTGTCCCCTGCAGGATGCGGTCAGCTCGCAGTCTCTGTGGGCGGCGGCTGGTGGTGCGGGCCCCTCCCCCAACCTCACAGGATTCTGGTCCTCAGATTCCTCTCTCCGAGACGGAGGCAGTGTGAGGCATCCAGAGGCACCCAGAGGCCAGAACGACGCAGTATGTTCCAGGCAGCAAGCCCTGTCCGACTTCCGTCTGTTGTTCTAGGTCGGCCGGTTCTCAAAGTCGGTCGAGTCTGGGCCACAGAACGAGAGGTGTGGGTAGTTCCATGTCACATGCGCCTGTGAGACCTCGCCAGCCCGGGCAGCGGCCAGGGGGTCGAGGGGCCCCCGAGGTTGCTAGGTCTCACGAGATCAGCAGGAACAGAGGCCAGGTGGAAGGTTGGAAGGCCTGGTGCGACTCTGTTTGTCAACGGTGATGGTGAGCCCTGCTTTCCCTTCTCTCTTTCCCTTCTCTCTTTCCCTTCTCTCTTTCCCCTCTTTGCATGATAGCGCGCGTTTCTGTGTGTGTCTGTGTGCGCATTGGGCACTCAAGTAAAGTGCGTCTTGCAAGTCTGGTTCCGTGTATGTGTGTGTGTGTGTGCTCGAGGCTCTGGCTTGAAGCCATCATCACCAGGCATGCCCCCCGCTTGCGTCTTCGCGCTTGCTCCCTGGCCCTATCTTCTTTTTGGTTTCTAGCGCCAAATGCCGGTGCTTCTAGCCAGCTTCTCTTGCAGCTCGGGCCTAGGCTGGGTCCAGGGCCAGCCACCACCACCACCCAGGTTGTTGACAGCAGCAGCAATAATAAGAAGGGCGCTAAGTTAGGTTGGGAGGAGGGAGGGGGGCATCGTTAGGGTTGTTTTCCCGCGGACGGCGTCAATGAAATGAACTAGACTACTGCGCTGGGAAATCACACACACACCTTCTGTCTTGGCTGGCATCACCCAGCGGCGCTAGAAGCACGATGGAACCATGGGAGAAGCCACACCAGCGCGGTCACGGGCTGGCGACCTTTCCGGTGTAGGAAGGCAGTTCTGGAACGGGGCCTGTCTGATGTCGTGTTCCCGCGTTATGCTGGGGCGCGGCTTCTAGAAGGCATCGAGGCCCTGTGGGGTGAGCAGGGTGGGGTGGTGGTGATGGTGGCGCCCTGGCTTGTGTGTTGTGGTGTGCTGTGTGTCTCGCGCCGGTGAGGTGACGACGGCACCAGAGCCGGCATACGGCAAGTGAGACGGGTTGCAGTGTACCGCTGGGTCACGCGTCGACCCAATCAGCACGGCCGTCGACGAGTGCCTGCGCCGGAGACTCTGAGAAGTGGCTTGCCCAGCAGGAGATGGAAGCCCCTTCCCGCCCTTCCAGAAGCAAGCCAGGCTGCAGTCGTGGTTGGGACGAGGGCGCGGGGTGGGGGAGATAAGGCGAGAGGTGGGTGACATTGCTGCTGGCACTGCTCTGCCTCCCGTGTGGCTGGCTGGCTGGCTGGCTGGCTGGCTGCCCGGCTCGGACTTGCAGCAGCACCACCAGAGGCGTGGGCTGGCTTGTGCTGGCCACCTGGGCCCTTCCTTCTCTGCATCGGCTCTGCATTTCTCTCTGTGTGAGGAGGATGGCTGCCCTTTAATGAAGGCTAAGGCGAGTGGGTGGGGCGGGAATCGACGGGTTAACCATCACGATTAGAATTGTCGTACGGCATCGTGGGCACGAAACCCGCGCCGGTTGACAAACGGCCAAGCCTATCCTGCACCTGTGCATGGTCCCCCCACAGGACAGAAGCAGACAAGCTTGGTTCTCTGGCCCCGTAGAGCACTACTTGGTCACCGTCGAGTTCCATAACTAGACTCTGGACACGTTGGTCCGTCCAGCCGGCGCGTCGCAGAGACTCACATTACACGGTTGCAGCAACAGTTCTCCCAGTCAACAATATCCACAGTCAACAATATCCACAATCAACAAAGGCATCCAGGTCCGGCATGACCCGGGGCATGATTAACCGTCCGGATCTACAGGGCAGAAACAACCAGGGGTTCTGCCGCGGTGGTGGAATTGAGAAGGGGTGGGTTGCACTGTCGGAGATACTCGCCAGTATGGTGATGGGGTAGGGTAGCTATGGGCCCTTTCCGAGCGTCTTGCTGTAAGTGTGCTGCCGCCTGCTGTTGCACCGCCCCGTTCGAGTATCAGCCATTACGGGCTACACTACATTCTTGCACCCCCTCCCTGCCGCATCCCTTTGATAATCTCCCTGGCAAAAGGCAAAGACCCGCTTCCAGAGGCCCGCCTAATGGGGATACATCGCCTCTCGGCGGAGGTGATGAGAGGAAATGGCGTATTTTCCGGCCCGGGTAGGGCGGACAGGCAGGCCTGCCAGGCCTGACATGACTGACATGCACACACATTGGGAATGCAGCACGTCAGGCATAATTCTTTTTGACATGTTACAGGGTGTGTCAACCTGGCGCCCCACTTTATAAGCGTAACCCATGCGGATTATATGTGATATTAAGCAGCCTGCGTGCCAAATACGATAATTTCTGGAGGGTTCGGACGAGGGCAAAACAGGACTGGGATGGAGAAGCTTCCTGCTGCGAGGGCTTGGCGTGACCATCAGAGGTGCAATGCATGCGGCACCAAGTAGTCCTGTGAGGAGGATAGACAGGGTTCTGCCACCGAGTTCCCCAGCCTCTGTGTGTGTGTGTGTGTGTGTGTGTGTGTGTGTGTTGATACAGGTAGGGTTCACGCCCTGGTCCAGGGATGACGATGTGTTTGCAGACACACGCCTCAGGGGACGGAGGTGCGAGACAGGGCGGCGATGATGGCATCCGAAGCCACGAGACAATGCTGTTGCGATCTAGACCGCGCCTCGCGCGAGACGGGGCACACTTCAGAGGACCAAGTACGGAGCGTACGGAGCAATTACTCAACAGTTTGGGCTGAGCTATGAGATGGTACAGGAATCTCGATTGTCTCCATCGTGTCTCGATTCGGGGTGGTAGATGTACGTGAAAGGCCCAACAAACTGAGGCCACCTCTTCCAGTACACCGGTGCTCGCGTGCTATGAACAACCCAGCTAGCTAATCATACAAGTGCGTAACGTAAATACGTGAGAGCCATGTGTCTCATTCGTCGTCGTGATAACCGGGACGCTGCAGCGTCCCTTTTCCTCTTTGGCTCCTGGCCGCATAGGCCCCCATTTCCGTGCCTACCCAAAGTGCCTAAACCACCCATGTTGTCTGCAGTAGCGTGTATTCCCCATCAAGGCCAACACAATTCGGTGTAAACAGGGCTTAGAACATGATCCACTCAACCTCGACCCCTGGGCCACCGATGCATCGCGTCCAGCTGAACGGGCCTCTCCTCATCATGAGCTTGCCGTTCTGCTGCTGCTCCCTGCCCTCGCCCGCCCAGATCCTCTCCAGCACGTCCAAAGCTGCGAGATTGTTCATGTAGCCCGACCGGGCCATTATCTCGCGGCACTTGGAGCGCACGATGCCCTGCTGCATCTCGTTGACGCACTCGGACCCGGCCACGAATAGGGGCCATAGGAGAAACTTCTCGGCAGAGGACCCGGCCTCAAGTGAGGTGGCGTAGTATACCACCTGGCTGACCAGGTTGCGGAAGTTGTTGTGTGCGCTGGGCACGCTCGGGCTCGCCAGGCGCTCCGTGTAGAGCAGTGCTGCGTAGCGGAATGCCTCAGACAGGGAGCCCAAGTCACGGACCTGTGCGTGCGTTGCTGTGAGACCGGCCGGTTGTGAAGCAAGAACCCCTTGTGCGTCGAACTCCCATGACTGCAGGGCGATTCGCGCGTCCTTCCATTCGCGCCAGAATGTTGACCGGTGGTCATCGTAGGCCGCCGAGGATGAAAGGCTAGATACCAAGATTTGGTCTTCGTCCAGCGTCGTGCTGAAGCCATTACCGTCAAATCGGGGGTGAGACTTCCCAAGAATGTCCGAGCTAAACTGGTGCTGAGGCTTGTATATGTGACCAATGGGCGATTCAAGAGGTGAGTCGGGACGCGATGGCAAGCCACGCGCGGCAGTAGCGCTGAAAAGACTCTGGACCTCGCGGTGCTGAGAAAGAAGGTTCAGTCTTCCAAGCTTGATAATTGTCTTGAAGAGCTCGGTCGCAGCCCACGAAGTTCTCCGCACCCGGTGGGAGTAGCTGTGCGTCTGGCATAACGCCGTAGAAAGAGGTATTGAGCTGGGCCTCTCGGTCATTGATGCTGGCTGAGATGGCGTCGAAGTAAGTGAAGAGGGCTTCCATCCATGCCGAATCCCGTGATGGAGGGAAAGGGCAAGACCGTCTCATGCCCAGGATTTTTTTCACTCCGGCGAACTGAGTATGGAATTTCGCAATACCGGATTCTGCCATGCGGTAATGACACAGCATTAAGATCGTGGCCAGGACGGCATCGCCCCTTGCTTTCGTCGCATCATTAAGCTGCTCATTAAGTAGATGTACAGCCAGATTTCGGTGCTGATATTCCTCTGACAACGTCCGTTCATCGGGTTCGAAGATCCGGAACAGGACCGGGTAAGCTCTGACGCTTCCCATCCTGTCCATGAGCAAGGCTCAGCTTCCTCTTCATCCGTAGATTGCAAGCGGCAAGCGCACAGATGGCGTGCTGTAGGCTTCGACTGGAAGTGGCAAGCGAAAGAATGTGTTCCCGGAAGGGGTTCGAAGGTCCATCAATGAACACCATGCCCGGGCACATGGTGTTTTCATAATAGTCCATAAAAAATGGCATTTTGGCGATAAGATCAGGGCTCACTGGGAGAATTGGCTGATCGAGCACTGACGGCCAGGGGAGTGAAGGATCCTGGACAACCTGAGAGGACGCACCATCCTCCTCTGACGACTTCCCCCAGAAATGCCTATCCGATTGAGCGCTGGTGCTGTACGCATCCAACCCAGGGGTTGCTGAAAACGTGGGCATTAGTCCCGCTGAGTTTAGAAGGCGAATTGTGACGCGAATAATATCTCACCAAGTGGTTCGTACTCCATCAGACGATTGCTTATATGAGCCTCAAAACCATCCATGTGCGAGTGGAGGCTTGAACTTGGCTCGGATGGAGCATACACAAGGCTAGGACATGATGTAGGCGCCCGATGATGCTGGTGATCCATCATCACAGACGATATTGGGCTCTGGGGGATAGGCGAGTTGGCGCTGTTGTAGCTCTCGGCGTACATGTGCGGCGGGCTGGTGACGAAAGGCAGATCGTCCCTGGAAAAAGTGTGACTGAGGGGCGACAAGTAGTCGGCCTCGCTCAAGGAATCAATCGAGGCAGAGAGCGGTTCAGGAGGACCATGTGTCAAAATGGGACCCAACTTGGGAAATCGGGGTCCGTCTCTAGGCAGGCTTGCCGAGAATGGCATGTTGTGCCAATGGGCAGGACCTGCTGGTAAAGGCGGCGTTGGCTCGGCGTGACAGATCTTGGAGAAATCGTAGCTGTGAAATGGTGTTGCAGGCATGGAAGCCGGATAACGGGGGTCCACCGGGCCATCGACAAGATCGCTTCGGGTACTTCGTGGTGACAGCTCCTCTGGCTCGTTCCAGTGGCCAGCATTTGCGGCGAGGCCGTGTTCTTGCCCGTTCATCAAAGTCGAATTTGCGCGAGCCCGCGAGGGTGAACCCTTCTTGACTGGGTTGACAGGAGGCGACTTGGCCACTGGCAGCGAGAGCCCGCGAAGCTTCCCCCGGCTCGCCACGCCCACTCCCCAGGTCAATTGAGTCTTGTAACCGGAGCACTCGTTGCCCACTTCCAAGCACTGCGAGCAGTACGGCCTCCTCCGGTCGCACTTGACGCTCCTCTTGGTACAGGTGAAGCAGTCATCGGCGGCACCACCAGCAGGAGCACGTCTTCTTCGTTTCCGCACCGCGGCGGCATCGGCCTTGGGGTTCGACGGAGTAGGTAGAGGGACAGTCATGATTCAAAAGTCCTCAAACAATACAGAATGATATAGAGACGGTGAAGCGCTACACGTTGCCAGGACTTCCTTTTTCTTGGGAGTCTGAAAGAAGTGCAGATGCGGCTGAGATGAGAATGGGGAAGTGGTCGATGTCACCGGTAGATGTTGACTGGTAAGGGTAAATGGATAGTAATATGGAAAAGCTTGCCACAGCAGACTTGTGCTGGAATAGGGAAGGACGAGGATATAACGAGGTCAGTCAAAGGGTGGTGAAGCAGTAGATGGAGGTCCCACGGCCGGTAATAAGGCGTCTCGACCGTGGAGAGGGCCCCGTCTGGTGTACATCAACCGCATCCATTGTGGACCACATCCCAGAGGGTTACTTGGAGGTACAACATGGGTCACTTATCAAGCAGGGGTTCATCTGTGAGTGTAGCCGGGAGGCGAAAAGGCTAAGAGATCAAAGGTGTGTGTGTGGGTTCCAAGGTTTGCGGGACACCTGAGATGATGGGGGGCTGGCCAGGAGCCCCGGCTGCCTTCTCGCACTTGCGACTGGACAGTGAAGGATGGTAAAGCGACGGAGGGCTACCTCACCGGGGGATGTGCTTGCATACGGCTCGTCTCCATGTCCTGGTGCAAAGACACAGAGCAAGATCACGTCCCGTCAGCAGGTGACCGCAGGAAAGCAACTGGTGCTGATTATCAGCCAATATGTCTTTGCCTCTTCACAAGGCTGAGTAAGATCCTGCTGGTTTCTCCCTTGGGCCATCGCGGGCAGGAAAACGGAGCGGGCAGCACGAGGGCAGCGGGCTCGATGGAAATCCAGGGAGATGCCGGAGGATGGGCGTTGCTGCAAGAGAAGTGGAGAGAGCGCAAGGGCAGATTCACAAGCCACTGATCAGGAGGCGCCCACGGCCACCCTTGCAGAGCTGTGGCCGCAACCCTGGGAGTGACGAGCGTTGAAGGGCGGCAAGGATGTCCTGCGCGAGCACCTGCGAACAGGGGCACCTGTCGGTACGCAGGTACTTCGGAGTGGGGCTGTCGATTTAGGTTAGGGGACATTGAACGCGGTGGTGCCTCCGTGGGTGCAGGGGCTGCCGGCCAGGGCAGTGCTCCAATCGACCAGCACCTGCGTCCACCTCGTCTTGCATCTCGACTCGCACCAATGGAATAGGCCGAGGTCCCTGTTGATGTGCAGCTAGAGGGGAAGAAGGTGCGATGCATCCCTGCGGCAAAGGCACAGAGGCAAACCCCGACATTGGCGCGGGAGGTTGAGGTTGTCAGGCACTGATTGGGGCATTGCCGGGAGTGCCCAGAGCCCCCAAAAAAGAGACTCGTGAGGTTCGGACGAAATACAGACTGGAGAGTGGGGTGAAAAGCTAATCGACTTAGATTAGCTGATGGGCAGTCCCTGAGGATAATTCGCTGTGGTTCTGCCTCACGGTCCGGGGTCCGACCTCAGATCGCAGAAGACGGTATGCTCTGCTCCTTGAACATTGGGCGCCGCGAGATGAGGTGATAACATGAGACCTACGCGCTTTCCCCGCGGGCAAATTACAATGCGAATGTGCGGCAGAGTGAGGTTAGAAAGGGGTGCAAGTCAACCTTGACCTTGGTAGCCTACCAGAGGCAGCCCGGCATAGAGGCCGTTTGGAGTCGCCTACTGCAAGGCCTGGCCAGGATCTTTAGCCACGGTAGACCTGTAACGTCCAGGAACCGCGCGAGTCGGCTGGCTAAGGGTTCGCACTCCCAAGAAGACTGACTGTGCCAGCTCCTTGGACCTTTACTCTCTAATTTCGCCCCGTAGCGCTGCTACAGGATGTTGTGTCGACATGCTCCCTAGATCATGGTGGTGTCTTGCAAGGCTACCACCAGTCAATCGCCTGCTCCATGCCAGATTGGCTGTGATGGCTGGCAGCCTTTGCCATAGGCGGTAATATTTGGTGCCGATTTGTCGTCATCGTCATCTGTCAGGATTTAGTCGGACTGTCGCCGCCACCAACGGGCGCTGTGTGGAAGACAATACACCGTGCACAAATCCTGTCGCTTATCGCCATTAATCATAATGCTCATGTGTTGTGGATCTCGATTCCGTGAGTCGACATCATCCGGATAAGAGTACCGACCACCTGTCAATCTTTTCTTCGGTGGGCCCAGAGCGTGGGTGTGTTCATCTGCCCATGATATCGAGGCGTACGCTGTTGGGGCTTTGAGCGTGCTGCCACCATCAGTGTCTCATGCATCGGTGAGCTTTCGATGTGAGACAAAGAGCCACGAGGCAGAGCAGACTCCCACATTGTGATGCCGTCGTGCATACCTGGTCGACCGTCTGCAATGCTGGTCTCCACCATCCAGCAGAGCTGCAAGCGTGGGGCAGGTAACTGCTGTTGCTCTTGGTCTGAAGAGAGGTGCGCCAAATTTCAGGGTGTCAGGCCCAGGCCTTCAAAGTGCGCCTCTGAGGTGTGCAATGCAGTTCTGCTCAGATGTCACCTCCTGTGACCTGGATGGGCTTGGTCGCATTGGTGTCAAGTGTCACCGAGATGGTCATCCGATATCAAGCCCACAGATGACAGGCAGCAAGCTTTTGGAGTACTGATCGGAAGGCACTGCGACGGACTGCAGGCAGGCAACCTTATTTGTTGCATGCAAATGTGTGAGTATACCACTTCACAGAATCCGAAACTCAATTCCTGACGCAAGAGATATCATCGACTCGAATTACAGAGTTCGCGATCAGACGACTGATGGTTGATTGCAACCGTCATCTCAGGAGCGCATGGCCTGTTCTGGCCTCGGTGAAGGGTAGTGCCCCCCTCCTCCTGTTGGACAGATACTGGTCGAGATGTGCGGGAAGGCGCCCGCCAAGAACGTTCGATGGCTTCCAGAAGATGGCTTCAGTCTCAATCGCCGCCGTTGCATCCGCGCCGGCTTGATCAGTGCCGCTGGCGTTGGCATCGAGTCAAGCTAACACGGCACGAATCTGTGTGTGAGGGCGAAGGGTGGCCCCCCTCCCCTGCCTTCCTCCGATGTGACTAGGCCCGAAGTGGCCGCCAGCCCGACGGTGCCTCTTTCGACGCAAACTGGCTGGCGGCTGGGCAGGTTTGGTCAACTGTTGTCTGCTACAGGGCAACGCCCTGTACCGCCGGGAATATTGTGCATGCTGAACATCTCGTGTTGTGCCAGTTGTGAAAGGCAAAAGCGGGGGGAATGATTCGCGATTCGATCAGTAATGGGTAAAGCGCGCCGGAAGCTAGCGAAAATGCTAAGTGCCGATCATGGTCCTCACGAGACCCTGCCCAGTTAACCTTGTAGTCTACTCTATTTCAACGCCGGACTCCGTGTGGCTGATGGATCGCGAGTCGAATGGCGGGCCCCCTGGCACCTACAGCAGAGCCGTCCCGCCCAGGCTCCACCTCAGCCCACAGCCTGGCCTGCAATGACACAGCAGCCGGGTGTGAGGCTTGACCACCGAGTTGACAAGGCAAGCACGTCAAGCGCCGGGGTGGATGGGTCTCGAGGGTCGGCAGGCCACTATCGCTGAATTACAAACGTATTAAAATACGACGGTGGGGACGGCAGGACCTGGGGTTTGGCCGTCAGCCTCGGCTGTGAGGCGAGCAGGGGGACGAGGCCCGACCGATTTCTCCACCGAGGGGAGAAGGATAATTTAGCCTCGCAGCGTTGCCGTTGTTCCTCACAGAGCCTGCGGGATGATCCATCGTGGTCCCATTGGTCCCCGCTACCTTGAATCCAGAGATAGCAGATGCCTGCAGAATGGGTTCCTGAAAGTCTGTCAGATGTGATGCTCTGCTCCGTATTCTTGGCAGGCCGAGCTAATAAGCCCGTCCGTCGTCCGAACCATGTTTCCAGCCTCGAGGATCAAGGACAAAGGCCAATCGTTGACAAGGACCAGAGAGTCCGCGGACAGCAGGATTGAACAGGGCAAGTTGACGACAAGTGCAGCGCACCGCAGGCAGGCTGGCAGTGGATGGACTGGGCTCTAAACGCTGCCCACCATGGCCTCGCTCGGACAAGTTGAGCGTGTAGTGGTGTGGTCTTGGTGGTCAGGCAGGGGGGCCGGGGACGAGACGGGGTGAGGAGACGAGGCGAGAGGAAGAGAGACGAGAGGAGCTGACAAGAAGTGATGACATGTAGTCGGGATGGTGTGGCAGACTGTGGGATGGCAAGAAGGGTGCAGAATGCAGCCAGGCAGGCCAGGTCGCACCTGGGTGGGGTGCCTTCCTGTCGCTCCACATACAGAGCCCGGAGCGCAGCTGCACCTGCCAGCAGCAGGCAGACGAAGGGAGGAGCGAGCCGCTCACAGGATGCACGGACGGCGGGGCTCGAACGCACAGAGGAGGAGATATGTACATGCCGTGCTCTGTCATGTACCATGCTCGGGAAGATACCCACCGGCCCCCATATTTTATGTACTCTTTTCATGTACCCTTCCGCGAGTACTGCATGTAGGTACGACCCTGGGGTTCCCTCTACATACCTGCCGTGCCCTCGTCCTGGTCAAGCCACAGGGAGTAGAAGTAGCGACTCTGAACGGCCCAGACAGCCAACCTGGACTGACAGCATTTCCCAGCAAGGTGTCTCCGTGCTCTGATCACCAACCGGCAGTCTGGTCTCGTCTCGTCTCGTCAGCCTGGTGATGACGGATCCAACTGTCAGGTTAAGGTTGGCATTCCACACGAGATGAATCGAACCTTAAATCTCCAGTACCTCTCCCAGTGCTACCTTTCTCCATTCTCACATGCTTGGCCGGCGAAGCCCTCGTACCCGTTGTCGTTCAAAGTCTCGGCCTCGAGCACAATCTCTGGTTCCCCCATTTGTCACACCAGGTTTTACACGATGCCATTTCGGCCACCGAATTCGCCATTTGTCTCTACGATTCACTCATGGCCCATGCCTAATCCTATTACGAGATACCTACCACCACACCGGCTGCTCCAGCCCGTCTTTCCTGCGCCGTCACGACTCTCGACGGTCCTTGGTAACCAACGGTGTTTCTG